CTCCGCCCACATGCGTGACGTCATTCGTGTTAGTGGACACGCAGAGAGATAGGGGACGACATGGGCCTGGTAAAAACTTAGCTCTGATGGTATTCATTCTCGGCCAAAATCTAATTACAAAAAATTGTATAGTAAGAACTAAATTTCGGCTAAAAACAACGCACGTTTTAAAAAAGAATCATTCCAATGACGGTCCATTATTGCGGTCCTGAAATCGCCACTATTTCCGGCCTCTCCAACGCAACTCGTTGTCCAGACGTAAATATGCTGTCACAACGTCGTGTTTCGGTAAGTTGCGAAATTACGTTTTAATTACGTTGTAGCAACGTTCTGAACGTTGTGAAGCCATGGTTTGGTCCGAAAGTTGTGGTAAAACGTTGTGACAACGTTTTATTGGAACGTTGCAGCAACCGCGCACTTTCAACATTATATTTTGATAATGCATGGTGACATATAAGGCCATATATTGCATTTCCTTTGACATTCAATGCGCATTTTCAGTTTTCATCGTTAAATTTGACATGTTTTAATACTAGGACTGTTCACGTTGTCAGCTGGTGGTCGCCAACACGTTGTTGAAACGGTTTTTCACAACCTTGACATTATAGGTACTGAGTTAGTGGTGTTTTTACGAGTAAATTCTTATAGGTACTTCTCCCTCTCTCTCTCTCTCTCTCTCTCTCTCTCTCTCTCTCTCTCTCTCTCTCTCTCTCTCTCTCTCTCTCTCTCTCTCTCTCCCTCTCCCTCTCCCTCTCCCTCTCCCTCTCCCTCTCTCTCTTTCTCTCTCTCTAATATATATATATATATATATATATATATATATATATATATATATATATATATATATATATATATATATATATATATATATATATATATATATATATATATATATATATATATATATATATATATATATATATATATATATATATATATATATATATATATATATATATATGTATGTATATATGTATATAACATATGTAACATATATAACATATAGTTAAAAGGCGGGTGGGTATTAATTTGATGGCGACTCCGGTAAGCCAGTCTTTGCCGTAGCGCTCCGGAGTTAGTTTGGTTTCGGACCGCCAAGTCTGGCACAAATCCGGCTCCCTGCCACCCAAACAATATGCCCGGTTACATAGCATTTTTGTCGGGGCTGTTGCTCACTTCTTCTGCGATAATTTTAATGCAGTACTTTTCGTATATTTAGATGAGATCATTGTGTTAATTGCAAAGCGTCATTGGCATGTTTTGCAACATCACAGGCGGAGCTAGAGGCTTGCAACTATCCCTATGTAAACACGGCTGTTACCCGCCGCTGCCAGCAAGCCACGCCGGCCGCCAGTGTCGAGCGGTGGTTTGCCCTGACCTCGCCGGAGGGGCCGTGACGTCAGTGTCACCGGCCGGCGTTCAGAGCCAGCCGGCCAAGCCGCAGTCTGCGCGGCGCGAGCGAGCAGTGAGGGCCGGCGGCGGCCGCGGCTGAGATAGCTGGAAGATGAAAGATAGCGCCAGTTGTCTGCGTTTGATGTGATAATTGCTTTGACTGGTAAGTCAAAGTACCATTTACGAGTAGCATTTGCAAGATTGTGCCTTGTAATATCATGCGGTCTAGGCTATAGTTCATTGTAGCTCTAGCCTCTAAGGTTTTGACATGTTTGATCTAGCCTGTCGCACTGTTACGGGAGAACTGGTGCAGGTATTTTGTGATTTTTTTTTCATGAATTGAATACCTATGTCTGATTTTCCCTCATGTCTTCCCGCAGACGTCCTGCAACTCGTCAGCGCGCCTTGTGGCAGGCGCCAGGCCTACTGTCGGCAAGGCGGTAGCGAAGTGGCTGTTCGGAAGCTGCAACCGGAACGGGGGGCGCGTAGACCGTCTGGTCAGGCACTGCCAGCTGCCTAGGGACATCGAGGCCGCAAATGAGCCGGTGCCTAACGGTCCGCCGAGTGATAAGCGAGGGTTAGTGAAAAAGTGAACTTCCACCAGCTCTGGCGTGCTAGCGGCTAGCGCTGGAGCCGGTACCTAGAACCCAATTCCGTCCCACGCCCCCATGGGGGCGCACCTGGGCCCGATGCCCATCACCGATACCGCCGCTGTCGTTTTTTTTTTGTGTAAATTGACCTGTGTGATGTATTGAAATATACACTTCTTACATGCCTTTTTCACAAGTCTAGAGAACGGGAAGAGAGCGTCGGAAACACATTTTGAGTATGTTGCGAACACGTTGAGAGGACGTTGCAAAAAGGTTTAGGACGTTTACTCAGGGTCGCAGGGACGGCAATACGAAGTAGCGACAACGTGGTGCGCACGTGATAAAAACGTTCAGAAACGTCGCAGAGACGTTGCCAAAGCCTGGCCAAAGCCAGCCAAAGCGTTCTATACTCGTTGTAGTCACGTTGTGGAAATGTGGTGACAACGTTCCAGAAACACTGTTAGCACGTTACAGAAAACATTTCATAACGTTGGCGGGACGTTGTGAGAACGGTTTTGGGACGGCACGGTCACGTTACAGAAACGTTGTGACGACATTCAAATGTATGGTCGGATGACGTTGTCAGGCCGTTGTCTGGAGTCTACAAAATTACGTTGTCACAACGATAAATCGGAACGTTGTGGTAACCATTTGACAACGTTTAAACGACGTTGTAACAACGGCAAATTGTTAGCTGGGACTCAACTCCCTTAAAACGCGGGGGTGAATGTCATCAGCTCCTGGGGCACTATTGGGGTTCAGTGCTTTAAGCTTTTCCATCACCGTGAAAAGGTTGACTGGTATATCGATCAGCGGCGGCCCTGTGTAACGGTTTGCTAGTTGTGGCACGACATCCGTTTTTTCAATAGTGAATGCGCCTGAGAAGACGTCATTCAGGAGCGAGGCCTTCTCTTTTTCCTCGCTAACAAGCTGGCCCTGGTCGTTTCTTAGATCACCAATACTTGATTTAACTTTACGGCGGCTGTTCACATATTTCTAAAAAGCCTTCGGGTTTACTTTCATGTTTGCTGATATCTTAGCTTCAAAATCTTTCCTTAACTGGCGAGTCAATGTCCTAAGCTTATTTCTACAAATCTTGTATCTGCTGTAGTCGATCGGGTCTTGCGTTCTCATGTACACTGACCACAGTACCTTCTTCTTCTTCTTGAGGTTTAGTGAACGGCTATTCATGTAAACGTTCTTTTTAGACTTGACGCTCCTTGCTTTGGGTATGCACTCACTCATCAGCGATTCAAGTTTGCTCCTAAACCACTTGTAACCCGCGTCTACACTCATGGTTGACAAACAGCTCCAGTCAACTGCATGTAGTTTTACACGCAAGGCCGTGAAGTCAGCGCGGTGAAAATTCCATTTCAAGCCGGCAGAAGAACATTTTTTGTTGTAACAGGCAATATCGCATTTCAGTAGCACATGATCACTCCTTCCTAGTCCAGGACAATATTTGATCTTTGTTATCATATTCTCATCATTTGTAAACACCAAATCCAGTATACTAGGCCTACAACCCTCTCTAAATCTGGTAGGCTTGGTGACATGCTGGAACAGGAATGCATCCTGAACGGCAGACAAAAACTTGTTGGCAAAATGTGCTTCAGATGCGCTGCAAAAGTTGTTTTCCCAGTCAATCTGAGGAATGTTAAAATCCCCAACAATGAGCAGGTGAGTGTGCTTGAGAGAAATCGCATTTTGGAGTAAGCAAGACAAATCATCAACACTTCGATGGGGGTCGCCTGAGGGGCTGCGATAAATGCATCCGGCAAGTAGCACGTCATTGTTTTCCAAGCGCAATTGTACCCAAAGTTGCTCTTTAAATCTTGAATCTGGAAAATGTACGTTGGAAACTTTCAGTCGATGATGAATATAGATGCATATGCCTCGAATGCCAAGGTAATTGGTATCATCAAAGTTGGTGTGCACTTCATAACCAGGCACAGAGAACAAGACAAGGGGCACTGACGACATCTGCACCTTCGGTAGCGCTTCAGTGATGAAAATGATATCGGGATCTTCACCACAAATAGTCATGCACAAATCATCCCTCTTGTTCAACAATTGGTCCGCATTTGTGTACCAAATACGTAGGCACCGGGTGCCCTCAGAGGCATTCTTCACGGGCAGTCACGCTTGCTGAGGTTCTGGAGGACAGCCATCAGACACCGGAACATCCAAAGATAACACACGGGAGGTATCGTTACGTGCTGATGCATCAGCTGGAACCAAGTCATGGGTTGCAGCCGACGACCGGACGACTGGCAAGGATCTGGCACTGTTCCTTACACTATCGAACCTCCGACTGGCTTGGGCATGTGAAACTGGTCTGTCATTGGAAATGATCCTCCCGTTGCGGATTACAAGGCTTTGCTCACCGGCTGCCCTGCGAGAGCGGAGCTCATCTCTCAACTTTCTAGAAGCCTCGCGCTCCACCTTAGTTTGATCGGGGGAGAGGTATATGTTTCCCCATCGCACTGAATGGCGGAGCTGCGGGGCCATTTTCAGCAGTTCGTGCTTCACGTCCTCGTTCTCCAGCGTTACCACGAGCAGTCTGGGTTTGTCAGGGTTAGCCTTGCCGACCCGAAAGGATTTGGCCACGCTAACTCGTAGTCGAAAGGTTTCCTTGACCATCTCCAAAAATTGGTTGATGTCTTCCTGGGACCTCTGCTCCAAAGTTCCAGCCCTCGGCTCCGGGAGGTTGTGCAGGATTATGTTCTTTTTTCGCTTGTCTTTGTCGAAAAAATCGTCGACGACTTTGGCTATACGACTGTTTGTGTTCCTGTTTTGAGTTGTGACGTTTTGTAAGATGCGAGTGCAATCGTTGTTAGACTAGCCAACTGTTTTAACGTGTTTGTGAACTTGCTTCGCCATTTTCGTGAATTGTGCCGTTCTCATCCTATCAATGATTCACGACGGACACAAGTATTTGCTAGCTCAGTTTGCTGAGCGTCCAACTACAATATGCCGTCTCCGTCCATTGCACACCAACAATAAAAACATTCTGCATCATGATCAATCTGTGTATTGTTGCTCTTCCTGGCACCGCAGTTTGGTTGCCAGAGGCCGTATACGAAGTCAGGATCGTGAACATATTCGGCATTCTTAGTGCAAAAATGTTATCGAAATCGGGGAACACTTTCACTTGGACCAACGTCCATACGACCACAGCACGTACATACACCCATCAACGCACAAAAATAGTCGTATAATGACCACGTACAAACCAACAACACCCACGTTCTTGACTCACAACATGAGCGGCATATACTCTGGATGCACACGGTCCCAAAGCGATGAAGTCCTCCCGGCCCGACCGGCCGCTGAGATACTGAGCCTACATGGGATTCTGTTCTCTGTAGTGCTTCTGCAGTCGGTTGGCCTTGACGCCCAGCCGCATGTCGCTGCGCTGCTGGTGCCTCCTCAGTGCCATCATGTCGCGGGCCGTCCTGTCGCACACACAGACAGACACACACACAGACGGGGGTCAGATGGGGTACGTTGGGCAGCCTGAGGGTGTGATTATGGCAGGCAGGGGTATGGCCACTGGCCTGATAAAGTTGAATACTGGGCTAGCGATCCTGAATCACCGATCCGGGGGGGGGGGACAATAACCAAGATTACTTTGATAACAAGCCCAGAGTATGTACAGTCTGTCTTAAAAGTACCGCGCAAAGTGACGGCGGATCCATCAAGCCTGACCAAGGAAGGGCCTGCTAAAGTTGAGTCACCGAAGCAATTGACATCCTCATCCATTCCCAAGTCAATTGATTCGGTGACTTTCAAATTATAGCAGGCCCCACCTAGGTTAGGCTTGATGGATCCACCGTCACTTTGCGCGGTACTTTTAAGACAGACTGTACAATCCATGACTGTATGACGCTGTTTCTGGTCATAACCTAACTCAACGTTGAAAATTCGCATGAAAACAACTAAACTCGACCAATTGGACATGACGACCCTCCCCATTCCACGATCGGCATGCTGACTTTTTGAGTTGTTCCTTGCTGGATCCGGTCCACCCCATCAATCTGTACTGGTGGAGCACGTCCCTGGCGGTGGTGGCAGCGCCGGTCTTCCTCAGCGCCACAGCCTTCTCCGGCTTCAGGTGCTGCCTGTGAGGGGATGGGGGTGGGGGGGTCAAACATCGGGACTGGTACTGACGGCAACCGGGGGAGCTACGTATCCACAAATACACGGGCCAAACTCGGGATGTGGCATCTGTCCATGTTGCGACATCCACAGCTAGGTGGTACATATACTTGGTCTGCTCAATATCTGATGCGAAATATTCTTCAAATAAATTGCCTGACCAACCAGCTCTTCGTTGGTGATCCCGTCTTTTATTTCTGCCCCCTCATCATCTGTGGTTTATATCCTACTTTCTCCCATCAGTAGAATCTGTCCAGCGTCCGCTGTCTTACCTGCCGTATCTGACCAGCGCACAGTGTCTCATACATAGGATCTGACCAGCCCGGTATCTTACCTGTAGTATCCCGGTGTCTCACTATCATATCTGACCAGCACGCAGTATCTCACCTGTAGTATCTGACCAGCGCCCGGTGTCCGACGGTGGCCCCGGACGGCAGCACCAGCTGAAAGCCGTCGGCGTGCATGTTCAGCTGCTCGGGCTCCAGCGGCTCAGAGTCAGCATCTGCGCCGTCCGGGTAGGAGGTGCTGTAGTCGTAGTAGTCAGCGTACTCGGCCAGGACCTCGCCCTCGTGCAGCATCTTCGTGTGGCCCTTGTCGCGCATGTGTTTCTGCACGGCGTCGACGGAGGTGAAGTGTTTGCCCCGCTCGTTGCACCAGAGACAGACGAATCCCTCCCCGACCTTCTGCCCGAGGTAGGTGACCAGTCCCTCCATGTCCGTCACAAACTCAGCGTCCGGCACAAAGAACGAGTGCGCCTGTGTCATGTGGCGCAGGTTGGCGGCCAGGTCGGCGGAGGCGTGCGGGCAGAAGAGACACGAGGAGGGCGGGATGCCCTCGCCCTCGTCCCACTCCTCCCACTCGTCCGAGTCGACCTCTTCCACCGACAGGTCATCGTCCGAGTCCGACTCCGAGTCCGGCTCCGGCGGCGGCGCAATGCCTGAGGAGGGACGAGCGGTCGGCGGTCAGTCTCTCAGGGATGGTGCGGTCAGGAGGTACACATTGTGCATTAACAAATCATTGCTAGAGAAAATATAGTACAGTCCACAGCAGAAGTAATGTGTGGTTTCAGTCATGGGTATGTTCTGCTTCTGAAGCCTAGGAACGATTAGCCAGACTACAACGAGACTTTAAATGTAGCTTACATGTATCTTCACCCTTGCAGGTACAACTATATCAGTATTGACGTCTTCTTTTCAATCAGTCCGCATTTAAAAATCGTCGGTCAAAGCCATCCGTTGAGATTGGTAAAACCACACATTACTTTAGCGGTGGGCTGTACAAAATGCCAAAAGGCCTTCAATTTCAGGCATCGTACCTAATTAACTAGTAAGACTCCTTAGTATCCTAACACAAAACAGCATAACACAGTCACATGCTGGAGGTATGATCCACCAATACACTATCTGACACAAACATTTCCGTTAAAAATCGGCGATACGTCCACCGTACCTTTGCGCTGGGGCCGTCGCGGCGACCAGGACCCTCCCGCTTCCTTCTCCGACTGGCCAGAGAGCTCGAGGTTCTTGCGGTTCTGCTCAGCGACGATCAGGCGCTGCTGGCGTGCCTCGGCGTCCGCGTCCCAGGCGCGCTGTTGGTCCTGGTGCTTCTTGGACTGGAGCTGAGGACGGGCAGGAGAACGGGCGGGGTTATCCAACAGGTTGACAGGTTACTGCTGGGTATATGTAGAAGAAAGTCTGACAGAAGCCGTTGGAGAATTCAGCACACCGCAGCAAAGGTACTCGAGGCATTTAGCGACACTACAGTCAGAGAGTTAGTTGTATACTACATTAGCAGCTGAGAGGACCGCCTCGGTGTGATTATCAAGACTTCCCACGCTGCAGCTCCACTGGAAGACGATAACCACCGTATTTTCTCCGACAGGGCACAGACTACTCCCCCACTACGTCACAGCCGCCACCGAGTTCGCAGGGAGACAGTTTCCGCTCCCACTCACGTGGTTGCGGTGCTGGGCGTCGGTTTTGAACGGTTTGCGGCAGGGCTGGCAGTAGAGCGGCCCGGCAGCGGACGGCGCCGCCGGCTGCAGCGCCTGCTGGGCCAGCACCCGCTCCCGGAACCGCTCGGCGGTCACGTGCGGCAGCTCCGCCACCTGGGTGGACCGGGTGATGGGAAATAGGTTATTCAGAATAAAAATAGGTGATACAACTTGTCATTTTCCGTAACTAATCTAAACACTGGTATAAAAGTTGATTGAAGCAGCTCCTGAACTCATGCATTAAAACAATGGACTGCAACGCCAATAAATGATACCTAACCTGGTCAGCATGAGAATGGGCCACAAAGCCAATGCCCAATAGGTATAAGAAAATACCTCCAAACTTCACCTGTAGATATTGCCTCAGCAGATGCCATAAGAACACATGAAAATCACAAGATTATCTATGATTGGCAAATTATGCTGGCAAGACAGGTCCCCAGGCAAAAGGCAATGTTGTAAGTTACATCATGTGTAGTAGTGCATACCTTTCTTTTGAGATTGTAGCGATGCCAGTCTGATTTGTAGTGTTCCCTCTGTATCTCTCCATCAGAGAAGGCCACATGACAGGTGATGCATGTGAATGCAGCTGCACTGGCCATGACAGATTTCAACTTCTATCAATCAAATAAGTACCTGTAAAGGAATAAGGATACAATGAATTTTAGCTGAACAATGAACATTCACCTAAAATGCATAGGTAGCGGGTACCTACACACATTTAGCACTGATGAATAGCGAATGAGTTATTAGGTGCTTTCCTGAATGAAGGCACTCTTGAATAAGCTGTAAATAGTTCAGCAAGCAGCAAGCCCAAACCAGAGATAGGCAGGAAAATCCCACATGTAGATACGTATTAGCTTCATAGGTACTCCAATTAAGTGCAAGATACTGATCTCTCTAGCATGAACCAGTAATGGTATGGCCCAATTTCATGGCACACTGCCAGCTCTCACTAGTGTGGTTCAAAAGTTAATGTCATAGGTATGTTGTCATACCACTGGGGCTCAACCACTGCTTTTCAACAAGTAGCAACTGCTGAACTGATGATGCCAGCCAATATAAATAATAGAGCATCCGAGTATGATGATGCCCCCATTTGAATCGAAGGCAGGATCCTAGCACTGCTGCACTGGCAGCTAAGCATCATGCCCTGAAACAGGCCTCAGCTCAGAGGCCAGACTGCAAAGTATGGCAATTTCGACGAGATCTCGTCGGTGCGGGCTTGTTCGGCTGGTGCGGATTTTGGAGTGGTGCGGTGCGGATTTGGCGGTGCGGTGCGGGTCTAGTTGAGCGCGGTGCGGATTTGGTTTGGGTACGGTACGGGCTTTGCTGGCCGGGTTGTTTGTTGACTGTTCTACCTTCGTTGAGAAGTCCAGGACATGAATGAAAGAAAGTCCTAATGCGTGCCACTGCCAGCCACGGTGACGCACGGTGACGGACCAAGGTTTTAAAACACTCCACAAACTAACAAGTGCGGTAGAACGAATCCATTCTCGCCTCGGCAATTATCGTGATGACGTCATTAGAACGAAGACTTTTTGCGGTGGTGTGCTATATATGTTACATTTGCAAGCTGCTGGTTTGTATTGCCATGCCAATCAGCACGCTACTTTAGAATGACGTAATTGTTTTTACTCATACGAAAGTTGTTGTGCCCAAGATTCTTACAGATAGGGATGTACTAGGGATGCGGAGCCGTGAAAAGTCTGAAATCCCGGGTTTGAAATGGTCTCGTTTGAACGAAAAAGGCGAAAAAAATGCACCTTTCCTCCGTCCCGTCGTCTTCATCCTCAGCAGAGCTAAAACTCCGCTTCCGTGGCTGCCGACGAGACATCTTACCCCCCCAAAATGGGTTGTCACGAGTATTTACACTCACACAGGGATGCGGAGCCGTGGAAATTTCAGACGGCTCCGGCTCCGGGAAAAAAATCGGCTCTGGCTCCGGCTCCGGCTCCGGGTGAAATGCCATGGCGGCTCCGGCTCCAGCTCCGGCTCCGCACCCACTGCCGTTTTACTGCCCAAATTGTCAACAAATGTCTATTTGCTCTATCTTCTGGCACAAGTGCGCGATATCCATCGCACCTTGCGCCGTGCGGTCCCATTCAAGCGGTAAGTTAAACTGAAAGTGGACAGGATATAATTAGAGTGGTCCCTTGCATTATAATTGCCTGTGGGTTCGGTGCGGATTTTTTGGGCTCTCAGCCCACTTTGGTGCGGATTTTCCGGCTGAGTTTGAAGGGTTGGTGGCGGTGCGGATTTTGAGCTTGGGCTGGTGCGTCTCATCAACCTGAGTGCCATACTTTGCAGTCTGGCTCAGAGGAGTGAGTGAAGTGGTGAAATTATGCCTAGAACAAGAATCAAGTTAAGGTGCTCTGAAATAGAGGTGGCAAAAGGTGAAAATTTTGGGAACCTGAACCAGACTTGAACCAGACCCGACTGGACATTTCTGGAACCAGTCAGACCCAGTCTAACTTGGAATCGGAACCAGCTGGACCCGTTCCCCAAACTGAAACGTCAATTAATACAAACTAGTTATAGGTACCATTAGTTACTGAAATAAATTGTGAAAAAGTGCGGTCAACCTGTTTCACCATAGCCCTCTTGACACCACAACCTGAACCACCATGACCACGTTGCGTGCAAGGTATATCGATATAGCAGCACTGAAGACAATATTTTTCAAGCTGGCAAAATATTTATCACGACAGAATCACTAACTACTGTAATCCAATTTGCCTACTTAGCCAGCCTACCCTGAAAAAGCAAAACTATTATATTCTAATTACTAATACCTATTCCCAAGGCTATATAAACCAGGTAGAACGCTCCCGAAGAAAAAGTGGTGACAAGCAATATTTAGTTGCCGCGACCCTCACTTGTTCAAGACTATATCCGCAAGCAGCATTTACAAGCTAGCGGAAATCGACCAATCGGCGTTCGGCAATACTCAACGCTGATTGGCCCGATGCTCGTGACGAAATTGCGGGGGACTGCAGCTATTCCCCTATGGTGTTTCATTGACTTATGACTTTTGAAGGGGATTTGTATCAGTTTTTGTTGGGTTTGAGACCATTTTTGAGCTTGGATATTCTTTCCGTGACCTTTGACTATATAATAACGACATTTAATCATGATATTTCTATATACTACCGGTGTCACATCGGCCAAAAAGACCGTAAGTACATGGGATAGACGGACCACTGCTGATGGGGCCACACATGCCGGCGTGTGGTCATCGGAGGCCCATGAGGGCTCGACATGGGCCCTTTATGGGTCGGTATAGGCCTATTGGGTCCAGTGCAGGCCTACCAGGGACCGGTGGCATATAATGTAAGGCTGTCTAGGGACGTTGAGGGCTCATGGGGCCATATAGGACCATTAGGGACCACATAAGCCAATCAGGGGTCCATTTAGGCCAATAAAGGCGCTTCAGGGACTTGAAGAGGCCATTCAAGAGCCGTGGTGCCTGGTGGGCCCATGAGGGGACGGCATTGGTCCATCAGGTGCAGTCAGGGGATGTTGTACGGGTTTCTCAGTGGCCCATTAGGGCATATCAGTGACCAATTTAGACCCAGCAGGGGGCTTTGTAGACCTATCAGGGGCTGGTGATGGTTTATCGGGGGCCAGCGTTAGTCCATCGGGGCACGGCATATGCCCATCAGAGGTGATTGCGGGCCCACGCTGAACAATGATGGCACTTCAACAGCCCCTAATGGATCTAGATTGACCCATGTTCCATGATGTGTCATGCATGCCCCTATGGCAGGCCTACTCAGACCCCTGATGGATGTTCCCGGCCTCTGATGACCCTATACTGAATCCTGGTGGGTCTCTAAGAGTCTCCAATAACCCTTCGTCAGCCCATTATTACCATACGCTGGCACTAGAGGCCCCACATCAGCTGCAGGGCAGTCCGTGCCAAGACAGCATGTCTTTTCGGCCGATATTACATCGGTAATATTAATTAAAATCATGATTTTATGGTGCCATTATATAGCTAACAGTCATAAGAAATATATTTCAACTCGAAAACAGCTCGAAACAGCATATAATCTTAAAGAAACCCCTCCGAAATCCAAAAGCCTATTCGAGTCCATAGAGAATAACTGCGGTCCCCCGCAATTTCGTCACGAGCGTCGGGCCAATCAGCGTCGAGCACTGCCGGGCGCTGATTGGTGGATTTTCCGCTAGCGCGTGAGTGCTGCTCGCGGAACAAGAGTTCGTCGACAATCCTCCACAAACGTCTGTCACCACTTTTCGTAATGTTAAACAGCCGGAGCGTACCCCCCTGCCTATTCCCTCCCACGACAGCATATTTACGTCTGGACAACGAGTTGCGTTGGAGAGGCCGGAAATAGTGGCGATTTCAGGACCGCAAGAATGGACCCTGATTAGAATGATTCTTTTCTATATCGTGCACTGTTTTAAGCCGGAATTTAATAGTTATTACAAAATATTTTGTAATTACATTTTGACCAAGAACGAATACCATCGGGGCTAAGTTTTGACTACCATTATATTTTGCCCAGAAGCATATAGTGCTGTTATATTGCAGTTTTTGCGCGTTTGTTATAAAATATGACGCGAACATGCAAAAATGTTCCAAAGGTATATCGCAAAATATCATATTTACCTGAAGTTTATCTATTGCATGATTGACTTGACAGATTTATACATTCCAAGTTTATCTTGGATCAGAGGTGTCGTGTAATTCATCAGCGTCAGAGGCTAACTTGAGGGAAAGCTATGATAATTGCTCTTGTCCATCCTAAGAAGTTGAAGTTATTAAATATTTTGCTTTGAGCACAATGTATATAAATAGTTTTGTGTACTCCAAGATGAGAGGGAACTATTTTCTTTGTGCATTCATGTCAGAATTGAAGATTGATCATAACATTTTCAAGGCAGTTTATCGACCAAGCATTTAGTCTTTCTCGTAATAATTGCAGTGGCTAAGAAGAAAAGGTTGATCAATCCTGAAGTTCAGTCATCTTACTTCAATTTGGCTGCAAGATCCCCAAAGACAGAGGATATATTGTATACCTATCCTGTAATTCAAAACATTATTGTGCCCGCCTAGGCTAAAGTTATTTGTTGTGTGTTCGGAGTAAGCCTATGGGCGTTTTTGTTGTATGTTTATGTTGATATTGAATATAGGTAACTGTGACCTGAGGGCTGTTCACGGGCCCTGTGTGCGGTCGGAACGCACACAGCCTCCAAGCTCCGCCCACTGCGTCCCTACGTCAGCCTTCCGTCACCGCACACAGCGATCGCTGTGGCCGGTCGGGACTGGCCACAGCGGACCGTCCACCGCACGCAGCCGTGACGTCAGAGCCGCCTACCCATCCCCTACCCCCACGCCTGCTGGACGTACCGCACACACCGCACGCAGCAGTGTGCGGTGCCCGTGAACACCCCTCCTGTGTTTGTTTGTATATTTGCTACAGTCAAACAGCACCTGCATATTCACATAACATACTCACCTAGCTCATAGCTGTACCCCACAGGATTTGTACTAACATTTTTTTCTGAGCATCTAGCATGACATACAGCAGTGCAGAGCATCTTCAGAGAAGAAGCACTTAAAATGCACAGACTCACACCAGCCACCCAATGAGCTAGTTCCTCTGTCCTCATTCTGTTTCCCTGGATGCAGCTTGGCAAGGTGAGCTAACTGTTGGCATGTTGAAGGTTAGCAGCTAAGATTGAGTTAGGGTGAGTACCAACTTATAACTGGGTGCTACTGGCCTACTATGCAGGTCTTGAGTAGGTCGCAAATATGTGTGATGATTGAGGTTAGGTCAGGCTAGTCAGGTATGCTCCGGACTCGGGTCACATTTTTTATGGACACTTGGAAAATTAAAAAACTAACATAACCTAATCTAAGCTAACCCAACTAATCCTACACAACTACTAACAATAGGTACTAAGCAGTGCACCTACCTACTTGTGCCTACATCTCATACCAAGTCAAAGTTCCTTCCTGAAAGATTGGCCTTAGTACTTTTTATCCCAGCCCTGTGAAGACAACACTTCTACGCTCTGAGTCACTTCTGGCCATCCACATTCCACAGAAAGAAATGCTGAGAGCTTTTTCATTGTATTGGACCAATAATCACTATCACGATGACTATGAACACATCATATGATCACATTGTTGCATATGGATGGTCACATTGGCAATTTTACTACATACAATCCTTTTTTCAAGAAATGCAGTGTAATGATTAACATCAAATTCAACATCAAGCTGATTTAGTAATCCAAGCGTTCTCCTCCAGCAGCAATGGAATGATTGCATGTCAATGTTTCATTTGCCAGACACTGAGTAATACCCATTATTTGCATAGCAAAGTAAAGCTGCCCGAGTTCCTTCATTCTAGATTTTTCACTTGGTAGTTAGCACTAATTAATCTTGCTTTTGTCAGTTATAATTCAATATTCATACCAATACATAAATATACTGATGAACACATAATGCATATATGCGTTTATCAGCCAACATTTTCTGGCTTGATACCTACTGCTCAGCGTGCTCTTCATTACTGATCTCCCGCAATTTATAGCTTGTTTTCGCTAATAATTGCTCTTTTAGTTTTACTTTTTCTTGCTGATATGTGACTCGTGAGCCAGATCAACTTGCGCTTATCAACCAACATTTCCTAACTTCAACTTGATATTGCTTCGGAGTCACAGTCAGGACCTCTGTTAGCCTCCTGGATACTTGGGATTATTTTCAGTCCACATAATTATCTAATATGATATAAGTAAATCACAAGGTATTCAAAACTTCCAACAAAGCGATGTACAAGAGTACAAAAACCACCAAATGAACTTGCAAAGGGCCTTGGAACAGAGCCAAGTGGTGCTCCATTTGTTTGTTTACAATAATTGTAGTGCTGACGTATTTTTTAGGACTCTAGTGGTTGGCTTATAAAAATGAAACGTTTTTACGAAATTTGTAAGGCAAGTAATATTTACCTGAAAGAACTAAAATATTCAAAAGCCAAACACTATGAAATACAGGAATCAGAACGAAAAAGTAACCCAAAAATCCAGCCAAATCACCGGCTCCTAAAACTGCGACAAAATCAGCACTTTTCCCCGCAACTCGTTGTCCAGACGTAAATATGCCCCACGACACGCAATATCCACGAGGGAATGAAATGAATGCGATTGCACAACTGTTCGCTAGTTGTTTTTAAAAAGCTGACGTCACGAATTCTTTATACAGTGCAAAAAAGACACAAAATCTTATAAATGACGTCAATAGCTTTTAATTTCCCTTGCAAGAATGATTATTTTATAGCATGTGCGCAGTTTATTTATATTCACAGAACAACACGTTTTTTATTGGGTATGGGGCAAGGCTATATAAACCGTATGGGGTATGGGCAAGGGCAGGGGGTGTCGAAGTCTAGTAGGAAAATCTGGCAAATTCCCTGCGTGACGTCACGTCGGGACTGACCGACGGCACCTTGCACTGAAAGATACCGCAGAACGGCTATTTTTGAAAAATGATTAAAAATACTTTTGTGCTGTTTTGACACATAAAACGCTTATCAGCATGCTCCTCATCATGTGATAAAGCCATATCCGTGGTCGAAAATAGCTGAGCCCCTCCCAATTTCCAACCACCGACCTCATAAGCAAAGGATGTAAGCGTAATCCTTAAGGGTGACTTTCCAATACATAATCGTACATATGCGTCCTTATGGAAATCGGTAGTGTGGCGATTGGCGACGCGCGCGACATCTGTGTGGCGACCAAGTGGCGACTGTGGCGACACCTGGTGGCTGCTTTTCTGCTGTATGTAGGCATAGGGGTTTTGCCAGTTATGGTTCCTACTGCTACACAACTATGTTGACCCAATACTAGAAAGTTATTTTGCCAGTAAAAGGCAAGCAAATTGAAAGTCAATTTATAAAATTGCTTATTTATGATAACGAGAAAATAATAAAGAAGTTTTGATTGAATATTTATTAAAATATCCAACCGTGAAACTATATTCTGGTAGGTTTAGTAGAAATTAGTCCGTGCAACCTTGTATTTAGGGCCTTGGGCAAGGGTATGTATGGGTAGGGAATGGGTATTCATTTGTTTACAGGTGGGGAATACGGGCTCTGGTATTAACTGGATAATTCGCCAGCTGACGCCGTATGGTGGCGCTAGTGGAGCAGCACCATATGACGTCAGCAGAAAACACCGTGAGCAGCTATGAAATGGTAGCGAGCACCACGGAAATATCGAAAGGTGATGGACATGTACTGACTCTGGTCATTCAAGTACCACCAATACCATACAAAAACCATATAATATCATCAAGACTGATTCTGGAATCAATTCGTTCGGGTATTTAAAACACATAAAAAATGTTTGTTACCAAATTCTGAAACAGTATAAGGATATTCTTGTTCCTTACTTTTACCTTGTGGAGTACTTTAATTTTACAATACCTTTTACTTGCTTTCTAGTATGCCCATCACTATCTCAGAATCTGGATTGCAACGCTGTAGGAAAACTTTTTTTCATTTGTCATTTCTTCCACTTTTGAGCAGTGATAATTTATTTGGTTTTATACATTAAATAATGAAGACGGCTCCTAACTTTTTAGGGATCTGCAATGGCCCAGAGAGCAAAATCAGATATTTTCTAGAAACTTGAGGCCACTATTTTCTTATACGCTAGATAATATACAAATATTCACATGTAAAGAATGATACGGGTTTATAATTCTGCAGAAATATCAATTCAAAGTGTTCAAAAAATTTTAAGAACCGTTTTAAAATCTTGCATAATGACTTCTTTCAATACAAGGTGGTAGCAATTTCAGTTAACAATAAAGCAGCACATGGCAGTACCTTGAGGCGCGCTGGCAGTTGCTCCAGGTGGCGCTCGGCACACCCCGCCAGATGGCGAGCCGGTCTCGAGGTTGCGGGTTGCAGACACTTTGTCAAGGCGGCGGTTCACGGCCCCGAGCTGCAGGGCGCTGCGCTGCCATGCACTGCTGCATGGTTGAGCTGCGATGATTCATAACCAATCGGCACCTGCAGGCGGCAACTGCAATTCGATCTTCGAGATGTTCTCTGTTCCCCGACTTTCCCTTTTCGTTGTACCGGGTGAAGTGAATATTCTTTGAATATTCTTCTGACAGTCAGTCTTAAGTCCTACATTATGTTGTCAATCAGATTAAATTAGTTCAAAAACCGTCGTAGTCTGTCTCATTCGCAGTCTACATCTCCACATGCGCACCCATACATGCTCAAAAGTTTCACTACGTATGTACACTGCAGTGTACCCTGATGAAAAATGTTTTGCTGAAATCAGAGACACATCCCAAGGTAGGCCATAGTGTCCATGGACATATATTTAAGTCAAAACAGATGAAACAGATAAACACAATTCCAATCATCAAGTCAACCAGCATCGACAATCTGCACATAAGTTCTAAACCTATTGCAAGACTACTTTGTATTCAAACTTTGTATTGCAGAAGGGTGGAAGCTGCATGGAATTATGCGACAATTTCAGCGTGCATCCACGCTCAAAAGAGCAGGGTTAATTGTAACAATGTCAATACCATAACAATAACGTAATTGTAGGTGTTGTGATTCGGTTGTCTCTTGTCTGTGCTGGCCATTGCGCGGGCGGTCCAGCGGCGGAACTCGGCTTCGCCGCCGTGGCGCGCTGGCAGTTGCTTCTTCTTCTTCTTCTGCATCCCACCGCCAACCCGCTCAGGGGGGCGGCGGGTCGAGCGGCGGCTCGGCCCGCCTAACATCCTCGATGAAGGTGACGACCTTCGTCGCCGGGCCGCCGAGGACGTCGACCAGGCGAGGGTCGACACCCCAGCGGCGGCGGCGGGCCGCCTCATAGGCCGGACAATCGGTCAGTAGGTGCGCCGCGCTGTCGGGCTCCACGCACGCGGGGCATTCGTCGTTGGCTGCCGGGCCAATCTTGTGGAGCGTGTCACGGGTCAGCGGTGATGTGCCGGTCCTCAGCTGGGACAGCGTCACCGACCCCCAGCGCGCTAGGGAGTCGTGGCCAGGCGTGGGGTCCGGGTGCGGGTGGGCAGCGGTTGCCCTCTGTCGCGACAGCTCCCGGACATGGCGCGTGACGGCGGCCCGCGCACTCGACAGGTCGATCGGTGCGCTGTCTTGGTCGCCCGCCGTGGCCTCGCCAGCCAGGCGGTCGGCGGTTTTGTTGCCGTCCAGCCCGGCATGGCCTGGCACCCACTGGAGCACCGTCTCGATGCCGTTCTCGGCGAGGGTGCTCAGCACTCAGCAGCCTCCACACCTCGGCGGCCAGGGCCATGGTCTGGTTAGCTGGGGCCCTGGGCCGCGGCCGAGTAGTTGGAGCCCAGACCTTGAGTCGGTGAGGAGGCGGACCGACTTGGTCGATGCCAACTCCCCGTCCTCCAGGCCGGCCACAGCCGCGAACGCCTCGCGCATGGCGGTCAGTTCTGCTCTCAGGCTGGAGCAGACCGCCCCTGCAGGAGCGCGCACGGTCTCTTCTATGTTGAGGTGGTGGAACTGGATCAGCGCCTGCACCGCCCTGTTCTGTCCCGCCGTGAGCCGAGCCGTCCGACCAGATAGTGACGTCCGGGTGCGGGAGCTCTGCAATGGCTCACAGGGCAGCTTCCCTGCGGCCTGCAGGCGGGTCCGACCAGCGGGTGACCACGGGCAGGTCCACCCTGAAGGTGATGCCGCCGCGGTGGCCCAGCTATGGCGGGTCGCAGCTGTAGAACGCCGAACCTGTAGCACAATAGAATTGCAATTGTAACAAAGACCTGCATGGTCAGCACACATCTGCAGTAACTGTCATCCCAAGTTGGTATGAATTGGAACAAAGTTGGGTCATGGTAGCAGACGTAACACAAGCTGTTGTGATATGCCATACCGTAGGACTAGGTCGTAGGTTGTAAATTTTAGGTTTAAGGCTGTAGGTTGTAGGTCAGGTTAGGTAAGGTTTGGTTAGAAAGACCCATTCTCGTGCATCAGGCAGCTTGTGCTACACCTACCTTACCAATACCTAATTTGAATTCCTAAAATTGATGGCAAACAGGCTTTTTGTATAACAAGTGTGGTTAATTGTTCTAATCCCCGCTGCAATGTGAGGGTGACTGCTTTTCTACAATCACAATATTTGAATTCATATAGGTAGGTGTTTACATGTTCAGAAAATGATACAAAATATGACACAATTATAGCTGCAACTGTGAACTGGATAGTGGATACCAACCTCTACTTAAAGTTTCTGCAGCCTTATAAACTCACAAATGACTAAATTGCCAAAATAAATCCCTTAGTACAATAGCTTGACTCTAAAATAACAGAACTTTTCCATGCAGACCCTGGAATGGAGGGTTTATGAAAAGTAACAAAAATAAACATTCACTAATATCAAATGTTGTTATAAATTTCATATGTAGCATAAGCGCCAATACTGCCTTCATTTACAATTTTGCTACTGTTTTCCACTCACAAACGCTGCCCTCCGTGGACAGCAGCAGCAGCAGTGAAACGTCACCCGTAGTGTGACATCATCACCCATGACGTAATGGAAATCCAGTTGTTACCAAGGCCCGGGAATACGCGCAGGGTGTATCAATATATTCATAATATATCATCATAGAGTTCAGCGCAATATCAATATATTAACAGGGCTCAGGTATGCAGAGCTTAGCTGTTTTTTTTTTATTATAAATGAATTTCTGAACGATTACTTCGAGCTTGTTTCGAGCTGAACTTGCATACGATACCCTTGCATGAATGATTCTTTTTAATTTGGCCCCAGCCCCAGTATCTCGAGGTGGCCTAAGCCTTTGGTCTTGGTCTGATACCTACCGATTGTTGCTACAACATTTTATTATCTTCATGAGGTTTTGTACCGACTACAATTATGCTGTTTCAATTTCACAAATGCTTTTTGAAATTCTGCAAGTGTTCACACCATGTCAGCCGGCCTGCACATAATATCTTGTTACACTACCTACATTTATTGCCTTGTGGCTTGTTTTGTTATTGCTTATTCATTGACTGATTGATATTCCACTACTGCTTTCAGTTTAATGTAGGTTATGGCACATAAGTGATAAGCTTACTGATTTCATTCAGATAATACACCTGGATAATACCTGGATAATACTACCCTACTGCCACATCTTGACTGCCAGAGCTTGGAATCTGGACATGCTTCTGTGACCAAAATTGCAATGCAGTGTGATTTGTTACTATAGGCAATTACACTATTGCAATGCAACTAAAAGTTTGACTTTGGTTTGCCTTTTGACAAATTGTTTGTCAAAGTTGGATTAATTTCTCCTTCATGTGGAGTTATTTGGTATGCCTGCTACCTAACAAAATGACTTTCATTAGGCTGATTATTATTTTTCCTTCTTTCAATCAAATTGACTGTAACCCCGTGGTCGGCCTGGTAGTTTATCCAGCCAGAAGTTACTAGTATGGTATTAGGAACATGTTTGTCCTGCTGATGCTGTGCCATTCAAGTTCTTGATAATCAGCCTCCTCACTGCTTACACTACTTTACTTTTAACACACTATCATGGATGTGAATGACCATCAATATTGTCTTGCAGAGCTATAGATATGTTTTTTACTTTTCCAGAAACAAAATCTCAGCCTCCTAACGACCTAGCAAGACATGGCATCACTGCTGTTGGAAGCTCATTTTTGGACTCACAGTGAAGATGTTATCATCCATCCTGATGATGTTGGTGCATACAAGTAAGTCAACACTCATCAATAATGGTTTCCCTAACAAGCATTGGCTGGTGGTGGTGCCTGAATTAGGTATGGTTATCAAACCATACACTGAAGTTTCTTCATTGCAATGCCATGGTTCCATAGAGAAGACCTGGCTTGCAGACCTGAAGCTATTTTTAATTTTTGGTTAGTGCTTTTGTTTTGCTACCATTATTTTTCATAGTTCTTTTTGTCCTACTTAACCTGGGAACAGCCATACAGAACAGCTTTAGAGGAGCCCATGCCCATGGACAGCTCTTGGCTCACCAGTCACCACAGTCACTGCTCCTCATACATCCTCCTTTCTTTTCTCAGTGACATAGTGCCAACAAGTGTCTGCAAGGAAAATAACTGAACACTAATCTGATGCTTGACACCGCGACTGTGCAGGTTCCACGAGCGGGCCGAGAGCTCTGCTCTGGTGGCCGCCCACCAGCGGGTAAAGGAGCTTTACGCCGACAGCCGCGGCATCGCCAGCCGACTCACCAATAAGCGGCGCGTCCGCCACCGCGATACATTCAAACAGCTCGAGGTACGGCCGGGGATGGGAGACGGGAAGGGCGCGAAGGTCGGAAGAGATGAGCGTTAGTGGGTGTGAGCTTCCCGAATCCCAATTGACCATTAGTTTAATGTGCAGCTTGTTGACATGGCGAACAGTGATGTAATCAAACACAGTTATTAAAAGGTTGCCAAAATAATTCGGCAAATCGCGATGGTTCCTATTATTGATCAATTCAATCATGATAAGGTACCTGATTACTGATGACGCTCTGGCGATGATATTCTTTCAGGAACCATCCAGCCTTTAAATATAATCGTGTCCCAGTCCCGGAGGTGGGGAGCGCTCAGAGCTGCTGAACGGTGTCTGTTCTGCCTCCCGATGCCGGTCTCGGCCGACCTTCGCCTATCCTCGTCGAAAAGTCGCGTCATCACTGCACTGACCGCCGCACTCCGGCGCCCTGGAGATGGAGACGCAATTTTAGGGCCCTGATGACAACAGACTCGTCACCGCCCTACCTTCTGACCACTGTCTCTGGTCTGTGCTCCCAGGAGCTGCTGGACCAACAGAAGCTGTGCTACCAGAGCTGGCACCATCTGAACCTGCTGCTGCTGCTGTTTGACTCGGGAACGCTGGTCACGCTGTGGATTAACTTCCAGACTGGGAACGTGGACAAACTGATCATCGACAAGACGCTGGTCGGCAAAATGGGCTCCGACCAGGTGGTCAGCGGTGAGTGGGCCGAACAATGCAATCCAGGTGTGATTGGGAAAGAAATGGGAATGGGATGGCAATGACTTGTGCGGATTTTAGCCACTGATGATATTCCAGTGATTTCATGCATTGTGTTTCTACTGCTTTCCTGCTTTCCCGATGCTCTGTTTTGTGGATTTCTCGCGCTGATGCCTAACAGCTCCCCGTCCCCGCTCTATCTCTCCAGCGGCGCTGACGGAACAGCACCTCCTGGTCACGCACCCGGAGAACCGAGTCACGCTGGTCACCCTGAGCCGGCCGGTGGTGTGGGAGCAGTGGGGTCGGCTGGCCGCCCTGGAGCCGCGCACGGCCGTCTGGGAGCTGCCCGGCCCGTCCACTAGACGGACGGAGCGCCGGCTCAGTCTGCCGCCCGCCGCCGGAGGCCAGCAGGTGAGGCGGGGGTGGGGCTAGTCACATGGATGAGTAAAGGGTTGGGGACGGGTATCAAGAAATAAGGCTGAAGGAGGATATCCCAGTTTTCGGGGTGTTGGACTAGATCCGTACCGAGGCGAGGCTCACGGAAAATGCCGCCAGCTGCAGGGAGCCATTAGGGGTAGCCTACGGAGAGCCACTAGATGCCAGCATCATCAATGATTGTATTGCTCACTATTCACATTCATTTCTATCAATCCACTGGTATTAATTTACTGATGCGACATACCTTATTAAAGCGTATATCTATCGTCTTTGGTAAAGTGCGTTCTGTCCGCCGCCTGAACTTTTTATGAGTGCGTTCAATATTTTTGACGTATCCGCGCCCATCGTCAGAGCGCGCCGGTGGTGGCCGTCTGGTGGAGCGCCTCCGTGGGCGAGATCCAGCCGTGGACGCCGTCGGGCCGCGACCAGGACCGAGCCAACGTGCTGGTGTACCGACTGGGCAGTGGCGGCGGCGGCCAGCCGGCCGGCGGGCCCGGCTCCGCCGCCGAGCCGCCCCCACCCGCGGGGTGAGTGGTGGGGAGAGGGGAGCGGCGCGGTCTGACGACGGATGATGTATGGAAGGGAGGGGATGACGATTATAATATACATACGTGGATTTGTTGAGTCTTGAATTGCTGATACGCTGCGAGGACTGCCGTTATAGGGTTTGTTGGCCCTAGTCAAGTTCATTCATATACCTTTCTGTCTTTCCTAGACCGGCTTGTTCCACTGATGTACCGCTACATATAATTTCACCCTTACCCAATACCCATTATGACCTTTCTAGTTCCCCCCCCCACGCCGATCCGCTGACCTCATATGACTCCTATGGATGACTTCTCCTGCCCCTCTCTCAGCTGGCCGGACGGACCGCGACTGGAGCTGCTCAGCTACTGTAAGACGCACCACGACCCGCTGCTGGTTCAGTTCAGTCTGCTGCGGCCCGACACACTGTATACCGTGGAACAGAGCGTCACTAGCACGGTGAGAGGCGGAGAGGGGGAGGGAGGACTGGGCTCCACTGAGGGCCGACACTCTGTACACGGTCGAACCATGACAGAGTGTCACTAGCACGGTGAGAGACGGAGAGGGGCAGGGGATTTAGTAGGGTGATAGTCTGGTCTCACTCTGACTATGAATCTCGATAAATTGATCACGTCAGACGATTCTGGTGTAGCGGAATTTCGTTTCTGTGTTGTTTTAGTTGCTACTATTTTAAAATTATTTTCTTGCCGAATAATTCTTGCGATAAAACGATCGGTGCGACGGTGTGAGGTCAATTATAGTGTAGTTTACTAACTATCACAACGCTAATATGTTGGCTGTTAAAATATGTTTTGAAAGGTCTGTTTCTCCTCAGGGTGAGGTGCTGGTGGAACATGGCACCTATGACGTCACCTCAGCCGTCTGCCAGCAGCTGTCTGCCATCACCATACCGCTGACGTCAGAGGTACGTCATAGCTGCTCGGAACACATCAATTACCACACCAGACACTGGGGTCGTGTCGCTACTTAGCACAATAATTTCACATAGGACGATACGTCGGAGTCCATCGCATCTTAGCGTTTTAAGTTAGTAGGTAGCCACTTGAGCTACTGCTAGCGGACGGTACCGATTGCTTGTTATCGACGTTTTCCCGTTCGAATCACTACCCATCGCCGTTCCAGGTGCTGTGCGCGGCCATCTCGCCCGACGAGCGCCGCCTGCTGCTGGGCTGTGCGGACGGGTCGCTGCTGCTGCACAACTGCGCCAGACAGATGACACACATGGTCAAAATACAGATGGTACGTCAATGGGCGCCCGCCAGATGACACACATGGTCAAAATACAGATGGTACGTCAATGGGCGCCCGTCAGATGACACACATGGTCAAAATACAGATGGTACGTCAATGGGCGCCCGTCAGATGACACACATGGTCAAAATACAGATGGTACGTCAGTGGGCTCGCACTGGGCCCGAGGAAGGGCATGGTGAGAGTCGCTGGGCCTCGGTCTCTCAGATGCTGGGTGGCTGTGTATTTTCCCGTAGATCAGTCTGATAGCGACTTTGTCAGGAAACAGCCAGCTAAATTCGATACAATTTTCTTGTGTCATTGGCCTGAAAGTAAGAACGGGGTCGTGCGGCTCTCTGGAAATATTTGTATCGTGCTTCGTAGTTCTCTTAGCTGAGTCATTCTTACGGCGTGGCTAGTGGCTACCACCACGTCAGATTGCGGAGACGCCTATTCCTTTCACCAGCATTTGCCCTCCTAAGTATACATGTACCATAGAGTGGCCAATGTAACTCCCCCCCCCCCCTCCGGCAGACGCCGCGCCGGGCCGCCTGGCACCCGCACAGCACGCTGGCGTTTGTCAGCAGCGAGACGGGCCAGCTGCGCTGCTACGACCTGGCTCTGAATCCGCTGCAGCTGCAGCTGGCGGGCGGCGGCGCCGGGCGCGGGGGCACCGCGGCGCAGGCGGCGCCGGCCGCAGGGCTGGGACTCGGACAGTACTTCAGGTTAGAGAGGGGGTTGGAAGGAAAGATGGAATGAGTGCAGGAGAGGGATATGAGGACTACATGGACTCTTAGGATGGAGGGGAGAGGGGTCGCCTAGGATTTTAAGTGTCCGAGTCTCAGACTCTGAGAGGATGGTATAAGGTTTTTGGAAAAAGATGGTGTTATGCATATGGTAGACCGTCGAGGAGTCCTCGTTGGTCCGCCCCAGCCCTGTGGGGGGTCGGTGTTGTGCTGCCTAGTCACGGTTCTGCTCTCTGCGCGTCAGGTTCAAGCCGCGGGTGAGCCGGCTGCTCTCCTGTCCAGAGGTGATGTCCCAGGAGGGACACGTGCTCCAGTCGCTGCTGGTCACGTTCGTCAAGTGAGTGACACATATACACGGGTCATCAAATCGGCGAGGTCACATGGAATGGCCCAAGATTACTTTACTACCTACTCGAATGGCTACAAAGCGTCAGCTGCTCTGGATACTTCTCCAACTGATTCTTACCAGATAGCGGTAACTGGAGCGGTAGAGCCCTTAGTTGATTATGGTTGGAGGACCTGAGTTGTTATTTGTTCATTGGAACGTTTTGTCGAGCTGCGTGTTGCTGTCGGTTTCCCATATTATCTCCCTTGCGACCACCATCTCCCCTCTCTGACCCATCCCCTGACCCCCACCCTCCCCCTCAGCGGCCCGCTGGCGCTGCTCTGTATCCAGGCCAGCCGCCCCAACAAGGGCCGCGTCTACCCCAGTGACGTCATCGCCGAGTTTGTGACGGCCGGCCGGCTGGACGCCGCTATCAACCTGCTGACCTCGCTCAACTGGGAACAGCAGGGAGACGAGGCGCTGGCCGGACTCTACATGGTGACCGGGTACCTGCTGAAACGGCCGCTCACTCCGGCAGCCGAGGGTGAGATGGAGAGGGAAACGGGACGGAAGCACGCGGGATAGAGGGAAGATCAGCTTAGAAGTGAACGATTAAGGCTATAGTCCGTCATTATTATTGAGTGACAACGATGCGCTACGTTGCTTGTTCAGATATGATAAATGAAAAATATATTCCTGCTCTGCTGCGCCCGATACCTTTTACGGTAAAACAATCGACAGTTTTTCCTGGATTGTTAATATTTGTGTCGTGTTTTCATGCCCGACAGCCAAAACGTACCGGAGATTGGCAGTCATGCCAGTGCTCAGATATGACGTCCCGTGTGCGTGCCTCCACTGACCAATTGTCTTGGTCCTCTGTCACAGCCCAGTTGGAGGCGGCGCTGGGCAGCTACCTGGCGCCGGTGCGGCCCCTCTCCGAGCCCGTACAGAACATGTACGGAGACCGGGTGAGGAACATCACACGGAGATTCTTCCATCACCTCATCAGGTGAGAGAACCGGCGCCGGCCGGTTAGACGGGATCGCTATGACCTCTCCCCGTGAGATGGACATTGTTGGCTGTGAACCGTCCTGGAAAATATTAAGTTTGATCAATGCATGGGTTATCTGATAAATGAATCGCGGATTTATATAGCGTAGACTGTTTTGAGCTCTGAGATACGGTCTCATTTATATTTGTCGCACTCTGCTGGTCTCCATTCTCTGATGTTTCGTTTCCACCGACACCCTGTCCGCCCTGTCACCATTCTCCGCAGAAGCCGTATCTGCCCTGCTATCCATCTACTCCCCGACACCCCTACCCTCTCTCACTAGTCACTCCTCCCCTCCCCTCCTCCGCCCCAGACACCGCTGTCTGGAGAAGGCCTACCGCTTGGCGCTGGATCTGCGCGACCACGACCTGTTCATGGACCTGCACCGGGCCGCGCTCAGACACGACCAGAGGCACCTGGCCGCCGCCGCGCTCGAGAAGGCCGAACAGATCGACGAGGAGGCCTCGGTCACTTCAGGTATTGATGGCAGTGTGTACTGGGTAGTGGGTAGTGGGTAGTGGGTGCCATCTCTGCTGCTGCAGTGTATCAGATACGTGTTAGTGTGCAGTGTGCACGTCTTCGACTGCGCTTCATGTTCGCGATTGTTAAGAAAGGGATACATGTGCTGCGATAAAACGACTAGGAACACCTAGTATTCGATGTTTGGAGAGTGTTGAATGGCTGAAGGCTCACTGCTGAAGGCTGAGGCCTAGATCTCCTGATATGCATCCATTCCATCATACGGATACTCGTTATTACCTGCTCTGTGTTGTCGATCACACTGTCTACAGTCGACACTCGACACCTAACGTGGCACTGTCTTTACTCCCCTACACTTATTTGACCGTGCCTTTTCCGTCCGACAGGCTCCGAGAGCGGCGACTCCACCTCGTGTTCATCCGACTGCAGCTCCTCGTGGCACAGCGGTCCGGAGGGGGACCGCGGACCGGACCACGGACCGGACCACGGGGACCAGAAGGACCACAGAGACCGCGAGGGCCGCGGGGACAGTGAGCTGGAGGAGGAGGAGGGTCCCGATGATCTGCTGGTGGAGGGAGACGGAGACGGGGCGCTGGTGAGTGCGGTAACCGCTGTGGGAGGCGATTCGGCGGAGAATTTGAATGATAGGCAGGGGTCAATTATTTGTGATGGCTGTTGAAACTATGTGACTATAATTACTAATCAGCTGGTGGTGACTGAAGGATTTCGGTAATGAGGTGCTTTGATTTTTGGCTAACATTGCCATTCGTTACCTCATGAATTGACGTCCATCTCCACGCCTAACTAGAGGACGTTTGCGGTGGAGTGATTGTGTTGTTTGTGGTTATGTGAGATGAGTTCGTGGTTTGTATAATTGACCGGCCGATGTGACCCCTCTCCGTGTGTTCAGGCGGCTCAGATGCGGGCGGCGCGTCTGCTGCAGCCGGTGCTGGGCCGGCCGCCGCTCCCGCGGCTCACCCGCGCTGCGCCGGCCGCCGCCGAGACGGGCCGCCGCTCTCCGGGCGAGGAGCCGGCGCCCGTGCCGCCGCCGCTGCCGCCGCGGCCCTCCTGGGCGCGCCAGCCCAGCCGGGAGTCGGACGGGCCGCCGCAGCTGCCGCCGCGGCCGCCCGGCCTGACGGCGCACGGTCCGCCGGCCCGGTGGGCGGGCCCGCCGCCGCAGCGGCTGGTACTGGCACCGCCGCAGCCCCTGCCGCGCACCAAGCCACCAGGTGAGGGTTGTGCCGGCCAGACACGGAGCGGGACAGGCCGGTTCCTTCCCGTTGGCGGAGTGTTAGTGAACCAATATTCTAACATAGACCTCTGTTGGTATACCGAGGTCTACAGAGGTCTGTCACAGAAGTTTTCTTTGCATGCTGAGTGAGTTCCAGCAGCCTAAACCAACACTGACACTTGTCTCTATATTTTCAGTGCCGGACGACGATGCAGCTTTTGTGATCCACTTTGTCTGACCTGGCTGAGGTCTGGACGTCGGGTCAACAGCGGTCTGGGCGTGTACCGAACTGATACCGTGTTTCCCAGTGCTGGGACCAAGTGTTGTGTTATTGGGCTCAAAGCCGTTGAGAGGCATGCGAGGCGACCGTTTTGACGGTCGGCCTATCGTGATTCAAACCGTTACTGTGATACGTATTCCGTCCATTTTTGCTTAGGTGACTGGTGGTGTTAGCTGCTTACGTTGGTACCGCTAGGGTGCCAACTCAAACTGCCTGATCTCGTGATGCCATTGAACTGTGCGGGTTGGGGCGAATGCAATAAACGCTGTGCCAAACACTTACTTTCCGGCAATACTGATAGTGCACTGCATGTAATGTCAGGTGACCGGCATGGCAGCCCATGGTTGCAGATCGGCCATCTGCCACCAAATCCGTAATTTTCGTCTCCTAGTCCAGTTTGTTGTGTCGGCTCGCTGTAAATCGTCTGACGTGTGAAGCCAAGACCACGTCATATTTTGTTGCTGCTTCGTCGCTTTTCGGAAAAAAAACCCTTCCCTAGCACCATCCGCTTAATCTGGCCAATTAAATGTCTGTGATTCACTCCCCTGATAGCGGAGGGGAGTGAATTCCCACCCAGCTGGCTCCACAGTCCACAATCAAACTTAAGGACGTCCTAATCCCCGCGGGGCGACACATCACACGCTCCACTCAGCGGAGACGTTCTGTGTATTGTCCAGTTATCACATTGTGGCCACAACACTGCGATAAGCGTGGCTGGGCGGTGGCGGCGGCGGCAGTGGCGACGGGAGCTGAACCACGCAGACACGGGCGGCACGCGCTCCCCCTCGCTCGGGGCCCGCCCCTGTACGGGCGCCGCCCGCGCTGCAGGGCACGCAGGCAACAAACATTGATAAATAAGCGACAACATCCACACTCCACAGGCGACACGCCGGAAACAAATTGAGTCTTACACGACCAGTGGCCAGCCGTGACCAGGCTAAACCAGAGTACCTACCCTCCATACGCCGACCGACAGAGCCGGATCTAGAGTATAATAATGAGCTGCGTTTGCTCACAGGGCGAAGCCAGCTGCGGGGTAGAGCGAACCGCTTGCACAGGCTTCTACGTAACACCCTGACTGGCTAACAGCGCCTGACCGCGTGGTCCTCATCTGCGGCTACAAGCCAGGACATTGCGACGAAAAGCGGCGGCGAGGATCGCAAAACTGCTGACTAGAGAAAGAAACCCTTCCCCGAGGGGTGCCGACTGAGGAGTGCGACTCCGTGAGGATAGCGGTCCTCAGCCCGTCCTTGCGGCGCGTCCTCCCGTTCCCTGGGTCGGTCGTCTGTGGGGGCGTCCGGTGTGTCCAGACTGACCGTCCCCAGTCGAACCTTCACTCCGCAGCCCGAGGACAGCGGATAGTGCGTCGTCACTTACAGCGAGAAGTCGGAGGACGCCCCCGAGTCCCCGGCAATCGAGGAGTCCCACGATCCACCGGACTCGGGGGCGTTCTCCGAGTCCTGTGACGACCAGCTGGAGTCGGAGGAGTCGGAGGAGTCCAGCGATTCCCCAGACTCGGTGGCGCTCGAGTCCGTGGAGTTCGCAGTAGTGTTCCCTTGTGAGACATTGCTGTTCTCGCTTGAGCTCCTCCTTTCCTCGGGAGAGACACCGGCATCCTCTTGAGAGACACCGGTGTCCTCAGAGACAATGCTGCCTTCAGAGACATTGTTGTCCTCAGAGACATTGTTGTACTCTTGGGAGATACTGGTGTCCTCAGAGACACTGGCATCCTCTTGAGAGACACTGTTGTCCTCGGGAGAGACAACGGTGTCCTCAGAGACAATGCTGCCTTCAGAGACATTGTTGTCCTCAGATAGTACATTGTTGTCCTCTTGAGAGATACTGGTGTCCTCAGAGACGCTGTTGTCATTTAGAGAGACACTGTCTTCGTGAGAGACATTGCTGTCCTCTGGAAACCTGCCGTCCCCGACACTGCTGTCCTCAGAGACATTGTTGTCCTCAGAGACATTGTTGTCTTCAGAGACATTGTTGTCCACGTGAGAGACACTGTCCTCGTTCGAGCTCCTCCTGTCCTCTGGAGTGCCACCGCTGTCCTCGGAGGCCGAGAGGGCGTACCGCTCTGAGGGCGAGCCGCTGTCGTCGGGCGCGCCGTGGTTTGAGTGTGACACCCCCGGAGATTAGCCGTCCAGCGGATACGCCGAGAAGTCGCTATAGCTTCCGTCGTTCAGCTCACTGCTGGTCTCCCTGAAGGAGAGAGGAGCACGGGGAGCGTCAGTCTACAGTGCATAGACAGTCCTCGGTCTAACGCAGAACTACAGTTAGAAATGTAGGTTATTTACTGATGGCAACTTCAAACCTGATCACCATCCGACTGTTTTTTTTTCCAGCATTTACGTGGTTTACGGTCCCATGCTCTCAATTACTCTACCCTGCTCTCTTCTTAGCCCTTTCCCTGTCTTCTACTATCCCCTTCCCTGTCCAGCTCGACAGTTCCCACCCCTGTACTCTCTGCCGTACCCGCCCGGCCGGCCTGTCCTCTACTGCCCTGTCTCCTATCCTTTACTGTCACTGCGCCCCGCCCCGGGCCAGCTGTCCTCCGCTTCATCTGCTGTCCCGGGCTCCCCCTTCCCAGTCCCCCTACTCACGTGGTGGTGTCCTCCTCCTCCGCCTGCTGGGCCGTCATGGCCACGCGCGCATAGTCGTCCGTGTCGATCGACTTGCAGAAGTGAATGGCGTACAGCAACTTCTCGCGGAGCACAGCCTGACGAGGACAGACGGTTTCCGCATTCAGATCAACACGTATCGAGCTCGATTTACGTTGCAATGGCACAATATTTAAAACATGCGACAATTTGATAAGCTAGCAATTAAAATGTAAAAGGTTCTGCGGTGAATGAACATCATCAGGCAGACATACTGTGACTGTGACCAACGGTGGTGCCGCATGCTCAACACGATAGCACCCCGCTCCATAGAGTGCACAAATAAGGACTAACCGCTAACCTGACTAGACAGACACAGCACCAACTCAATTGGCCACCAATCGTCTCTGTCGGCCTGTCTGTTAATACTCTGTGTCTGTGTCCGTGTCTGTGTCTGTGTCTGTTCCGTCTGCCTCTCTGCCAAGCCTGTCTCTCTGTCTGTAGCGTTCTCACCTTGCACGAGTATCTGGGCATTTTGAGCAGGAAGAAGCAGGTGTAGCTCTCGGGCAGGAAGTGGTCGGCCGGCTGGTACTTGTCCAGCACCTGCAGCACAAAGTCGCGGCCGCGGAAGTCGGCGATGGTGCGCGGCAGCCGCGTGCGGCCCCACACGAAGCGGAGGAACAGGGAGCGCTCCAGGGTGCTGAGCTCCTGCATCACCTCCCAGAACCAGGCCACCAGCGGCGAGCACGCGTCCACGCCTGCGCAGCGAGGGGCGGTGGGGGGGGGGGGGGTGGGGGGGAGACGGTCAGAACGGGGCGCCACTACCGCGGCCAGTCAGTGGGATCAGGCAGCGAATACATGGCGTGAAGTCAAACTTGGGTAATGGGCATATTCATAAGAGTAAATTCGGCGGACAGCATCCACTTTTACTGAACCTCGTACACTGATGATCTGTTCTCTACCAGATCCTTTCGTAAACGGTCACTGGCTACCGTAGGGTTTGTGGTACGTCAGTCACAAGGCCACTGTTGCCGACCACAGTCGAGCTGGACCACAGAAACAAGTAAATAACAGGAATGATTCGACACTAGTCTTTCATAATCGTCACCATCACATCAGCATACCCTACCACCCGGCACCCACTCAGTCCCATACCTACCCTTTGCCGTTCCAACCCACTCTCCCTAGTACCTTTGTAGGTTGCGACGGCCATGAGCAGTTTGATGGGAATGTCTGGCGAGCCGCACACCATCGTCTCCAGCTCCGCGCCGGTGAACAGCTCCAGTAGCGGTACGGGGATGACGCGACTCATACCCTCGCGGACGGCCGCCACCATCGCGTCTGCTTCGTGTAGTCTGTGAGGGGACGGTGGGGAACATGTTAGACACCGATGGGGAGAATATAGACTTGGGTAGACGCCCAGATGGACAAAGACTCAGATACGACATCGAGACAGACAGCGGAGGTGCGACAGACAGACGGCCAGAAAGACAGGCTGGCAATCAGACACTGAGTTACTAACAACGGGGGCCCATCCATACAACGATACGGACAGAGCGGCGCGGACACAAGCCAGAGGCCAGAGGTCGGGCGGGAGTGATCGTATTTGTTATCTCAACTGGACACGACTGCGAGTCCATCCACTCCACAGCTCGTCTACGATCGAGTCTGTCTGCACCACAGCGCGGCGCCGATTCTCACCTATAGTTGAGCGCCGCGCGGATGTACTCTGTCTTGTTATCGTCGGTGACGCGCCGGTATGTGCCACTCAGCAGCACCTCATGTCCGGCCGCTGACGGGGTGCTGAACGGTAGCTCCAGGGAGGCCAGCGCCGGGTCGTCGCGCAGACACAGCAGACCGGGCAGGTAGTCGCGGTCCACCTCGGCCAGGTCAGACGGCGAGAGCTGCAGACCCACCAGCTGCTTCCAGACCGGCTCAGCCAGGTTCAGACTCAGCGGCGAGCCGGTGCGCACCGCGATACCCATCAGAAGGCCTGGACGAGGGAGGAAAACGGTCAGCACTAGAGACACCCAAAACATCCACAGGTGAAAGGTAACGGACATGAGCTAGAGAGACAACAAGATAGACACTGATTCAACCTAGTCAATCGTCAGATTTTCAGCCCAAACCATCATCAAATTTTCGTCCTCAGCCGCACATATTACACACCAACGCCACCCCGACCCCTCCACAACTCGACGTACCTAGGAATGTGAACAGATGTCTGTACTGCTGAGAGCGGGCCGCAGGGTTGAGCAGGTGGCAGTCGCGGTTGGCACCCGCCTCTCCGCGCCCGTTGGGAGTAATGATGAGCAGCGGCGGGCTGCCCGCGGACAGTTCGTCGCACATCTCGGCGATGCTCTCGCTGTACCCGCCGCCGCAGTCGTCCACACTCTCACCTGGTCGGGAGAGTAAGCACAGGTTTATACAGGAGTGCGAGCTACACACGGGCGTAAATGGATTAGAAGGGAAGAGTAATTCAAGCCAACTAATCACACTAGCCTGCTGGAGAAGATCGATAGATGACGACATCCCGGACCTTTTACCTTGCAGTTCTCTAGTACTCACAAGGTAAATGCATGAATGCCATCGGCTCATTCCGCTGAACCGTTGAACCCAAAGCTTTCTCCAACGCACGTAAATCAAGTAAGAGTCGACACCTTCATTCCCATCGAACTCATAATTCTTCCGCCCATCTACGATACTATCTCGTCCTCTTCTGTCACAACTCTCCCCTTTTGCTATCCTCCATTCCATCACTCACCGACAAATTTCACCTTCCACACCCTGTGCGGCAGGAGGAGCGCCTCGGCGCCCAGCAGTCCCATCTTGGAGGCCATCTGGGAGAACACGGTCTTGTGGCCGGAGGTGGCGGCGGCGGTGGCGGCCGGACGGGAGCGCGAGCGGCGCACCTGCATCCGGTTCAGCTCGACCACCGGGCCGTGCTGCCGGTCACGGATCATCGTGGCCTGCACCACCTGAGAGAACCGCAGAGGGGTGGGGAGGGTCATTAAATATAGATGGACGATGCCGGTAAGAGGACACATTCAACGCTACTACCCTGAAACGAGAAGCGAGCGATACAAGTTCGATGAATCGAATCAAGTGAGTAAGATGAGAAGTCCAGAAATAAAAGTCAAGTGAGACCAGACGCGGCCTCTACCAAAAGGAAAGGAATAACTCAATCAACTGAATTATTACTCATCCCGAAATTTTCCAAAGCCTCAGCCATACACTGACCTTTTACATTTTACTCCATCCAATCTGCAGCGTCCCTCCGCTTCGTCTACTCTCCTTCACCCATTTTTTCCCTCTCTAACTACCCACCTTTCTGAAGGCGGCCTCCTTCACCGCCGGCACGACGAGCGTCCTCAGCTGGGGCGCGCTCAGGTGGAACAGCGGCACCAGCGGGCAGAAGAGGTCGCTGAAGTGGTGCAGCACCACCAGTCGGTTACGGAGCACGGCCACCGGCAGCTCGCGCAGGTGGTCAAACTCCAGAGGGATCTGACGGAGGGAGAAACGCAACAGTAGAATGACGGGCGTGTAGCTGCTGAGACAATCGGCAGGGAGGCGACAGTTAGAAGACAGTCGTATGACAGACAGTTATATAGAACAAAGGCCCGATTCGTTACTGGTGGGCGGTCAGTGGCTACATCTTTGTTGTTGTTGTTTATTGGGGCTTTAGGGCGCGTCGACTGCAAAGGTCATTTTGCGCCCATAACGTCGCGCTAGTAAAACAAGTGTTTCAAAAGAAGAAACTTTCTAGATATCAAGACTAGAAAGTAGAAGACTTTATAAAAAAAAGACAGGGTAAAATAAAACAACGCAAAAGCGTCGTAATAGACAACTGACTAGACAAGGAGACTAGAGAGGATTTGGGTCAGGTCGAGTAAATCGCTTGGAATTTGACTGCACGGATAAAGGAAAAGATGTTGCCAGATAAAACCCAGGGTGACTCGTCACCCAGTAGGTGGCGGACAGTGGTACCCGGAGCGATGCGGCCGAGGTAGCGCGTCCGGTCTGGTTCTAAAAGTGGACAAGATAAGAGCACGTGAGCGACGGTAAGAGGCGCGGAACAACCGTTGCAAATGGCCTGCTCGTCTCCGCGGAGGAGGTGGCCATGCGTGGCATATGTATGGCCGATTCGGAGCCTGCACAAGATCACCTCGTTGGACCGGTTGTCTTGCAAGCAAGACCTCCATGGCTCCAAAGTCGGCTTCACCTCACGGAGCTTTCCGCCTCCACGTAGGCTCCACTCTGCCTGCCACTCAGAGAGAATGAAAGATCGCACAGCCGAATAAAGGTCACGCGCCGGCAATGGCAGACGTCGAGTGCAGGAGGCTGCGGCCGCGCGCCTCGCGGCCGCATCTGCCAGCTCGTTGCCGTGTATGCCGACGTGGCTGGGAATCCAGCAGAACTGAACAAATTTTCCCGATTGTTCCACTGACTGAAGTCGAGCTAAAATGTCTTGAACGATCGGGTCAACTGGATTAAAACTCCGTAACGCCAAAAGGCTACTTAGGGAGTCCGATAAAATCAAGTAAGAAAGGCCGTCCGACACCTCGATAAAACACAGAGCCTTCTCGATGGCGACTAGCTCAGATGAAAACACCGAGGCAAAAGAAGGTAGAGAGAATGAGCGGGTATCGCGACCTGCGATAAAAGCACATCCCACTCCCTCAGGCGTTTTTGATCCGTCTGTAAAAACGGTGTTAAAACCATCGTACGAGACGATGTGTTGCAAGGCCCTGACTCGCGCCTCACAAGGCAGCAAGTCATCCTTCTTAACTTCGGAGAGTGAGAGATCTACTTGAGGTTTTGCGTGTTTCCAAGGCGGAGAGGACGTACCCCAGCTACGTCGTACGACACGTAAACCTATGTTGGCTGCGGAGAAGAGACCTCTCATGCGCGCTCCAAAGCAGAGCGATTGTCGCGCTCTGTCAAGTCACATCGAGACCCATCCGACCCGATACAGTTAATCAGTCTCGCAGCTACGGAGACGGATGGGACGGCGCTCTCTCACCTGTTTGGGCAGTTTGCCAGTGTTTGATGAGACGTTGGTGCTCCAGGCCAGAGTGTGGGCAGAGCCGCAGGCCACGCGGTTTATCTTCTTACCCTGCTGACCGGGGAACGTGTCGACGGGGTCAGAGATGTCATTGTCATAGCGAGAGCCCGCAAACAAAACATTTCTTCCAGAGCGAAGGAATACACTCTATCAAACCACCAAACAATCTGAACTTCTAAGTTAGTCTAAGTCAACGCCTTGTTGGGCTGTCTACAAAACATATACGCTCGCAATCTGCAAGTCTTTCACAGAGCGACAGTAGCGCCGCCGGCCGCCCGCGGCACGTACCGACAGCGCAGCTACGAGTCGCGGCCGCTGGATGGCGTTGGTGGTGCCGTCTCCCAGCTGGCCCTCGTCGTTATCGCCCCAGGTGAACACCTCGCCCTCCTGAGAGCATGCCACGCAGTGCAGAGAGCCTGAAGGTGGAGGGGCGGGAGGGCAGGTTAGGTCAGGGCGCAACCCACGAGCCGTGGATAGACATGGAACTTACTTGAGGCCGAATGGGTATTCTTTCACATTTGGGAAATAGCGAAACGTAATCGTGGATTTTTATCCGGTTAGCCGGCGATGTCTATGACCAGTTTCACGTACAGCCCACCGCTAAAGTAATGTAGGGTTTTACCAATCTAAACGGTTGGCTTTGACTGGCGATTGTTTAATGCGAAGTGATTGAAAAGAAGATGTCAATAGCTAAAGTTGCAGCTGCAAGGGTGACGATACATATTAGCTACATTCATGGTTTCATTGTAGTCTGGCTAATCGTTCCTAAGCTTCAGAAGCAGAACATACCCATGACTGAAACCCCACATTACTTCTGCTGTGGACTGTACTTCAACGACGATCCCCCCGTTCCGTCGTTTCCAATTCCATCCTCAGGATGCTGAAATCTTTGTTCTCCACGCCGCAACCCCTTAACCGGGCTGGAAGTGGACAGGCAACTTTATCTCATGCGGGCTGCTCCCTTGGAGCGGCACCGCTGCTCCCGAGGGAGCGCACCCGTAGCCGGGTGCAGTGAGTACCTTGGGGCTGGTCGGCCTGTCCTTTGGGAAGGGCTCAGCCCCGGTGGCTCACTAGGGTGCCTGCCCAGACCAAAAGGGCCTAACCCAACAAAACAAACTTCAACGACAAACAAAGCACGAGGAGCTGCCACTCCATATAAGCTCACATCGCTATTCAACCCACATTATTTGCATGTTGATTCTATCCAGGCCTTTCATGACGATAGACGGAGGCGGAGCCCATGACCCTGTCCCATCGGGACCAGTCCGTCCCAGCCCAACTGTCACTCACCAGACCCATCCGGGCCAACCCGGGACCGGCCTCTTTGACTGGGGCCGGTCGGCCGGCCGGGCGTGCGGGGCGCCGGCCCTACAAGTCGACGGCTCGCACGTCCGGCCGGTGGATAGGGGGCGCCGCCAGCGATACCCCTTCGCCGGGCGGCGCGGGCGGTGGCTGATGGCCCGCCGCGTATCTTTAGTCCATGAAAGGACACCGGGGCGGCTTGGCCAGGCGGGCCACACCACATCACGTGGTGGTGGCGAGCTATATTTTTATAATTCGGCCGCCGCCCAGTCAAAATGCAGTTGAAATGTGGCGTCCGAATTTGTGTATATTGCCAACACTGTATGCCAGCGTGTACGCTCGCCAAATATTACTCGCACGTTGTGGGGGTTTTGAAAGCCCTCTTGTGTCGGTGCATACCAGGTGTTTGCGGGTTTAAACGTCTCAACCTGGAGCGCGCGTTAGCATAGACGGGAAACCGGCTGTTTCGTGTCAGAAGCCATGACAGAGACTGTCCTTGTTGGGCGTGAGAGCCCTCGATTATTATTTACTTGTGTCATATTTGTATGGTTTGTCAATAAATGTTTGAAAAAAAAACTGTCACTCACCGACCGCGATACAGATGATCCTCTTCCCCTGCAGGGCGGCCACCTTCTTTGGACGGCGAACGTGCTCATCCAGGCCGTGACCCAGCCGATGGTAGTCGCCCTTACCCCTGTGGGTCAGAGAGGTCAGGTCAGAGGATTATAGGACCGCGTCCCAGCCCGCCGTGGCAGTCAGCCTTATCCATGTGGCCTAAAAGTCTGGTCAAACATCCGGTCGCGTAATTAAAGACCAGGGCTGGAAATAATTCAGATGCAATCATTTATAATTGTCCTCTACAAGAAAGAAGAAAGGTTCCAAGGGCCACGGCTACGAGAGAGTGCTACATCAGTCTCCAGTCCTCCGTAACAAGACGTCCACACTAACTCCGAGTGTACCCGTATAGATGACACTCCTCACCCATCCCTCCCCTCTCCCTCTCTCTCCCTCTATACTCACCAAGTGTACACGCTGCCGGAGCGAGTGAGCGCCGCCGAGAACTGTGAGCCGCACTCGACGCGCACCACGCCCAGACCGGAGAGCGACTCGATCTTGAGCGGCAGCTTGCAGCCCTCGGAGCCGCCGCGGCCCAGCTTTCCGTAGTCGCCGTCTCCCCAGCTCCACACGTTGTCGTCGTCGGTGATACATAGGGTCTGGGCGTCACCGGAGCCGCAGGCCACGTCCACTACCTGAGCGGGCGGTGGGTGGGGGGATGGGGTCAGCTGACGTTATGGGAATATGGAAAAATCGTCTGTTCTTGCCGCTGGGATAAATTAGCGTTAGGTCTGTCCACTCACCTAACTCATTCACTTATCATTGACATGTTAACAGGTGATAAATCGACAAAGGTTTAAACTGCATAACCTGGCACACCTTGATACGATGACTGAATTCCACTCATTTTCAAATGACTGAAGCCAGCACTCCACTAACAGTCTTCAACCCATCCCCACTCAGTCATCCCTCGACCTCGAGACCACAGCTGCCCCACCACCACCACCTACCCTCCACCCGACGAGCGTCTCGACCAGTTTGGGTCGGCTCTGGTCGTCCGAGTCGCCGTGGCCGAGCCGCCCGTACCGGCCCCGTCCCCAGGTGTACAGGTGGCCCTCGGCAGTGACGCAGGCCGAGTGCGAGCCGCCGCAGGCCACCTGAACCACACGCTTGTCGCGCAGAGCCTCGATCAGACGGGGACGCTCGCAGGAACTGAGGAGAAGAGAAGTTTTTTTTGTGTGTTTTTTTGTGTTTATGTTTTGTGGGAAAGGCGCTTTGATTTAAGCATTTTGCTTTTGCACCGATCCGCGATTATTTTCGCCGATATTTTTTGTTCGTGGTTACCAAAATACACTGAACGAATGAATGAATGAAAGAAGAGGGAGAAGAGGTTAGATGGAGTTGCAGTAAACGGACGTTGGCAGTCACACTGGGGTGACAAAACACCTAGCATTACACATTACACAGGTTGAATATAGCTCCCCGCGAGAAATGCACTCTTTGAAGAGATAAACAATTAATGACCACAAATATTTCTTATTATTCTTTGCGGCATCATTGTAAATTAAGGTAGACTATTGCCAGTTCAGGCAAACATCTGGCTCGGCAAATATATTTCAACCGCAGTCAGTCAGCCAACAGACTTCTGCCGGTCAGCTGGCAGTGACACCCACCTTTTGTTTCCGTGTCCGAGTTTTCCGTCGTCTCCCTCCCCCCAGCTGTAGACCTCTCCCTCGGACGTCAGCGCCAGGCAGTGTTTGCCGCCGCTGTTCACTGCCACCTGGTGGACACATCAGGAAACTCAGCCAGCTCACCAAGCCAGCGGACAATCGCCTAGGGCACACGCTTCACCGGCATGGGGCATAGAGCGCAAAGAACAAAAAGAAATTTGCCATTCGAGAAAAAGGACTACTGTGATTTCATTATGCGCATTATGACATCCCCGTTAACTCCTAACTCTAGCCGTCCACCAATGCTGGCCATCTTGGGATCACGTAGCCCCGTGCCCACCGCCAACAGCTAGTACGAATAATGTTCATGAAACATTCACTCTTGTCCCCCTCAGTCGTGGAACCGTGCCAACTGCCTATCAACTTGCTCAGACACTGATCCGAGTAGGAGGCGGAGTCACAGGAAGCTGACCTTTTTGATGAAGACGTGCTGCAGGCTCTCCAGCAGAGTGGGCGTGGAGACGCAGTCGGTGCCGCCGATACCCAGCCGGCCGCCGGCACCGTAACCCGTGGCCAGCACCTGAGGAGGAGGTCACAGCTCATAGGTCACCGGTGACAGTCAGGACACAGTTCACGGGTCACAGACGCCGATCGTTGGTTACGTTCATAGCCATTGGTCCCACAAACTAGATGACGGGATCTAAATTTACAAGTCACAAATTACGACCGAGCACAGTGCTGATCACGAACGGAGATCTGTAACATAATAAGTCACTAATTATAGGTCAAAGGTTACGTCTCGCCAGGCCGGTCAGAAGATGCACCATTCACATGTCATCATGCAAGCCCCGACCCCATGCTACCCTGCCCTTCCCTTCCCTTCCCGTCACCATTCCTATCCCACGGTACCTTTCCATCAGAGGTGACTGCGAACAGGGTCTGCTCCCCTCCGATCAGTTGGGCGGGTTTCAGCAGCGAGAACGCCTCACAGGGCGTGGGCTGTTTGACCTTGGCGCCGTCCAGACCGCCCAGCTGGCCGCGGTGGTTGTGGCCCCAGGCGTATATGACGCCCGAGCTGCCCCAGGACAGCGTCCAGTCGTCCGGACGTCTGACGAGAGGGACATGACGATCAACCGTGTGGAAGCACTAACTAGCAATTGTAGTAATTTTACAATACAAACCGAGAATACTGGATAATATGGGGACATATGTACCGACGGCACCAATCCATAATACGTCAAGTGGGACAGAAAATGATCATTTTGAACCTCACCTCCTCCGATTTTTGCGAAACTTTGTGAAACTACTCATCTATATGTGAAAAGAAAGGAGACATATTTTTGTCAAAATATGACGTCACGTTTCCGAGATATACGTCATAAAACATTGACTTAGGCAAGGCACATTATCATCTTAAAAGCGTCATAACCATTGAAGTTTTAGACATATCACCACGAGACAAAGTGTGAAATGGAGGGAATAGGTCAGGCTTTAATTTGAGGATAACAATATTGATGTAATTAACTAATTAGTGAACCTAATTAAAATTCAAAAAATAGATTTTGATTTTCCAAAAATGGGTACCCTTCGATTTTGCTGATTTGTACATATTTTATTCTCCTATACATTAGCTACATCATATAAAAAATCCAGAATGGGCCGACGTCTACGTAACTGTCTTTTGGACTTCGTAATATCTGGCACTCGCGTATTTCGTTTTAGCAACCAAGGAGAGGCGCTACCCGGAGATGCTTCTTTCTACCCCAAACCAAAGCAAACAAACCTAACCTGACCTGACGAGACCTGACCTAATCTAACACGCGTAAATATGTAACGCCCTCACGGCAGTTGCCGACTGTCCAATTTCCAAATGCTATACCTAGATACGAACATTAGCCCTCACGACAGTTGCCGGCTGCCCAGATGCTACTTAAAAAACAAATGCGTGTTGAACACTTCAGGCTGACCCGCTGCGAGCCAGCGACCTTTATTAGATTTCGAGGTGGGTACACTCGGCACACTTACTACTAAGCCACGAAGATAGCTGGTCATCGTAAGCCAGTTTTTTAATGATGAAATTGGGCATTCTCCAGGCAGCGCCTCTCTTTGGTTGCAAAAAGAAAATACGCCTGACTCTCCCAGTGCTAGGGGAGAAAAGCCCGGTTTAGCCAAAAAAGGTATGAAAAAACGGAATTTGAATTGTAGATGGGGCGGTGGGGAACTTTATCGTGTGCCAATTTCATGCCCTAGATCAATATATTCAAGATCAAATGAGGTTAAACGTGATCAAATTTGCTATAGTGACTATTTTGCGTTTATACGCCTATAGCTCTAAGAGATACTGGCCGATTTTCCTATTTCTTCCTTTATACGACATTTGTAGTGTTATGAGAATCTCAAGTTAATCTTACCATAAATTTGGCAATAAGTGGCTTGCTAAGAGTAAGATGTCGCCGGCAGAGGCGGGGATCGGCCGACGCGGGAAGCGTCATAGTCACATATTGTGTTTGCACCCTAAAAATTTAATTTTACCAGTTGATTTTCGTATTTATTTTAACATTAGATTGCCTGTGCATTTTTAAGCCTTCACACAAAATTTGACACGAATCGATCATAATCAGCGGTAAGAAGCGCGGTGCAAAGATGGAACCGTCCCGCGCCGGCACAGTCTACCATTCAGGCGGAAACGGCCGGCGCCGGCCGCCGAGCCGCTCCGGCAGGAATGTTTGACTTTACACCGCTATTACTAGAAAAGTTGTGGACCGATTTACCTATTTCTTGCACGGGAGGATTTGCAATTCGATTCTGGACAGATACGTAAAGTTTGACGTTAATATAATAATCATGGCGTGAGTTATTGGCGATAAACAGGTGGAGTTGGCGAAATCGGCCCCTTCCACCGCCCGTGCTACGTTGCACTACTTGTTGCTATATCATCCAAAGTTATCGTTGGCCCACTCTAATTTTCTCAGCACGTGTGCCTTACGTCTAGTGGAAGACAATATCTAAATTTGAGCAAAATCGAAGGGTACCCATTTTTCACAAATTACATTTTAAGAAATAAATTCAAAATAAAATAAATTCAAAATCACCAAAAAATGTAAAAATTGTCAAATTTTACTAGCATAACTCCTTATGTACACGTTTCAGTTTGTTTGAAATTAATAGCTTCAAAAATGTTGAAGCTATAGATCTTTCAAGATTGCAATACACGTCCAATTCTGCTCAAAAAGCAGAAGTTTAGCGACTTGTATCTCTGTAGCCCGAGGGCATATGACAAAATCTTTTCACCCTCGGAGGTTTCACCCAATAGCCAATAAGTATACCAAGTTTGAACAAAATCGCAGAGGTGGCCGATTTTGGCTGTCCCGGTTGACATGGAATGCCCCAATACAGGGTTGTTCACGAAAAACTGACACACTTCAACACGACTTTGTGACCAAAAGAGAGCTGAGAGGCTGACTATGCATACCATTCGAAAGGCTGTTGAAAAAAGTTACCGACATCCCGCACACCGGCAGTTATACTCAGTTCCCACCTGTGTATCCAGTGCAGCAGCTGCTGGTCGCGGTCCTCGGTAAACACGCTGTGATCCACGTGTCGAGAATCAGTGGCCTCCTCTCCGCTCAGCTCACGGATCTTCTTGGCCACCTGAAGACACGAGCACTGGTTAGATTAACCATCGCACGATAAGGTCAAAAGGAAGGAGTGCTGTGAGTGAAATGATAATGCATGCAGTTATGCAAGAGGTAGTTCGTCGGTTCATGACTTACGAGAGGCTAAGCAGATGGACAACATACTTCATCGTAACAATCATGACGAATCAGTGGCAGACTCTAGTCAAGATCCCACCCCACACACGTCCTCTCCCGAATTACCCATTCCCCGGGCCCACCTCGTCCTGGAAGGGTCGCGGCAGCGGCTGTCGCTGTATCAGCGCCGCCATCACGCGGGACGCCAGGCAGTACCGCCTGAACCAGCTCCAGCGGTGGCTCTCGGCGATGGCCGGCAGCCGGTCAAACTCCAGCTCACAGGCCAGCGCCGCCAGTTCCTTGCAGAAGGCGCTGTGCATCAGCTGCTTCCCGGCGCGCACCTGCGGCTCCTCGTACTCGAACTGTCGGTAGAGCGCCTCAGGCAGCGCCTGGACGAGCACGGACAGAGGGCCGGAGGGCGCGGTGTCGGCGCCGGGGGTGGCGGGCCGCCCGGTGACGGAGAGGAGGTATCGCAGCTGCTGCAGCGCCCAGCGGCGCGCCGACGGCTGCAGGGCGCTCAGCTGGGCACAGGCAGCCAGAGCTGCCGTCAGACGGGATACGGTGCCGGGCTCGCGGGCCGCACGAACGTCCAGCAGGTGTCTGTGAAGAGACCGGATAGGGACAGGTCAGAGGGCAACGTTAGCATCGTTAGCATCAATGCATAGAGTGCAGTTAGGTTCACGTTAGCATCTACAATGTCAAATCATTGACCACTGCATACTCAGACCCATGTGTTGGACACATCCATTGTGTTGGAGTCTGAAATCGCAGTCAAATAAGAACATCACAAAACTTACCCATATGTTGCATGCAGATTCCGTTACCTTTCCATCAGATGTTGATGAATTATTACTCTTCCTCACTCACCACAATGTTTCTACCAACACCCCTTGTCCGTCCTCCCACGTGCCCCGCCAGTGAACCAGCTGCCTCACCTGACCAGGTCGAGGCTGGGCCGCGACAGTATCCTGCGGTCGGATCCGCCGGCGCCGGCCGTCTCCGCGCCGTGCGGCATCACCGGGTGCACGGTGAAGCGCCAGCCCCAGCTGCCGCCGCCGCCCAGCTCCGAAACGAACTTCCAGCGCAGCTCGTTACCGGAGACGCGCAGCTCGGTGCTCCAGTCGGCCGGGTCACGGCCGGAGCGGACGGCCAGTACCCGGCCGCCGGCGTCAGTGAGCGTGAGCGGGTCCCTGCGCCGCTCCGAGCAGCACTGCGGGTCGAACTCCACCCACAGGGACTCGGCGCCTGGAGGAAGAGAGAGAAAGGGGTCAGGCTCAACCCAGAGAGACTCGGCAGGGGAGGTAGGGTGAGTCAGACTCAACACAGACCCGGCGCCTGATAGTGGGAGAGGGGACCAAGGACGGAAAGAGGGTCAGAATAAACCCAGATCAACTCTGCATCTGAGGCAGCGGGAGTCGAAGGAGCCAGTCGAGCTGCTGCAAGCTACATACAGGGACCAGGAAAAGATAGTTCCAAGCCGTGTCTCTCCTACCCTCGAGACCTTTTCCCCTTCTCAGCCGTCTCACCTGGTATCCGGACTAGTCCCGATATGTTGGTGTCCCTCAGGTACGGGTGTGACGACTCCTGGACGACGGGCGGCGGCAGGCGGGCCGCGCCGCCACCGCCGCTGGCCACGTCCTCCAGTTCAGTGACACAGGTCTCCAGAAGCATGGCGCTGACTGCCGGCTGGCTGCGGCCCATCGCTGCAGCAGATGGGACAAGGTCAGCCGGTCAGGGAAAGCCAGGTCATAGGCTGCGGTAGAGGACATTGTCAGCTGGGACAGGGCAGGTCACGTTGGGCGTGCGGGGAAAGACAAGTTCGTTGGATCAGGTTGCCAGTAGGACGTGCAGATGAAGCACCGAAGCTTGACAACCACGGCATCCAGCGGCAGGGGAGTGGGAGTTGCACGTGGGTCATCCACAAAAAGGGAGCAGCAAAAGGCACAACCTATCGGTGAGGAATTCATACACTATCCAATTACACTGGCGGCCTAAACTCCGATAATGCCCAAGTTCAGCGAGGGTCAGCGCGCCAAGGCTTATCCAAATACCAACACCACTCATCACTACTGGTCACCTCCCCTTCCCTGCCCTTGCTCTAACCTTTGAGCAGCTGCGCCAGCGCCCCGGTGGCGTCGTCTCGCACTCTGCCGGCGGCGGCCAGTTTCAGCAGGTCGACCAGGCCTCGCGCGTCGTCGGCCGTCAGTTGGGAGGTGAAGCTGTCCAGACGCAGCTCGGGCGTGCGCGCAGTCTCCACCTGACAAGAACAGAGGGGCGGTTAGCAGGGGTGTTGGCGTAGAGAGTATGGCTGGCCACCGGTTACAGGGGTATGGAGCCCAGGCCACTGAAGTGTCAGGACACGTGAAAATGCACCATTACGGGCGTTTAATAAGTAGGATATAGCTAAATGGAGAAGATGCAATGACAGGAGGATATTAATTACGAGACTTAGTCAAATGCAAACAATATTATCGTGCCTGCCAGTATCAGACTCGACTTGTCCTATAAGATCTCGGAACATCAAAAAGTAACACCCCTTCCTAGTTGAAAGAGCAACGCAACTTTTCACATCTGAACCAGCACCTTCCGAGATCGATTCACCAGTCCCCCGACCGACCTGTTCGGGTGCCGACAGCGTGGCCGCCAGCACGGTGATGGCCGCCTGGGACATTCTGCTGGAGACGGTGACCGCGCCGCCGTCAGCCGACGCCTCGTCTGACGCCGAGTCGGAGCCGGCCGCCGCCGCGCCGGCCCCGCCTCCGGCAGAGGCGGGGAGAGAGGCGGGCAGAGCGGCGGAGGCGGAGGCCGACAGGGAGACGGCCGCCGAGCTGGGACTCTGAGAGAGACAGCCGGAGGGAGGGAAGGAGGTCAGCTGATGTAGTGAGCTGACAAGGAGGGCAGTCGAAGTCGCGGCGTGCCGTCTGTGACCACTTCATCTCATGAACCATTGAACAAGGCATCATATGGCGTATGTAATATTCACGGTGAATACTATCTAAAGAAAGCCACAGCAAATGACAGCCCTCCAGTACATAAAAGATTCCTGCAAAACGTCCGATGCGTGACCATCACGCGTAAATTTACAACAGTTGACGGCCCAACTGTACACATCTCATTGCTGAGTCTCAAAGTAAAAAGTACATCATCAGTATCATGCAAAGTGCACAGTGCATTGTGTTTTTTAACCCAGCAGCCACCACCACATGTGCCGCGGTCTCACCTGGTCCACCGTTTCGTCCAGTGACACGGGCGCCTCGCCGCCTCCGTCCGCCACCTCTGGGGTTACCGGTCCGGCAGAGACGGAGGGCGCCGACGAGTCCGAGCCCGACTGAGTGTCCTCGTCACACGAGTCCTGCCAGACGCCCGCCGCCGGCGCCGAGCAGACAGACGACGAGGCTGGCGCTGCGGGAGGGGATGATGAGTGATGTATGGGGCGGGAGCGTACATAACGGGCCGCATCAGTACGGTTAGTCATGGAGAGAACAGATTCAAAATCTTGTGAAGGGAATTTCCCATGGCAATTTAAATTATAACAACAAACAAGCAAAATGGTCTTATTCATGACCAGACTTTACATAGCATCAGCAGCCAGGGAATACATCAAGATGACAGTTCGGAAAGACAATCCCCTACAAATTCATGCAACCACATCCACGGCTACTGGCCATAAGGCGGAGTCACACTCACAGTGATCCGACTTCATGTGGTCGACGCTGGACATGACGGCGGCCAGTACCGTCTCCCGGGCCGTGGTGACCGCCAGAGCCTTCAGCAGACGCTGCAGAGCCATCTGCAACCGCGGAGACACGGGGAGTAGGTCTGGTATAAGAGACCGGGTAGAGTGTAGTCATCGCGAACTAATTGAACATAGCATACATATTTTCATCAAGACACTGTGAATATATATTTTCATTAGCAGTGATGCTCCCCAGCCCATCGCCTTGCACCCGCCGGACGTCAAATCCATTCCTCACCTTCTGTCCTGCCTGCGACTCCATCAGCAGCAGTGACCTGGCCAGGGACATGTGGCGCGTCTTGGCTCTGGAGGCCGCTCCCGGCGCCGCCGCCGCCGCCTCGGCGCCGGCCGGGCTCGGTCGGACCGCCGCGGTCGGGGTCGAGCCGGGACCGGCGGCTGCGCTCAGAGTGTCGGCGCCCAGCGGGTCACGGCCCGATGGGAACAGCACAGGCTCGTGCTGAGCCGGAGCGCTCGGCTCGGGCGTGGTCCAGGCCACGCTGTGGCTCGAGCCGCACGAGACGCGCGACACGCGCACTCCCTCCAGGTCGTGGACCAGAGTGGGTTTGCGGTTTACTTGGGTGGAGCCGTTCCCCTGCTGGCCGTGGTCGTTGTCGCCCCACGCAAACACCTGACGGGGGGGGGGGGACGGGTTATTGGTCATATAAGGCCACATTCACTTTCAGTGGGGACCACGCCAGCGGGTAGTGCGTGATTTTGAATTATTTACCCGTCATGGCAGGCAGAGAGGAAATATATTCGGCTACCTCCATGGAAAGCACCCACGCCCTTTACAACTCAGAGACACACGAGCGCCGACCGATACCTAGCACACATTTCCATATTATCAGTTCACGGGTATAACTCACTCCAGAACAAACCCCATCCACACAAACCCTTCTAACACGGACCCGCTCCCTGACTCTCCAGCTAAATCTGACCGTCCCCCGTACCCTACCTGTCCAGTATCGGTGACGGCCAGGCAGTGCAGCGCTCCGACTCCCACGTGCACCACTTTGTGTGACCGGAGCGCCTCCACCTGGCTGGGCCGGCGCACGTGCTGGTCCGTACCGTGCCCCAGACGGTAATAGTCGCCCTTTCCCCAGGTCCACACCTGGCAAGGGCAGAGGACACAATCACGCGATGTCGTACATGACAGTCTAATTATATCGAGTGCTGTTAATTGTCTCAATCCTCCGAACCACGAATTTATTAAAGATGGACAGTCGACAGGACTCTACTCCAGCCGTAAAACAAGCGCAAAGTCTACAAAAACACCTGGATGGTAAATGCACAAAATCCTGAACTTTCAGTGCCACTTCAAAGAAGTCTAGTATCAATGACGACTCACCCATGAATCTCCCACTAGCCCGGCACCGGTACTGACCTGCCCGGTTCTGGTACGCGCCAGGCTGAACTGAGCGCCACACTCCACCTGACAGACCTCCAGGCCATTCAGACGCTCCACGTTGTGGGGACCGGCGCAGCCCTCGCTGCCGCCGCGGCCTGCGAGAACACAAACACACATAATTACTCCCTCGTACCCATTCGCTATGAACAGCCTGCATATCAGTCGTAAAGCATAACTTGTTTTGGTAAATCAACTGCAGTCTGCAGTTCTAAATTTCTAAGAATCCTATTCAACGTACGTCCGTGGCGTGCTTGCTTGTTTATTTTGTTGGGAGCTTAGCTCTTTGGTCCCGAAAAGGCTATTGCAGGAGACTTGTTTCTCGACAACTTCCCCAGCACCTAATCTTACCGAGTTTCCCGAAGTCGCCGTCTCCCCATGAGAAGACCAGCCCCTTGTCGGTGAGGGCTAGCGTCTGGGCGTCACGTGAGCCGCAGGCCACCTGGACGACACGGTGGCCTACCAGAGCCTCCACCTGGCGGGCGGAAACAGTTCTCCAGCTTGTGAGAATAGTAACAATGACATTGATATGGTGACAAGCTGGGTAGGTTCGTCACACAATCGACTGGTTGCGCGCCTGATCACTTACGTTTTAGTGATAAAAACGCTTCATTCAAACCGGCGAATTAGGTTGCAACGTACACAGTTATCTTATTGCCACATTATCAGCTGAATGATCGACAAAAAAGGCCGCTTGATAAGCGATGACGGCAGAGTATCCCACTGCTGATACACGGACCGCCCAAGTTATTAGCCCCTCTCACTCACCAGTTTGGGGGTGAGGTGGGTCTGTCCGTCGCCGTGCCCCAGCCGACCGTACTCTCCCAGTCCCCAGGTGTACAGGTGGCCGCAGCTCGTAATGGCCGCCGAGTGCGAGCTGCCGGCGCTGATGTCCCGCACGCGCCGCGAGCGTAGAGCCATCACCTGACGCGGCTTGAAGCACGACTGGCGCGTGCCGTGGCCCAGCTTACCGTCGTCGCCCTCGCCCCACGAGAATACCTACGGGCGGAAGACAATCAGTCACAGATGTTAGTCACACAAAATACATGACAGCGAGCAGTCAGTCGCACACAAAACAGCACAAAGATTGGTCAGCATTCCTGATTTGACATCATCTATTCAAAATAACTATAATCATCAATTCACAAACCGCACTCCCCCCCCCACCCCAATCCACTTTACAAACTTTTCCTCAAACACCGACCCAGCTGACGTCTCCAATTCCGTCCCTCACCTCCCCCTGAGGGCACCCCGTCCCTCACCTTCCCGTCCGCAGTGAGGGCGAGCGCGTGCCGTCCGCCAGAGTTGACGGCCACCTTCTTCACCACGTACTGGCTGAGCGAAGTCAGCTGACGCGGCGTACTGGTGATGATGCAGTGACCCAGACCCAGTCGGCCGTTCTTACCCTCGCCGCACGCGTACACCTGGCGAGAGACGGTGAAGTGGAGGTCAGGATGACAGCTAGTGGAGCCGTGTCGATGGAAGTCTACTTTGACGTGATTATCTGAGTGGAACACGGTCAGACACGAAGTCGAAAACATAAAGCTAGCCGCAAATGGTTTACATAGTCATGCTTACAACTCAATTAATGGGCATCGTCCACGTCGTCGACTTGCACTAAGACTTCGTTCGTTCGTTCATTGGGGTTTACGGGCGCGTCGACTGCGGTGGTCATTTTGCGCCCATAACGCTGTACTGGTAAAGCGGATATGTCAACAGAGAACTGACGAACTGAAGAAGACTAGAACTACCTGAGATACGTTATACTAGTAAAACGAGTATATCACAGGAAAACTGATGGATTGAATATAAGAAAAGATGCTGCCGGATAAAACCCAGGGTGAGTCATCACCCAGCAGGTGGCGAATGGTGGTGCCTGGGGCAATGCGGCCGAGGCAGCGTGTCCGGTTTGGTTCGAGGTGCGGGCAACTTAAGAGAATGTGAGTGACTGTGAGCGGCACGGCACAATGGCTACATGTTGGTTGATTATCTCCACGGAGGAGATAGCCATGCGTTGCATACGTATGCCCTATCCGTAGTCTGCAGAGGACCACTTCATGGTGTCTTTTGCCTTGAAAGCAGGACTGCCAGGGCTCCAGAGTAGGTTTCACCTTTCGTAGCTTCTCGGATCCATGGAGACGCCACTCTGTCTGCCAGCTAAACGTCGTAAAAGATCGAACGGCTGGGTAAAAATCGTGAGCCGGCAGAGGCAAACGACGGAGGCAGGGGGCCGCGGCCGCGCGTCTTGCAGCCGCGTCGGCAAGCTCGTTGCCTCTTATGCCTACATGGCTCGGTATCCAGCAGAACTGGATGAATTTACCTGCTCGTTCCACCGACGTAAGACGAGATAAAATGTCTTGTACTATCGGGTTGTCTGGATTAAAACTCCGTAAAGATAAGAGGCTGCTAAGGGAGTCTGACAAGATCAGATAGCAGGAGCTGTCAGACACCTCGATAAAACACAAAGCCTTCTCAATCGCAACGAGCTCGGAAGAAAAAACAGAGGCAGAAGTTGGCAAAGAGAATGTGCGTGTGTCATGACCAGTCACAAAAGCGCAGCCGACACCATGTTCTGTTTTCGAGCCGTCTGTAAAAACCGAGGTAAAACCATCATAAGAGGCAATGTGTTCCAGCGCCCGTGCTCGTAGTGTGCATGGCGGCTGATCGTCCTTCCTGATGTCTGTCAGTAAAAGATCGATTCGTGGATACGCATTTCTCCAGGGCGGCGAGGGCGCGTTCCATGTGCGCCTCACGCCGCGAAGAGAAATGTTTGCTTTTGAGAAGAGAGCTTGCATACGTCCACCGAAGGAAGTCGATCGACCAGCCACTCTGTCAGACCGACTGATCTCTCGCGAGAAGACATACGGGTATGCCGGGTGCGAGGGAAATTGACGAAGTTTTAAAACATACCGCATGCCCAACATCTGGCGACGGAAAGATAGCGGTGGCTCGTGAGCCTCAGCCAGAACGCTGCTTGTTGGCGAAGTACGGAAAGCACCCGTAGCAACGCGAAGTGAGGCATGGTGAATGGTGTCAAGCATTTTCTTACGCGACTCGCTGGCGCTGTCATAAATGAAACTTGCGTAGTCGAGCTTTGAACGTACCAGAGAGCGGTAAAGTAAAAGCAAGGTTCGTCGGTCAGCTCCATACGACGTACGTGATACACATTTTAAAATATTTAGAGTTTTAAAACATCTCTCACGAAGAGTTTTAAAATGCTCGTTGTACGTCAGACGTCTGTCCAAAACAACACCAAGAAACTTTGCAACCGGCTGCGTGGGGATATTTCGCCCGTAGAGGCGGATTCCAAGATCAGGATCGTGGCAGCGGCGGCGGCAAAAGTGAACAGCCACAGTCTTTGAAGTTGAGAACTTAAGGCCATTATCCTTGCTCCACTTTTCTAAACGCGTCACAGCAAGCTGAAGTTGTCGCGACGTGTGCCGCACACTTGAGGCGGAGAACCATACCGCCAAATCGTCAACAAAAAGGGATCTCCCTATAGCCGTTGGGAGTCTGTCGCCAATGTCATTAATCATGATAGCAAAAAGTGCCACACTCAAGACGCCTCCCTGTGGAATACCATTCTCCTGAAGGTGGGAGCTGGACAAGTGGTTTCCAACCCTGACACGAAAGGTGCGATAAGATAAAAAGTTGCAAATGAAAAAGCCCATACAGCCACGGATACCATAGCTGAGAAGCTTCCTCAAGATGATCTGCCGTAAAACTGTGTCGTAAGCAGCCTCAATATCAAAAAAGATAGCCCCAAGGTGTTTCTTTTCGGTAAAAGCTGTCCTCACTTCGGTGTCAAGAGCTAAGATATGGTCAACTGAACTGCGGTGTTTCCTGAAACCACACTGCGCGTCCGTAAAAATGTCGTTATGTTCCAGAAACCAACTCAAGCGAGCATTCACCATCTTCTCCATTAACTTGCAAAGAGCAGAGGTCAATGAGATAGGACGGTAGTGAAGTGGGTCAAGTCCCGACTTGCCAGGCTTTAAAATGGGGATCACCGTGGCCTCTTGCCATGCTGCAGGAAACAAACCGCTCTCCCATAGCGAGTTAAATATCGCTAACAGTGTTTCCAGGGCGATAGAAGGAAGGTGCTTCAACATGGAATTGTGAATGGCGTCTGGGCCCTCGGCGACACTTCGAAGCGAGGATATGGCGTGCTTCAGTTCAGTCATTGTAAAAGGCTCGTTATATTCTATATGATCGTCAGTGGAAAAATCCGCCAAGCCAAGCTGGGGTCGGGCTCGCCCTAGTGCGGGCTGCGAGGGAGCGTCACCCCGGCAGCGCTCTGAGAGTGTCCTAGCTATAGCCTCCGCGACATCAAAAGGATGTATTATATCAGAGTTGTTCACCCTCAGAGTCGGAAGTGGAGAAGAGCTGAGCCGTCCCGAGATGCGCTTTATGCGTGACCACACCTGGCTCGTCGGAGTAAACCGGTTTAAAGAATTAACGTAGGTGCGCCATGATCTGACCTTTGCCTCTTTGATTGTGCGTCGTGCAAAAGCCCGCGCTTTTTTGAAAGCGATGAGGTTCTCCATGGTGCTGTTTCGGTTAAACTGCTTGAAGGCGCGTTTCCGTGCTCGGATTGCGTTCCTACACTCTTCCGTCCACCAAGGGACGGGAGTGCGGTGGGGCTGTCCTGATGTCTTAGGGATGCACGCTTCGGCGGAGCTTAAAAGTAAAGACGTAAAAGCTTCCGCCGATGGAATACAGCCGTCGGCACTGGACAACGAGGTTTCCATCAAAACGGAAAACTCGGCCCAGTCGGCTTTATGCAGGTTCCACCGTTGTGGGCGCTTCCCCAGTGTCGGGGTATCCTGGTACGCAATCCACACCGGAAAGTGGTCACTGCCGAGTGGGTCGTCATGTACCGACCAAGTAAAGAGGTGAGCTAGAAGCGGACTTGCCAAACTCAGGTCAAGCGCCGATGTTTGGCCGGAAGGCAGAGTAAAATGGGTTCGCTGCCCTGTATTTAAAATACAAAGCGACTCATCGCAAATAAAACTTTCTAAGGCACGACCACGTGGGCCGATGTGATCACATCCCCATACCGTGCTATGAGCGTTGAAGTCGCCCACCACAAGGACTGGTGCCGGGAGCTCACAGAGAAGGTGGCGCAGGTCTGCCTCCGGGAAAGCTGTACCAGGAGGGAGGTATAACGAACAGACTGTGACTTCCCGGCGGTATAGGTGCACTCTCACAGCTACTGCTTGCAGAGGAGAGTTCAGAAGGAGCGGTGTGACTGGCAGACTGTGGTGCACTGCTATGAGGACACCACCATGTGCTATAGTGTCCGAATGCAGGTCCCTGCGGAAGACGGCATAGCCCCTGATGGTGCAAGTCATAGTTGGCGCCAGCTTGGTCTCCTGGAGACAGATTATGAAGGGGTTGCGCCCACGTATGACCGATTGCAAGTCCTGGAAGTTTGGTTTTAAACCTCTACAATTCCACTGCAGGATAAAATGTGCTATAGCTGTAGTTTTGAGCGCTTAGGTAAGCGAAAGGTGTCTAAAACTGTAGACTTTGGCTTGTGTTAAAAGAGGGCGAGGACTTAAAAACGCTCCTCGCCGCCGGGGCCCGGGCTACCACCAAAGACCACCTTTGGACGGCCCTCGCGGAGCCTTCCATCGGCAGACCTAGGACGGCCGGTAGCTCCCGGTTGAAACTTCAGCCGCGAGCGGGGGCTACCGTCGTTTGTCGGCGATAGCTCCCACGGAAGTGTGCGCTTCGTGGGGCGGCCTGGGGCGGGCGGCGGCCCCGCCGGTCTCGGTTCCGAAGGTGGCGTGCACGGAGGAGGCCGAGACCCCGACACCTCGCCCGTGGAGGGCGCCGGAGGGGCACCGGAGGGACGCTGTGAGGGGGGCAGTGGGGGCGGTGGGAACGGAGGAAGTGGAGGGGGTGGTGGGGGAGGTGGGGGAGGTGGGGGAGGTGGGGGCGGAGGTGGAGGAGGCGGAGGTGGAGGAGGGGGCGGAGGAGTAGGGGGAGGTCCCAGCAGAGGCGACGGGGCCGCCCCCGGGGCATCAGAGCCTCTATGGGCCGAAGACACTCGACGCTCCTCAAGAGCCTGGGCAATCCGGCGTTCCCGTCTGGCGTCCTGCTCTAACCGTTCCTCCTGACCGCGGCGCAGCGCAGCCATCACTGCAGTCTCCCTTGGCGGGGGTCGGTGCACTTCAGCAGACGTGCCCGGGGCCCGCTCAGCGGAGCGCAGTGGCGAGACCGGGCCCCGGCGACGACCCCGGGCGAGGGTCCACTCGTCCTCCTGCTTCCTGCTTGGTGACGTCTGTGTGGCGGTGCACGACGACGCTTTAGAGCGCTCCTGTTGAACTGATGAGTTGCTGTGACTGTTGGCATCTGGGACAAAACAAAAGCCGAATGACTTCAGAATCGCTATTAGCTGACCGATGCTGTTGTTGGCATCAGTTTCAGTGGGGCAGCGCTGTCTAGAACCGTTGGCCACACTAGCATAAGACCGCTTGGGATGGAGGGCAGCAAAGCGGTCTCGGGCCTGACGAAATGACAGCCTTTCGGTGACCTTCAGAGACATTATTTCTTTTTCTCTCTGGAAGGCCGGGCATCGCCCATCAAACGAGGAATGTGGAGTCTGAGAGTCGTCACAATTGACGCATCTCAACTCAGACGACGAGCACTCGGCACTGCTGTGATCAGTTGCCGCACATCTCCCGCATGCCGGTCTGTTCCGACAGCTGTCTCGAGTGTGACCGAATCGAAGACACTGAAAACAACGCATGGGACTCGGGACATATGGTCGAACTTTCACGGACAGATATCCTATCATCACCTCCCTCGGCAGTTCCAGCGAGTTGAAAGTCAGAATGATACTGTGCGTGGGTGCGAGAGCGCCACTTCTCTTGGTGTAGATGCGGCGGGCGGCGGAGACCCCAAACTGTGACAGGCCTTCGGCGATCTCGTCGTTTTGCATGCCCTCCAGATCGTCGCAAAAAATGACCCCTCGGCTGGAATTTTTCGTGCGATGCGGCGAAACGCTGACCGAAAGGTTTACTTCCTTCCTGCCCTGCTGATCCTTAACTGTGTATGTGAAGTGAGTAGCTTTCAGGGCCCTTTCCGCCTCTCTATCGTCAACAAACTCTACTTCGATGCCTCCGTCTCTAAGTTTTTCACACCTCGCAATCTTACCAAATCTGTCACAGCCCTCTCGTCTCTGAAAGGGAGACAGCGACGCGAGTTTTCGTTCGTCGGATGTGAATATAAGAACTTTTGGTCGTGCTCCACCGACTGCACTAGGTGCAAGGGGTTCAGCCGAGGCTGTGGTCCGTGGGGGTGCCAAGTGATTGCACTAAGACTGGTTCCACTAAAACCAAAATAAGTAGGCAGTAACACACACAAGCGATACAAACTCTCGACCACAGGTTGACAATAGTTGTGATTCTTACCAGCAGGCAGTCCCAGTTACACTACACCCCACCAACCAGAAGTCAACACAAAACATTTGCACATTCTCTTGCCAACTTCATCCTCTTCCGTCCCCATCTGCTCCACACCCCGCAAATCCTACCATCCACCTCTTCCCCCTTCCTCGCTCACCCTGCCGTCCTGTGACACGATGAAGGTGCACTTGCTTCCTCCGGCGATCTGCGCCGGCTGGAGCCGACTCAGGGCCTCCGACGGCACCGGCAGCTTGATCTTGGAGCCCTTCAGGCCGCCCAGCTGATCCTTGTCGTTCAGACCCCAGACGAAGACGCGGCTGCGCAGGCCGGCCGCGGCGCCCGGCGCGGGGGACGGGCGGCACAGGTAGCCGGCCTCAGAGTCCTGGGGAGAGAGAGGGAGGTGAGAAGGGGTTCACTGATGGTAGCCTGCGTGCTGGGTAGAGAGCTAATGGAGGCGTGCGTGAATCTGATGATGAAATAACGCTACCTCGCAGAATTAGAGAGCTGCAATATTACGAAGATTTCACTGTACTAACAGGGAAAATGGGGGACAAGGCCTGCGTCAGAAGTGTTGCACTCCCTGCACAGTCCATTAATTACGAAGGTCGGTAAAACACCAGTCCAATCTGAGAAGAAAAAAGCTCGCAGCCTGCTAAAGCCTATTCATGTTCAGAACCACGATGCCACAACTAGGTACTCACTCTTCCCTCAGCATCTCAATTTCCAGACTCAATTTGGGGAGAGATTCCATGCAGACTCAATTTCCACAAAGGACGTTATGACATGGCTAGGGAAAAAATCATGAATATTGCTTGGGAAGAGCAGATGGAAGAAATGTCAGCAGATCATGCTTGTGACTTCTTCAACAACACGATGACTGCTATCATCCAAGACACCATTCCAAGGCAGAGGACAAAAGAAAAGCCCAACCAACTGTACATGAATAATGAAGTACTAAGGCTCAGGTCTCAAAAGTTTCGTTTGTGGCTGAAGTGGAAGGCAAGTAATAATGACATTGATGGTGCTAGATATTCTAGAATCAGTAACAAATTAAGAAAGGAAGCCAGGAAACTACGCAGGCGCTTTGAAGAGGGTATAGCCAAGAATATAAAGAGTGATGTGAAAACTTTCTGGAAATACGTGAAGTCGAGGGTAAAGGCGAGAATACCCATTGGAGATATACTCACCCCAGATGGCAAAAGAGTAGTAGAAGATGAGGACAAGGCAGAAGTACTCGATAACTATTTTGGAACTGTGTTTACAGCAGAAGACTGTACTTTTGTTCCAGAACTGGAAACAAGAACCCAAGTGGAGCTATGCTCTTTCACTGTGACTCAGGAACAAGTAAAAATCAAACTTCAGCAACTTGATATAACAAAGTCCTCGGGACCTGACGGACTTCACCCAAGGTTCTTAAAAGAAACTGCTGATGAAATCGCTGTACCCCTTACCATTATCTATAACAAGTCGCTAGCATCGGGTAGAGTGCCAAAGGCCTGGAAAATTGGACATGTTACAGCCATTCATAAAGGTGGAGACAAAAGTGCTCCAAGTAATTATCGACCGATTAGTCTGACATCGGTCCCCTGCAAGATCCTAGAGGGATTCGTGAAAAGTAATATCATAGACCACATGATGATTAATAATTTGTTTTGTGACAACCAACATGGCTTTGTCCCAGGGAGGTCATGTACAACACAGCTTATGGAAACTTTGGAAGAATGGACAATATTGTTGGATGAAGGAGGAGCAGTCGACGTAGCCTACATGGATTTTCGTAAAGCATTTGATTGTGTCCCTCATAAGAGACTGCTCAACAAACTCAAAGCTTATGGCATCAAGGGAGATTTACTGAAGTGGATTGAGAATTTTTTGACTGATAGAAGGCAACGAGTTGTGGTGAATGATAAGAAATCATCTTGGTGTACTATCTTAAGTGGGATTCCCCAAGGCTCGGTACTGGGTCTGGTACTTTTTGTGTTGTTTATAAATGACTTACCAGAAGAACTAGATTCAAATGTGAAGATCTACGCAGATGACACAAAGATATACCGACGTGTTAACTCTGAGACCGATCATGATGCAATGCAGGCTGACTTAAACAAGGTCGAAGAATGGTCCGAGAAGTGGCAACTTCATTTCAATGAGAAAAAATGTAAAATCATGCATCTTGGTAAGCAAAAGGAGTTGCAACCTTATACGCTAGGACAATCAGCCATGGCTGTAACGGAAGAAGAAAAGGATCTGGGTGTTATAATGGACAAAAAATTGAAATTTTACTCTCACACTGCAAAAGTGGCGAAGAAGGCCAATCAAGTTCTGGGGTTGATAAAAAAGGCATTTTCAGCCAGAAATAAAACAATGATTTTGCCACTATATAAAACATTGGTGCGGCCGCTCCTAGAATACGGAAATGTGATCTGGTGGTGCACTCCACTCCGTGGTGCACTCCAGAAGTTTTGAGACTTTTTCAGTAGAGACAGTTGTCTGTTTCAGAGAAGCATGAAACTTGTATGACTCTCGAAATGTAACCTCCCGAGTCCAATGCACCTGCTTTAGCGCTCCTGTCACTGCCTGAAGGCCTGCTGATAGGCCTTCAAAGTGAAGGTGCCCAGGGCCTCTGTCACAGCCTCACTCATCTCCTCCACATCCTCCGAAAGACGGCCCCTGAGCTTCCCTGTCAGTCTGTGGAACATCCAGAAGCCACGGGGGCCAGATCAGGACTGTGGGAAGGGTTACGGACGGTTTTGACGCACATCTGTGTCAGATAGTTCGTCTCCATAGTGGACTTGTGGGTGTGTGCGCTACCCTGGTGCAGGAGCCCCTGGCCACAGTTAAAGAGTTCCGACCTCTTGCGGCGAAATATCTTTCTCAACTCCCTCAGACCCTTCACGAATCATTCCTTGTTGACCATCTGACCGTGTAGGGGACCCAGGTTATGGAGTTTTTGCCTTTTTGTTCTAAGTAAGGGATTAATTTGAGCTTCCCAGTGGACCTGCGCCGCTGTCTTTATTGGGTCTGAAGTAGTCAGTGTGTTTTCATTGGACCTTCTGTCTCTTGATCTCATGATGGTAAAAATTCATCCAGCTTTCGTCTCAAGTCACTTTAGAGTCAATTTGCTATGTTTCTCGGGCATTTTTGCCAAGCTAATCCCAAAATTTTATTGCACAGCGACCCTCCAAGTTGTCTTCACATGAACAACCTGACTGTGCTTTACACTGGTCACTGTGACAAGCCGCGTGCGACTTGCCATGTTCAGGGTGACACCGTTGCCGTCTTTTGCAACGTAGAAAAACAAAATTACGCAAGTACGTTTATAACAACTGTGGTAAGGACTTGTGAGAACAACAAGTATCTAGCACTGTTCATACGAGGCCAGTCTCAAAACTTCTGGAGTGGACGACGTATGAAACCGACAAAGCAAAAATAGAGAAAGTGCAAAGAAGGGCAACCCGTCTGGTTACTGAGGTGAAACATCTGTCGTATGAAGAAAGACTGCGTGCGCTAAATATTCCGTCATTGAGTCATCGGCGGTACCGGGGGGATATGATACAGGTGTTCAAAATTATGAAAGGAATGGAACGGGTGAGAGTCGAACACTTCTTCCAGATGACTACAGATACACGAACCCGCGGCCATAGTCATAAAGTGAAGAAACCAAGGGCAAGACTAGCAACCAGACAGCACTTTTTCTCAAGCAGGACGGTCAACAGTTGGAATGCCCTGTCACAATCCTTGGTAGACTCTCAAAGTGTAAACCAATTTAAGAATAGGTTTGACGAAATTCAAACAAACAGCTCACTGTACTCAACTAGTAGCCAGTAAAGTTATGGCACGAGAGTGGTCCAGTTGGGTTCACTTATAAAGTCAAGAGCAGGACCAACAGGGCTTATAAGTCCTCTTTACATGAACATCAAGTACATCAAGTACATCAAGTACATCAAGTACATCTCTCCCATCATCTCTCTGGTATTTCTCCTCTCCTCTCCCAAGCGCCTCTCTTTCCCCTCCCTCTCTCACCTCCTCGCCGTCGCTGGCCAGAAAGTGGACGCCTCCGCCGGCTCCGGCCGAGTCGTCAGTACCCAGCTGCCGGCCCAGGACCCGCAGCGCGTGCACCCGACAGTCGATACCGCCGTCACGGCACTCGCGGATGGCGATCTCGATGTACTGGTGGTACTGCGGGCACAGCGGAGGGAGGGGTGAGACACGGAAGGTCTTGCAGTGGATGAAGTCATGGAGGGCAGACAGGTGCGATGAAAGGGAGTTACAAATTAAAATGTTGGAGGAAACACAGGGACCGGTGGGACATTTTTTTTCTCGCGTCACCATGAGCAGAAAACAATGCCTGGGGACTAAGGTTTAGCTTTAAACGTACTTGAACTCGCTGCAAGTTATAAAATGCATATCATTATGAAGGAACTGGGTTACGGAACTACCAAAAGACATCGGTCAATGATCTCATCAACCCTGGCACAACGCATCGTCCCCAGGCCCAACACCACGCACTTTCCGATCTGACCTCCGCGAGTTCAAACAGCAGTGACCTAATGTGACACTTACCTCCGTGACGTCATAGAGCAGCGTGACCCAGGTCTCGTCGGCGGCCACGGTGACGACGGCCAGCTGTCTGAGGGCGGTCAGCTGCGGGCCGGCAGACACCACCAGCAGATAGGGCATGTAGGAGCCGTCGGCGGGCGAGCAGAGCAGCTGCAGACGGTGGACGGCCACCCCGGGCTGCATCTCCAGACGGATCCAGTGCTGAGCACACAAGGGTGGGGTGTGATTGGGAGACTGTGCGGAGTAACGCAAAATACACTAGTACAGTAACCCTGATAGAAGAGGACTATTAAAGCAAGTAGGCCTTTCTCTGGCTTCCGATTATCAAACCTCCTCAGATCTGCCCTGCAGTGAGTAGTGACCCTTCCCTACCCTTAACTTTGCTCATATCCTTCAATTACATAGCACAATTACTATACGCCCTTCTCCTTGTCCACTCTGACAACAAATAGCTCCCCACCAACTAACCATAAGTCATCATCAGTTTCTCTATCATCCCGCTCTTCCCCACAGCCCTCGTCCGCCGCCCACCTTGCCGCTGGCGCCGCAGCTCTGCCAGAAGCCGCTGACGTCCTCTGCCAGTCTGTCGGCGCACCCCTCCAGGCTGGAGACGGACAGGCCGCGGACGCAGCGCCGGAACTCGGACACCAGGCCGTCGACGGCCGGGGAGCCGGGCAGGCCGCCGGCGCCGGCGCCGCGCCGCCACTGGCCCGGCCGGCCGGCCGATACGGGCGCGCCGCCCGGCTCCAGCACGCGACTGAAGCCGTGCCGGTGGCCGCGCGACGTCCGGAAACAGCCCTCACATAGGTCCCAGCGGTCACACACCTTGCAGATGTAACGGGGGCCTGCCGCAGAGCGAGGAAGTTTCAGAGCATGTGAGGAATATGACACGATTCAAGACTGAAAACAATAATTCAAAATGAAGTGAATTTATTTGCTCCATCATCCTGACTCAGCCAGAATCTCTCACCAGCACGGACACAACTCTCCTGTCCAGAGTTAGTCTGCAGTCTACAGCGCGTTGCCATGCGCATTCCTTGGTGTACAGCTGCTCTCAATACATGATGCCGAAGATAAAAGTGGAAGCCGACTCATTACGTTACGACTATAGGCGCCGCGGCGCACACACCACAGCTGACGTCCGGGTGGCTGGTGGGGACCGGTCCAATACGTACCGACTATGGTTCAGTCCAATACGTTACGACTATAGGAGCGGCGGCGCACATAGCACAGCTAACGTCCGGGTGGCTGGTGGGGACCGGTCCAATACGTACCGACTATGGTTCAGTCCAATACGTACCGACTATGGGAGCGGCGGCGCACACAGCTACACAGCTAACGTCCGGGTGACTGGTGGGGACCGGTCCGATACGTACAGATTACAGTTCAGTCCAATACGTACCGACTATGGGCGCTGCGGCGCACACAGCACAACTGACGTCCGGGTGGCTGGTGGGGACCGGTCCAATACGTACCGACTACAGTTCAGTCCAATACGTACCGACTATAGGCGACGCGACGCGGCGCACACAGCACAGCTAACGTCCGGGTGGCTGGTGGGGACCGGTCCAATACGTACAGACTACAGTAATTCAGTCCAATACGTACCGACTATAGGCGCCGCGGCGCACACAGCACAGCTGACGTCCGGGTGGCTGGTGGGGACCGGCTCAATACGTACAGACTACAGTTCAGTCCGATACGTACCGACTATAGGCGCCGCGGCGCACACAGCACAGCTGACATCCGGGTGGCTGGTGGGCACAGGTCCGATACGTACCGACTACAGAGTTCAGTCCAAATACGTACCGACTATAGGCGCAGCGGCGCAGACGGCGCAGCTGACGTCCGGGTGGCTGGTGGGGACCGGCTCAATCTCCGTCAGTAGGCCGGTCCAGTTACTCTGCTGCGGAAAGTCGATCGTGACGTCCCTCCCGTTGTTGATGATGCCTGAAAAGCAAGAAAGAGTAAGAACCAGGCTAAAGAAACGCGTGGCCCAGTAAAAAGTCATAGGCGGGGTAAAAAGTCAAGTCATTCGATGATAGCAATATCGCATCATGTCGGGCACACGGGTGGAATGGAGGAAAATCACGCAGGTTTGTAGCTTTACATAGTGGTAGGTTAGGGAATGATAAAGAAAAAAGACGTGAAAGTGATGCAGTGAAAAATGTGGGGATTGTATGGATGGGCATGGACACAGCAAAAGTAAGCGTCGCTCCATCATCCCAGCGACATTCCTCTCACCTGTGACTATTCCGACGCTGCGGTGGGTCACCGAGCCCCACTTGTACTTGGGCGTGTGCACGGACGGTTTGACGCGCACCCGGTCCCCTACTCGGATATGGGTGGTGGTGGCGGCCACGCCGGTCACACCCAGTAGCTCCACGTGGATGTAGCGCACCCAGTAGATGCCCACCTTCCGCTGCCAGTTCACCTGGGTGGGGGGGGGGGGGGGGCGGGCCAAGGTAGACAGGCCGGCAGGGCACGTTGACCAACGCTATGGGATGGTAACGGAGGGTAGAAAGTGTGAAAGATCAACTAGGGTACGGCTAGTCCAGAATTCAGGACAATATAAGGAAAAGAACATGTTAAAACATATTATCATCAGTGAGCGCGGAAAATATAATAAGTTGTGCTTGAACCGTTAGTGGCGAACAGGATTTTGAGCGCCTCAGCCAGAATGTCATTTGGACAATGCATCGGGGAAAAAAACTGAAAACGCCACGGTATTTACGTCATGAAGCACTCATCTAGTTTGTATCGATATCCTTCCCCCTGCTGAATATCTCATTCGATTTCTTCTAACCAATTTTCCCATCTGCCACCACTCAGCCTGTCAGTTCCCCACCGTGTGCTCACCTGTACGTTGAGATCGTGCAGTCCGTCCCTGTCCAGTTTGACCACCGTTCCCACGTCGCCCTCGTGCACCTCCTCGTATGATCGGCAGCAGCGCACCGTCTGGCCCACGGCGATGTGGCTCCGCACGTATAGCGCATAGTCGTCGTTCGTGGCGAACTGGTGACGGCGCCGGAACGCCTCGCCGATAGAGGCCTGTGAGAGACGGAGAGAGATGGTTAGCCGGAGCCCGGAAGGCGGTGTGGAGACGGGGTGGGAGTTCAGGACTGACTTGAATAGCTGGGCTGGCATGGTCGTTCCAGAATGAGGAAAACGTAGTTGGTGGCGTTCAAAGTGTAAGGAACACTCCCTGGGTGTGGATGAGAAAATTTAGGGGAACAGCGCTCAAGCCACAATCACACAAAAAAAACATGGAAAACATGATACCGATCCTAATGCTGAAGCATGACGTGTTCAGACCCAACACAACACCACGAACACACCCGCCATACATCCAGCCTGGCAGCAGGCGTGGTAACAGCAAATATATCCCACCTGCGCGGCCGGCTGCAGCCCGGTGGCGCCGGCGGCCGCCGACTCGGAGAGGCTGCTGGCCGTCAGCTCGTCCTCTTCCTCGTCATCCTCGTCGTCCTCGAACTCGCCGTCCTCGCGCTTCTCCTCGGAGGACACGGAGCTGCAGTCGGAGTCGGAGCTGGCCGCACCGCCGGCCGACTGCCGCTCCAGCAGCCAGGCTACCACCGACTCGGCGCTGGGCTCACCGTCTGGGAACGGTACAGTACAGTATAGTACAGGCTGCACAGTACAATACAACAGAGGCCGACTGACGCTCCAGCAGCCAGGCGACCACCGACTCGGCGCTCGGCTCACCGCCTGGGGACAGTACAGTACAGTATAGTACAGCGCAGTACAGTTCTACAGAACGGTACCTGTACAGTTACAGTGCAGGGAAGGGAGGAGAGGCTCACAGCCAGGCCTGACTACCGACTCGGCGATCGCTCACCGTCTGGCAACGCCAGGGTCACATGACAGGGGGAGAGTCTACATAAACGGAAGGCGCCGGGACTAAACGGTGAACACAAACGTTTTGATCAGCGATATTTATAGAGGAGGCTCACGATTGTTACTGCAACAGGGCGCAGATGATATCATTGGTGATTGTACCAATAGTTCTCAAGAACCAGTAGGTCATGGGAAAATGACTAAGGCCTTCTATGGACTCTACAGAAGACAACCACGCAGTCAAACGATCAGTCTGTGGGTATCATAACTACCCACCGCTGACCTCCCCACCCCACCCCATCCACCCGCTCTCACCCATGCACTGGAGGGCTTTCTCGACAGCGCGTCGCTCGAAGCCCATCTCGGCCAGCTGGCGGACCATCTCGCTCGGCGGCGGGGACGAGGTGCGGCGTTTGCGGCGCGGCGGAGACGCCCGCGGCGCGCCGGCCGTCGAGCCGGGGGTGTCCAGACGCACATCGGCGCGCGCGTGGTGCAGGTCGTAGGCCAGCTGCTGAGAGAGCGCAAGAGCCGCCACCTGCCGAACGGGGGTAACGGTAGATGGACTGACCTGCAGTAACTGGGGCCTGGCATATCTTGTACTTGAAACTTGCCATTTGACAGATTCAACAGGCGCATTTCGCCTTTGACTCCAGAATATTCAGTTCATAGCTCATATCCAAAGCCACGGCAGTAAAACGATGCAAATTGTTCTCACAAGCAAACGCCTGCTTACTTTTAGCTCAGCAGTCACCCATCCTTCCCAATTTCCCTAGCTCGCACGGCTGACCCTCCCTCTATCTCATACCAGCTCAGCCCGTTCCTCCCCATCCCCGTAACTACCTCCCTCCCGCCCGTACCTCGATCTGTTCTCGACTGTAGACGGTCCGGACGGGGCTCGGCTGGGTGGCCACGGCTGTCAGACGCGGCAGCAGCTGTCCCCGGGTGAGCACGCGCCGGAGCAGCTGCTGACGCTGCTGCAGCTGCCGGCAGGCGGCCAGAGCGGCCAGCTGCTGCTGCAGCTGCTGCACGCCCACACGGCTCACACCGGCTGGGAGGGAGAGACGGGGAGGGCGGTTAGGGGTACATATATCATTGGTAGAGTGCAAATAATCGCTGTCATTGGTCAACAGGCGTTCAAGAATGTGAGGACAGTCTGCACAAATCAGTTTCATGTAGAAAAGTATACGTTATTTAGAGAAAAGACATGCACTGTCCTATAATTCTTTTCATACTCGCATAAAATAAGTGAAGTTACCATGCCGTTAAAGTGACAACATGGTTAGAACAAACTGCACTGCCAGCTAATCTTCAACTCCCGTCCTAATCTCTCACCCTGCATGGGCGACTTGCTGTGATCACAGCCGGACAGCGGCGCGTCCATGGCGAACGTCAGGAGGCCGGCCCACAGCTGGATGAAGTCGTCCGAGGTGGGGAACCGCTCTATGGTCGCCGGGACAGTCTGACAGGCGGTAACGGCCGCCACGGCCAGACGCCGTACCTCCCCAGCACCGCCGGGCGAGGTCAGACGCACAAACAGCTTCTGTACGCCGAGTCGGACCACCACACCCTGTGTATCCGCGGCTCCTGCACCGCCTCCGCCGGCCGAGGCGGGCGCGGCGGGGACGGTGACGGCGCCACCGAGCCGCGGCCGCGGGTCGACGCCGCCCAGCACGGCCAGGGCGGCCAGCAGAGCCGACTGGCGGTAATCGCCGACCGAGTCCGGGCCGGAGGGAGAGTCGGCAGCGACCGCCGCAGCAGCAGCGACAGACTGGTGGGGGAGGGGAGGGGTGTGTGAACGACAGTTCCACACACTGCCGTGTGTCGGTCGGAGGCGGCATCGACCGACACACATGAGAATGCGATGTTATTATAGCGTCAAATAAAAATAGGCACCCTGACGAGAGGGATAAGCACAGCACGCTCGAAACCACTGAAAAACTGTGACGGGTAGGCGATGATAGAATGATGACGTTGGCGTCGCGTACTTCGATCTCATGTCGGATCACACACGTAATCGGTCCTAAATAACCCACTGTGTGCCACTCTCTCACCTCGTTGTCGGTGGGCGGCGGCGGCGCCGGCAGAGCGACCAGACAGTCAGCCAGGTAGCGGCTGGTGACCTCGGTCCAGGCGGGCAGCTGGTGCAGCCGCCGCACCAGCGCCACCACCGCCTCGGCCACGGTGGAGGTGAGGGAGGCCGTCAGAGAGTGGTGGCCCCGCCACCGGGTCACACCGTCTCCGTCTGAGGGCACACAGGTCAGACCGGGTCACACCATCCACGGCCTGGGGCTAAATCAACGGTCAAATAGAGGTCAGTTGCCAATATGGCAGTAAGGGCAAACATTTATGACCCAGTGGCACTCATTCTCAAGCCAAAACTCTTATCTTGTTTCGATAAATTATTATTCGTCGCTCGACAGCTCAGTCCCAAGTCCCAACCACCCTCGACACATCCGCCCTCGGTCAGGCCAGTGAATCATGAGTATCTGCGTCGGCTACTGACGTACTGTGTGCCACTTTGGCCTCGTTGGCCCCGGTCAGCATGGTGTCTCCCAGTCTCGTGAGGAGTCGGTGGAGCAGCGCGCGCATCTGAGCCGGGTCCTCGCAGGCCGACAGACTGGACGACAGCAGCAGCACGCACTGCAGCTGAGTGGCCACCTGACAACAGGACAAAGAGCGGGTCTGGAGAAGGAGAGAGCAGGACAACGCACTATAGCTGAGTGGCCACATGGCGACGGAGATAGAGGGAGAGCCAGATAGCGCGGCAGAAAAAAGTACTCGATTTGAGACATGATGAAGTTACTGGGTACATGCCATACCTATTGTCGTCGCCTACATGCATTGAGGCGACGCATGTAGCTTGTAAATGCTCTTACCATATCTCTCAACGCAATATTCTTAAGCTACTAAAATATTGCGGTAGCTGTTCATAAGCGACAAAGCTAAGTTAACTTTCAGCAGCTCCTCGCAAAATCATGCAGTTGCCCCGGTTTACTCGGCCCTCCCACAGAACCTCCCAAAGACCCCCCCGCTCCACCTACCGGCACATGCGGCTCGATCCTGTCGAGCAGCAGGGAGGTCCAGGCGGGTCGGCAGAGCGCGCGGCGCACGGCCGAGCTGCTGGCGGCGGCGGCCCGCAGCAGTGGCAGCGTGGCCCAGCTGCGGTGCTGGGCGTGCAGACACGCCTCTGGCTCCTGGAGAGGCGACACCGGCTCCAGGCGGCCGTGCTGCGGGCAGGGCATGGTGATAAGGGGGTGAGCGCGCTGGTGTTCGACATCATAATCTCGAGCAAGACCCTTTCCGAGACATATTCACTGACAAAATTGCCATCACTATTACAATTAACCCGCGCCCCAGTGGCGGTCTCAGCCAACTTCGCCCTAGTGGGGGGGGGGGGGGGGGTCATATGTTACCACCCACCTCTAACTCAAAAACTAAGAGGGCTAGAAAGACGCGGTAAAAAGCAGTCGATAGCTCTCAATGCGTACGTTTGAAAGTATTTCGGGTCATTTTTCACCTTAGAGCAATATTGGGGTCACCAGAGGTCATCAAAGGTCAAAATTTGCCAATTGTCATATTTTTCAGAAAACATGCCGCTATCTCAGGAACTATGGTACCTAGCTAGAAAAACGCATGGAAGAGCAATCGATAGCTTTTGAACTCTTCTTTTGAAAAGGTCATAATCAATATTGACCTCAGGTCAACGGTTTAGCCTCCAGAGGGCAAAAACTCCAAAAATAGCTGTTTTTACGAAAAGGGTTTTTCGACAATAAATTTCGACTACAAAAAGCCACGACATTTCTATTGCCAGAATCGTGTTCCCCTCGCCGAGACGCGTCGAATGAACTATAAGTTGACCTTGAAAGGTCAACTTGAAAATTTGACCTCAGGTCAAGGTCATGACCTGACCGGAAAAGGTCATGTTGCATATCAGTCGATGCGTCTCAACAAGAAAAACACAATGAGACCATCCCCAGCGTTCTATCTCTTTCCAATCGCGAGTTATTGGCAAAAAAAACTGTTTGTAGCCTCAAATGACCTCGGATGACCTTTCTAGAAGCTATCAGCAAAAATGACACCTTGGTCATCACGAGTGGACTAAATCATTGTGATTCTGAAATATTTGGACTGTTCCTATGCGTACACACGGATCTAGAGGCATTTTCATTTTTTTTCCATTGACTTGTAATGGAAAAGTCACGCCACTGACCTGACCTTAGGTCACGGATATAAAAAAAATCCGAGATATACAAATTGTAGGCGCCCATAACAGCATGCAATCCACCAAGTTTAAACCTTTCTGAGTTCTGACAAACACTGCAGGCTGGACATGATTGCAAACTTTTTTTTAGGCTTGGTCAGTTAACTTGACCTGGTGACCTGACCTGACATGACCTGGGGTCAAAAATTTCACACATTGTCCAAAATTGATGTACCAAAAGCTATCTTAAGCGGCCCGCGGTTTTTTATTCACACGCAAAAAACGCGACAGGGTGGTAACACATGCCCCCCCCCCCCCCCACTGGGGCGAAGGTTAATGTAGTAAGAACACTGCATCATCAGTCAGTCTCATGCAATTCCTCCAGCTTCTCTTTGCACCGTGCTTTGGCAGAATTCTTTCCCTCGTGGCATCGAAAGTTGACAGCAATTCACTCCCCTCCTCGACCCTCTCACCCCATACCGTGGAACCACTCCTCCCCTTCCCCCTCCTCTCCGTACCGTGACGATATCCCTGAGCAGCGCGGTGAGACGATGCACTGCCGCCTGGTCGGCCGTCTCTCCGTGTAGTCCCAGCGCCAGGGTGTGCGCCTGCAGGAGCCGCTGGCAGCCCTGACGGAACAGAGCCGTCGGCTGGCGACTCTCCGAGGGCGCCTCCGTGGCGGCTGGAACGCAACGGAGAGGGTGAGACAATGGCACATTTCAGTTGGGAGGACTAGCAGCATATCCGATGAAACACGGCGCCGGCAATTTGTCGTTTCAGTCTCCCTTATATGACACGGGACACACCAGGTCACCCAGCTACACCATTCACTCACAATGGCTGACTTACTATGTTTACAAACAATAGGTGACTTACCATGTTTACAAACACCATTCTAAAGCAGGACAAAACCACACAATCCCAAAGTGACAACACCCACCACCATCCTACTCCCCAACTCACTGAGATCATCGTCATCGTCCTCATCATCCGAGGACACGGGCTGCGGCACGTCGGCCAGCTTGAGGTCGTAGCGGCCCTCCTTGCCCATGCGGTACGAGTTGGTGGAGCCGTTGTCCCACTGGACGCGGATCCAGCCGTCCTCCCCGAGCTCCCCGATCACCACGCCCTCGCCGGACGGGGCGCCGGACGGAGCGCCGTCCTGGGCACAGGGCAGCACAGTCAGACAGTGCAGGGGAGGGGAGGTAGGGCAGGCCGGGAGAAGAAAGACAATACAATTTTGATTTTAATAAGCTTCCTGGGCATTCCATCCAGCCCATTTTACCTCAAAGTAACAAACGTGAATTGAGTATACATGTCAATACACATATTGCATGCAATTGCATATCAATGCAATTGCATATCAATTAACACTGAACAGGCGTCAGCCAGTCATGGGCTTCGTCTACCGAAATTATATCCAAGAGGTGTGTCCAGCCCGACTCACCTGATCTCCCCACTTCCAGTCCTCTCCGCGCACCACGCGGGTGCCGATCTTCATGAGCGCTGCCATCTCGGGCCCTGAGAGCTGGTACTGCGGTGTGGGCTGCCGCTCCACGGCCTCCTCCAGTATGGCCGGCACCGAGACGGGCTGGTCGGGCGGGCCGGCCGGGTCGGGGCCGAGCAGCCGGAGCAGGGTCTGTACGGTGGATAGGAGCCCGGAGCGCAGCAGGAGGGCAGAGACGTCCGGCCCGTGGTCGCCGCTGAGTACCACCAGCAGCGGCAGCAGGAATCTGGCGGGGGATCGGGAGGGAGGCGAGCGGACACGCCTGGGTCAAAGAGAGGCAGAGAAAGGCAACGACACCCCGGGTGTAATTGATGTTACTCCTATGCAATTCCTATGTTTCTGTATGTTTGAGAAAGTGTTGCATAAACCAAGGCCCTGATCTCATCATGATTTTCTGACTTCTTCTTCCTTCACTGATCTGGAGGCATCTTCGAAAAAGTTCGGCTCCAGCTTATCCTGCCAGGATAACTATCCTCACAAGCGGACGACCTCACCAATCGCTAAATACTACCCACTGGCTTGTCATCATTCCCGCTCCGTCTTGCTCCCCGACACACCCTCCTGCAGTTTCAACCTCTCAACCCTCCCTCCCTCCCTCCCTCCCTCCCGTCCCCCACCTGGCGGCCGGCAGCGTCGACAGTCCGTTCTGATCCATGTGGTTCAGATTCTCCTTCAGTCGGGAGGACTTGCAGCCGCGGCCGCGGAACTGCAGGTCGGCAGCTGCTGCCAGCTGCCGCAGCTGCTGAGCGGCCAGCGCCGTCAGCCGGCCGTGCTGGACCAGCAGCTGGGCGCGCTCGTACGGCCGCACCAGCTGCACGCCGTCCAGACAGCACGGCGGGGGGCTGCGCGGAGAGAAGTGACGGTCAGAGGGAGGGCTGCAGTGTGCAGTAAGATGTCAAATTTGTTACATAATTGTGATGAGCGGCCATTTCATATTGCGATACTTGATGACTGGTACAGGCCGGCTACAGGCAGTCAATGCATGAATATGAATCCACGAGCATGAATTAATCATCCCTCATGTCATGACTGTCAAATGCATCTCCTGAAATTTTACCCCAATTCCACCTATCCTTCGCCAGCTGCAGTCCCCGTCCACTTTACCTGTAGTCGGGTTTCAGTGTGGGCCCCAGTCCGATCCAGCCCATCAGTAGGTGGAGCCGCGCGGAGGGCAGCAGGTGTGTTTTGGCCAGCAGTCCCTGGACGGTCTGCAGTCCACGCAGCCGCAGTCCAGCGCGCTCCGTCTGACAGAGCAGCGCCCGCTGTACGGCGCCGGCGTCCACCGCCGACTGGGTGACGAAACTGGCGATACGGGCGGCCACCTCCAGGGCGGCAGATTCCGACGGGGAACACGAGTCGCTCCACTGCGGAATGTACGCTGGAACCAGGCGAGAAGGGATAATTCAGGTTACGTCACAAGTTCGTTAAGGTTATGACGACGAGTACAGCTTACAGAAGCATAGGAAAAGCAAAACAATTACATGAGGACAGCACCAGGTGAATGACGGCTGGTTAATTTAAAGGAAAAATACGGGATAAAACGGCGAAATGTAATACACTTAACGACATAACTATCCACTTACCGTGCTTCTTGGCGGTATCCACCGGCGGCGTGGTGGTCTCGCCGTCGTCCACAGTCACCTCCAGTTTCAGAGCGAGCTTCTCCAGCTGATCCCGCCGTCCGTCGCCCGTCTCCGCCGCTGTCTCAGGACCCTGCTCGGCGGCCGGCGGCGGCGGCAGCGGCGCCAGCCTCAGCGCCGTGTCGGTCGGCCAGCTGCGCCGGTTGTCAGGCGCGCCGCCGGCCGCCGGAGAGCGCTTCCTTCTCCGCCGCTGCTGCTCACTCAGCACGGCCGGCGGTGCCGACTTTTCCATCACCTTCTCGTCTTCGTCTCCGTCCTCAGTCTTCTCAGATCTCTCGTCGTCGACTAGCTTCTCGGAGAGGGCATCTTCTTCCAGTTTGTTGGGTCGGTCAAAATCGGTCACCTTCTTACATCCATCTCCGATGTCCAGTTTCTCTGAACGGTCCTCATCTTCATACTTCTCCAGTCTCTCCTCGAGCTCGGCTAGTTTCTCGGGCAGCGCCTCGGCGGCCAGTTTCTCAGATTGTTCCTCCTCTTCTTCCTCAGAGGAGCAGCGGTCGTCCTCGACAGCCGGGCCTGGGGGTGGAGACACGGTGGGACCGAGACCGGCCGCCGTGGCCGGCTCCTCTGTCGTCTCCAATTGCTGCTTCTCTGCCTCGCCCTCTTCAAGAGGTTCCTCTTTCAGCGAGCCGACCGCCGCCGCCAGGGCGTCCTGGGATTGTATGCTCTCATTGAGAATATCCTCTGGTTTGACGTGCAGCGTCCCGGCCCTGGACTGGAGGATCTGACGACAGGCGGCTCGCCAGCGGCTCTCCACCCGCAGCAGAAGTCTGTGTCCGGAGGAGCTGCGGCCCAAACCGGGCAGCGGCCGCACCTTGTACAACAGAAACCGACACCTGTCGATCGGCTCCGCGCACACCTCCTTGTAGCTGGAGTCGAGCTGCTGCCTGGTGCGGATCAGGGACAGTTTGGTGCGGTGTACCACCCGCAGCAGCTCCGGTATCGGCTCTGGTAGCGGCGGCAGTGACTCCACGTCTGCCCCGCCGTTGACGAAGGCCGTCAGCCGGCGGTGCAGGCCGGTCTGCCGGAGGACGGCGGCCAGCAGCAGCCGCCCCACCTGCTCCACAGGGTGATCGGCCTCCACCAGCAGCGGCATCTGCAGGTGACGCTGCTGACAGTGGCGCGACACGGCGGCGCCCAGACGGCGACCGCCCTCCTCCTCGGGGTCCTCCGCGAACGCTATGATGAGTTTCACCGTGTCCTCCATGGTATCAGAGTTCATGTGCGCCTTGAACGGCGAGTTGCTCGTCTCTCGGTCTTTGTCCACGTCCTCGGAGCCCTGGCACACTCCCCGCTCCAGCCCGCCGTCAAACACGCCTGTCTCGAGTACGGGCGCCGCCTGCAGCTCGGCTGGCTGAGGCGGCGTACCGCGGTACAACGCCGCTGCCTGGAGTCCCAGCAGCAGCGACAGGGAGCGCTCCGTGTCCACCAGAGGTGAGGAGAGGGAGCTGATGTCCGCGCCCAGCACCGCTGCCGCCGCCGCCGGCGGGTCGCCGTCAGGGTCCAGTAGCGGCCCCACCAGCAGACCTTTCAGCAGCTCCAGCGCCTGAGGCGAGTGCTGCGCCGCCTCGAACGCCTTGGTGACATCCTTACCGGCCGAACGCTGCAACAGCTCGGCACCGCACGGCGCTTCCGCTTTGAAATCGTGCACATCATACACCTTCCCGGCGATGACCAGCCAGAGGCCGCCGTCGCGGTTATGATTTTCGACATCCGCCCGTCGGATCACGGGTACTTCCTCGTTGGAGCGCACAGAGTGTGTCGAGTGGGAGGCGCCGATGATGCCCGGCCAGGCGAGGTCCTCGGCGTCCTCCCGCTCCGCGCCGGGAGCCAGTCGGTTGAACCTATCCAGTGTGTCTAGTAGCGGCAGTAGCGGCGCAAACAGGTTCGGTCGGCGGAGCGCCGGGCTCCGCTGCTGTAGCATCAGCAGACAGAGCACCAGCTCCGGGACCAGCACCCCAACCACGTCCTCTCTGAGAGCGGCCGCCGCCAGGGCGAACAACTTGGCGCCGCCGGCCGCCACGCCGCACGCCACCGATAGTGTGTCGTTCACAAACACCAACAGCAACTGCACGTACTTCGCCAACAGCGAGCCCGCGCCGCGGTCGTGACGCTCGCGTTTCTCATCGCCTGGCGCCGGGTCGCCCAGGTGGTGTAGCTCGGCCAGTAGTAGCCGCTGGAAGCGTACCAGCAGGTCCAGGGAGGCCGAGCGGCGCGGCCCGCTGGTCTGGGAGCCGACGGACGGGACGCCGGCGGTCGGCGGCGGCGGAGGCGGCGGCAGGTCCGGGGTAGACTGGGACAGGGTGGGTGACTCGGCGGAGGCCGTGGAGGCCGTCAGGGTCTGCAGACGGTACAGGGTCTGAGACGAGATGTTCCTGCCGGCGAGAGAGGAGTGACAATCAGACGGATCGTTGCGGAGCAGTCACGAACAACACGCTGTACGAAGCATCAACAGCGCGACTGACTCACACCTAATACACAATTGTGATTATAATTTGAGGCCAATCAAATACAATTTCTTCCCGGTAACCTCATTAACGACGGAGTTGTAGCTGACCTAGTACGGCCTTTGATTCTACCATTACCGGCCGACGTGTCCTGACGCGCCGAACCCACCTGAGGAGCTGTTTGACCAGGTGCAGCAGCGGGATGGGCGGCTTCTCGCCGCCGGCTCCCTGCGACCGCTTGGTCTCGGCCTCCAGCTGCGCCTGCTCCGTCATCATCTGCGACAGCAGCACCTCCTTCTCGCCACCCTCCTCCAGGTCCTGGACTTCGACTGGGGGACGGAGGGAACAGGGTGGGTTATGTGTGCAACAGCGGGATCACATCCAGGTCCTGGACCTCGACTGGGGGACGGAGGGAAGCAACGGGTGCAATAGCGGAGTGTCTTGGTTAGGAGTTACGATTCGGGCACCAAACGTAAACCAACTGGATACAGTTATCCGACGGGTACAGTTATCCGCGTTATCCGATGTTCTTAGAGAGTTTTATCATCGCAGTAGGCTGAAAAGCTGGCGCATCAGTCAAATTTCATCGGAATATTAGAAAATTTAAAATCAGACATGCTCGAAAACATGCCTCTCCGGCAAGCACACAACACTGTTACAGGCAAAGGTAGATCAGGGACGCGAGCCGTGCTGGCGGCTCTGCGTCAGTGACGAGACCAGGTGCAGGTCGGGTGAGGTCACATACCTTTGACGGCGGCCCTGAGCGCCGTCTCCAGCCCTCCATCGGCCATCAGTGAGGAGACAAGCAGGTCTGTCATGAACAGCCTGCCCGGGCTGGGGGAGCCCACCTCACAGCCTGTCGAAAAATAGAGGGGCGGAGGTAAAATAGAGGTCAGGCGACGACAGACAGCTGGAAAATCTCAAGATGTCGGCGACAGGAGTAGGGCCAGGTAAAAATCAAACAAACAACGAACTTCTTAAAAAAACCTATCCGCTAACCAGACAGAAAGTTAGCAGAAAGTACGCCAATATTTACGAACTCAAATATAATTCGAAACCAATGATTCACAGCCATCAGTGAAACAGCCTCCTTTCCTTCTCCCTATCCCTGAAGTTCATGTCCCTCCCTCTGACCCTCTAAGGCAGCCATCCACGGAGTACCTGCGTGCGGTAGCAGCGTGGACAGAGTCTTGGCGCGTTCCTCTGCGGTGGGCAGCAGGGCGCTCCATCCGACCTTCAGCGTGCCCTGGGCGGCCGCCTGGACGGCCGGCAGCACTCCCGAGCCACTGGCCAGGTCCACCACCCGGCACCGGAGCGAGGCCAGCAGCCGGGAGCCGGCCGAGAGACCCAGCTCCGACAGGGGCACCGAGTGGGTGATGGCCACGTGCAGCTGGGGAGCGAGAGGGGAGATGGTCAGTCAGGGGATTGGTAGCGGTTATCTTGAGATATCTCATAGTTTTCCTAAAATCCCTCCCGTCCCAATGTCCTCTTTAGAAGGCTCTGACAATCCTCCACTGCTGTCCTCCCCTGTAGTGTGAGCAGTCTCAGCGCGGCCACCATCGTACACTCGTTCTACTGAGGACAGTCCTCCCCCTCCCCCCGAGGACACTGTCCTATCCTCACCTGCAGTGTGAGCAGTCTCAGCGCGGCCACCATCGTACACTCGTCCTCCTGAGGACAGTCCTCCCCCTCCCCCCGAGGACACTGTCCTATCCTCACCTGCAGTGTGAGCAGTCGCAGCGCGGCCACCATCGTACACTCGTCCTCCTGAGGACAGTCCCCCCGTCCCCCCGAGGACACTGTCCTCTCCTCACCTGCAGTGTGAGCAGTCTCAGCGCGGCCACCATCGTACACTCATCCTCCTGAGAGGGCGGCCGGGCGGCGGCGGCGGCCGACGGAGACGCCCGCTCCATCATACGGTCCAGGTAGACAAACGTGCTCTCGGAGACGTCCACCACGAATGGAACGCGGCGTGGCACCTTACTCTCCGAGCCCAGAGACCAGGCGAACACCTGGGGGCGCGAAGGGAGGGGGTGGTTAGAGAGTGGGACGGGGGAGGGCTTTGAGAGAAACAGAGAGAAGGATCCTGTTTTGCGGCGGCTGGGTGTGGTAGGGATTGCCCACTAAAAGAAGTCACTATATTAGGGGAATAATAGAAGACCGCGTGTAATAATTGTGACCCACCATATTTATCTCGAATTGAATTGCGTAACATTGTTTACATTCTGCAAAATCACAGAATAGCAATTCTACAAACAGAACACCTGCCAAAAGTAGCAGCCAGCTCCTTCCTAGTAAAGGAAAGCCACCACACCAGCTGATGTCCTCCATTTCCTACCCATCCCCACTTTCCCCCGCCACTCACCTGAGCGGGTCCACAGCACACTCCGAGCACTGCCCGGCCCTGCAGCTCGGGGAGCGGTGTCGGCGAGGGCAGCACGGCCGGCCGGCCGGCCACGCCGCGGCCCCAGGCCAGCGCCTCGCCGTCCTCTGTCAGCGCCAGACATGTGGTGACGCCCACCGAGAGCTGGCGCACCTTACGGCCTGCCGGGGGAACGGGGTAAGTTGGAGGAAAATGAGAAAGAGTAACATGAGAAAGGGGCAACTGACATTGTCATACGCAAGATTCCTTTACTACCCGCCATACGCACCTTATTACGAAAACCAACAGCAAGGACTTATAGATACACCCATGTATTCATAATTCAGCTATGAAGCAGGTTCTATTACGCATTACAAGCCGATACCATGCATTCTTCTTTTCTCATCGAATCAATCTACTCCGCTGTTCAGTAACCATCGTCAATTTTGCCTTATTTAATCCTCCCTGCCTTTCTGCCATCCCACCATCTTACTCACCTGCCAGCGCCTCGACTTTGAGCGGGTAGCGGGCGTGCTCCTCGGTGCCGTGGCCCAGTCGGAACGTGTCCCCCTTGCCCCAGGTGTAGACGGCCCCGGTGTCGGTGAGCGCGGCGGTGAACTGGGCGCCACTGACGGCCCGCACCACGCGCACCTCCTGCAGTCGCTCCACCAGCTGCGGCACCCGCGAGCCCTCGCTGCCGCCGCGGCCTGGTAAATGGGGAGCATAAACGGTTACCGGGACAGCCAGAGTAATTACGGTCATAATCAAAGCCACAACGGTTACAGTTAGTGCTTTAGTTAGAGCCCCAGGTTCCATTCGCAATAGCAGTCATAACAGATGCCGCTACAATAAATCTGACGAATTGAATCACCCTGATGGACACAGTCAAGGGGATGATCACGGGTACGATCCCGCAGAGCTATCGCGGCTGCCACCGACTCACTTCACAACCACCTTACTAAGACTACAATGGCAGGCACTGAGCACACAACATAGTTATACAGCTATGGTACCGAGTGATCTGTCTAATATCGCTAGACATGCGCTTCCTCACCGAGTTTTCCGTAGTCGCCGTCGCCCCAGGTATAGACCAGTCCGGCGTCCGTGACGGCTACTGTCTGGGCATCGCCGGAGCCGCAGCAGACGTCTACTACACGCTGACCTGGGGGGACAGGGGTCAGGTCAGGTCAACCGAGCCACATCATATGTTCACCACTCGGCCAGTGGGGAATAGAGGTCAGGTCAGGTCACCAGAACCGCAGGATACGTCCACCGCACGCGAACCTGAAGGATATAGGTCAGGTCAGGTCACCGGGGCCGCAGCTCCGATGACCGTCCGGTGACGTCCACCACCTGCTGACCTGCGAGGGACAAAGGTCAGGTAAAGTTAGATCAAATTACAACACACGCCCAGCAACACTGACTTGCAAGGGACACATGTCCGCAGGTAAAGTCAGGTTAGAATATAGCTTGCAGCTGGGACCTCAGTTCTACCTCCCGGTGATCACAGCTGATCATACTGCGTCGCCACCCACCTTTGAGTGCCTGCACCAGTGTGGGCAGGTGGCAGTCCTCGAAGTTTCCGTGTCCCAGCCGTCCGTAGTTACCGCGGCCCCACGTGTACAGTTCGCCGCAGCTGGTCAGCGCCGCACTGTTCAAAACAAAGGGCAGGAGAGGTTAGCCACTTTCAGCGAGACGGGAAACGATTAAAATGCCGATGCAAGACATAATACGACGAAATAGCGTATAAACGCGGCGCAGCAAAGCTGTCTCCCTTCAAAACAGTTTGCAAAAAACATCCGCTGTGTCAAACGTCATGTGACCATCTGACCTGTAGGTGGATCCGCAGCTGGCGGTGGTCACGTGTTTTCCGGCCAGTGCCGCCACCAGGACGGGCGAGTCGTGACTCTGACAGTCTCCGTGGCCCAGCCGGCCGCCGTCGCCGCTGCCCCACGAGAACAGCTGCAACACGCAGCAGGGCCGATACATCAGTTACCGACCGAAACTGGATAACGTTCTTAACAGAAAAATACGGCATACATTCTTCGAAACGCACGTTCTATATCAAAATGGTTCGCAAGTATTTTGGCTCACCTGTCCGTCTGCGGTAACCACCATGTAGTGCTGTCCCTCGGGGTGGGCCGACACATACACCACCTCCTTCTCAGAAAGACCCGTTACTGGCGTCAGAGTCTGTGGAAAACATAAACAGGTCACACAGGGCTCCCAGTCATTGGCAATGAAAAGTGCGCGTTCATGATTATACCAAGTATGTCATGGGTGCCTATGCAGCGATGACATAGCAAAAAGCATACATACTTTTAGCGATAGAAGGCTGATTCCTAAGAGGTCATGAACATCAGATGAGAAGAAACGGCACACGACTAATTCGTATCAAGCTATCCTATTAAAAAACACGACATCCTTGCGTCCGCTTTAATCACTAATAAATCTACCGTCTCGTCATCGCTTAAGTCTTCTTTGTTTTTGTTTCAGACTTATATTAGGGAAGTAAACATATACACTGTACATATGTTACGAATCAATCAAAATATGGTGGTCTACCTGCTTTCACATACCCATGCATACATAAATTATATTCAAACACTCACAATGACGACAAACCCAAGTGTTCGACATTAGCGCCCGGTCCCCACAGGTCGCCTGGCCGTTTTACTCCGCCCCCGGGGGTTCCTTGCACGGCTCGGGTGCTGCCGGAGCCGGGGTCGGGAAGGAGCTGCGCCGCACATGAACCAGTGCCGTAGCGGCTTACCCTACCCACCTGTTTGTCTCTGTTGGAGTACTGGACTGTATACACCACCCCGGACTGGGTAAGGACCAGCGCCGCCTGTTCCCCGCACGCCATCTGACGGAGCCGCTGTTCCCCCAGTCCTTCCACCGCCACGGCGCCGCTGGTGGCCGAGCCGGGACTGCCGGACGGTGAGACGGGTGTGCCGCCGCCGCCACAGCCTATACACAGCAGCTCCTGGCGGCCAGAGTCCTGTGGAGGGGTGGGAGAGGACAGAGAATTAAGCCACCGTCCACATAGAGCAGAGTCCTGATGGCGGGGAATTAGTGGAGGGTGGATAGGGAAATCAGACGTACAAGCCGTGTAGGAGCAGCATCAACACTTCCACACGTCCTATCCTACCACCACACATATCCACACAAAGATCAAGTTTACCAGACATAGCTGCTCCATGCACGCCACAACAACCACTTACAACGAAGTTACCACACCGAGCAAATCCACGTACCTTTTCGGCGGCGCTGTCGGGCTGTAGCGGCGTGGCGAGCCGGTCGAGCAGGCAGAGGGTAACCACAGCCACCTGACGGAGGTCCACGTACATTTCCGGGTCCTCGGGCAGGTCGAGCAGACGCAGAAATACCTCCGTCGGGGACATCTGGCGACAGAGGGGAGGGCGGTTAGATTAGGGCTAAAGGGGTGAAAAGAGTACAGTGGATGGGACAGGGAGGATAGAGCAGCAGCAGCAGTCAGTTGGTGGGGTAGGTAGAGAGGGTAGGGGCTACATTGGGGTATAAATCTGGAAGCCATGCTCTACATGACACATCATTTTAGTATCTTTTGTTTCACATGCACGATCAGAGGCATAAGAATGCATTTCGCATAGGCATCCGACACAACCACATCATAAACCTCAAGCAATAAAACCCCCACCCCCTGCTTCCCTCTGTCCTTCCCCGATCGTCCACCCTTGCCTCTCGTCTCTCTCACATGGTCCACCCGTTTCTCATGCCCCATCCCGATCTCCGAGCTCACCGGTCCAGCGGTGAGCTCCATATGTCCACTGGGTGAGGCGGCCGTCCCGCCTGGTCCGGCGGCGACCGCCCTCAGTCGGTGCAGCAGCGGCAGCAGCGGCGCGGAGCTGCCGTGACGCCGCGTTCTGTAACGAGCGACGGGGAGACCGCTGTCAGAAAAAGGTTTGGTTGATATATGTTGACGGTGAGCGGTGAAGAGTTTTGAAGCCTTTGATCATCCCAGTCTGCAAGGGAATCTCCAAAGCAGTACAGCGTAGTGGTAAAGCCATCAACAGCCCGCAGGCTAGAAGTCTTTTCTACATACCCACTATAAATAATTATCAAAAAAAAAAAAAACTGGGAGGATAAAAGCGATGAAATCAACTGAATCATCAAACTAATATGACATCAGTTCTCACTTCTCATTTCTCTTTCGATCAATATCCTCCCACCAACTCTCTCCAGTCCAGCATCTCTCCCCCCTAGCCGACCGTTACCTATTATCGGCGGCCGTGTGTCCGGCGGCGTGCCAGATCTGCAGCACGAGCAGCAGCACGCTGAGAAGGTGGCTCAGAGCCGCCCGCTGCACGGCCAGCTCCAGGAGAAGCGACAGAGCCAGGTGGCGGTCCGAGGTCGGCACGCCGCCCACCTCACTGTGATAGGGGGACACGCGGGTCAGTGAACACACATCACTGTCATAGAGGGGACACCCGAGTACCAGGGTCACATACAGAAGACAACCGGGACATTGGTGGAGCAGACACGCGACCGAGCTAACCAGGGCAATTATTTTAGATAAAACTTACAAAGAGCTATCTATCGTAAGGTAGCCCCATTAACAACTACTGAAACCGTCGCTGGAAGCGATAAAGCAGCAGCCAGCGCCTCTACTGATCCCGAAACCCATGGTTGAGCTCCACACATCATACAAAGTTCCTATAGCTGCGGCGCTGAAGCCCACACAATCAGCTGAAGTTCCTCTGCCGTAGTGGTGGGAAGTAGGAAGTAGGAACTAACCCCAGTACGACGGAGCGCAGGAAGCGGCTGGCCTTTTCGACCACCTCCAGCCAGACGGGCGACACCTGGTCCTCATCAAACAGATTTCCCTCGGGAAGGTAACGCAGCGCCTCCAGAGACTCCTGGCGGGCGAGACGGGAAACACAGCGCGGTCAGCAAGCAGAACTCGGCAAACGGTGGGGTGGGAGGGAGACGGGGAGAATAGTTGAGAGTTGATACGAATGTGGGGTCAGTCTACATGACTGATTGCTGGTAATGGGATGATATGCAATGTTCATGAAGAATCTACACGCATCCACACACATTGCATCGTCGTGTTGCACTTTCAGTATTTGCACGCTCCAGTGATCACTGTGCTCGTGAAAGCATTCCGAAACTTCGCGTCATTGTGTCTATCGCGATTGTCGGAATGATTTCTCGCGGAAATAGTTACAATGAGTCCAGTTGGCCACCTGTCCCTGCGTCCGATTTAGCACATGCTCGCACCGGCACTGACAATGGTTGGGTTCACAGACAGTTATGCATGTCATCTGGATGCTCCGGACGCGTTTCAAAGCACGGCCGAAGCACACAGGAGTCACGAGATTAGAGCTCTAACTTTGGGTTGCTAAAGCGGAGTTTAAATGGGTTTGTCGTTTCTCGAAATTGTAGTTACTTGTGTCGTAATTAGGTAATGCCAGAGACACCCTGAGCTTTTCCTCCCAGTAAGCAGAAGTCAGAGTCCTTGGTGCCATATTGGTCTCATGCGAACAATTAGGGTCACCCGTGCTACACGGTCACATATACCTACATGTAGGTAGAAAATAGCGCTTATATTCTGAGTCGCCCAGAGTCCCGCACCTTGAGCAGGTCGGAGCAGATGTCGGTGTCCTCTCCGGAGCGCCAGGCGCGGCGCAGGAACGCGATGGCGAACCCCATGGCGGCACGAGAGCCGACACGGGCCAGGCTGTGGGAGGGCGGCTCACCGCGGCCGGCGGCGCCGCGGCCACCGGCCACCACCTGCGGGCGGGGTACGGGCACGGTCAGACGGGGTACAGACAGACAGGCGGGTACATACGGGGTGTAAAAAAGTACACACACGGTCAGACGAAAATACAAGGATTCCTAGGGATTCCGTTTGGATACTGATAAACAGGGAAATGAGAGATTTAAATAAGATTGCGAGACATGCCTCCCGGCAATAAATTGACAGTTCGGTGTCAGCGTGACATCTGTACATGCTGCGTAGCGACTCTCATTGTATCTTATGGTTAATCATTCACGACATTGAATGCTGCAATAAACGATCGTCAACAGCATATAACAAGCCGGTACCATCACTGCTGCAACAGCCAACAACCAAACGAGACATCGTTTCACAAACAGTGACAACAATCTTTAATAACAAAATATTTACAACCTTCTCATAAACCAAAGTATGGTAATTTCATGTGATCACTTGGGCACACTATTAACAAGGGAAAGTGAAAATATCTAGCCCGTAGTGCGCGACTGTGACTGCAGTGCTATCCCCTGAGCGTTAGTGGCAGTCTCCCCATCAGTGTTCGTACTTTGAATGCCTGGGTTGGTATAACGAGCCGGATAGACGATACCTTTGGCGGCATAGACTGACCGCGAGAGACCAGCAGTCTAGTATTTGTGCTAATTACACCACTCATACCCAGCATAGGTATGACCTGTCGTTAGAAACTGCAATGTCGCATAAGAAAATAACACGAAACCACGGGAAACTGCATAGCAAACGAAAAAGTAGCACGGACCATCGGGAAACTGCAGAAGCGCACAAAAGAATAGCATCATTGCATAGTGCAGCCTTGCCAATCAATATATTTGTTTGCCACTATCAACAATTCATGAGAATATTCGCTACCCTGCTAGTTTCTTTTCTCCACTGCACAACGAAACGGACTCATTGTAGAAACTGACAGAAACTCTGCCGGTGGCCACGTTTTCGGAGCAGTGGTACACACGCGGCTTTTGTCGTGTTCCGCCGTCAGCGCTCTATGAACAGACGCACTCGGCGCTACACCGCGGGGGGCGCCGAGTCTCTCATGCTTTCCGTCTTCACCAGCATTCTTCCAGCCCGGACCGAGAACACAATGCTCCCGCCTGGGTGGCTAGATTCCATAAACGTCCGTGGTAAAGAGCTATCCGGGCGAAACTGGCGTCTTGGGTTAATCTGGCGTCTCGCCGGTGACGGCGGCAACGGCGATGACGGTGATGACGACGGTGTTGATGACGCAACGGCACAGGATGACGCCCCGGGGGCGGATCAGGCGCCGTGACCGGTCTGAGCAGCGGAACAGTGCGCGTGTCGCCACCGGTCACCGGCTGGTGCCGGGAACGGGAGACACCCGCTGTCACCGCGCCGAGATTAGAGCACAGGCGAGCTGCGGAACACTTGAGCTGGATATCGACCGACTAGAGACTACAGTACAGAGACTGGAAAGCCTTAGTTAGAGTCTTCCTATGCTAGTGACTCTTACAATCTATAGAACGTAACTATCGGACTTTTTTCTGATCTCTGTAGGATTGTGAAAATGAGCATTTATATACCTCAACAATGTCTCTTCTCGTGCTAAGGTATCAAGTGATGCTTCACACTTAGCACAAATGACATCGTGTCGGGCTAGTGCGGCATTTCACGATTTTTTTCTCTCTCGCGTCTGAAAACTCGGGTCATTACATCGGACAGAGCGCGCCGCTTCCCACCTCGCCGCACCGTATCAGACGGTGTGTCACCGTGCACCAGCGTGTCATATTGAGTGTGTCTGTGTCAGAGTGTGTCATACAGCGTAACATACTGGGTTTGTCCGTGTCTGAATGTGGCATACAGCGTTTCATATAAGGTGAGTCCATGTCTGAGCCACTGAGTATCATAGACGGCGGAACGGGGAGGGCACCGGGGCACAGTGCCCCCTTTGATTTTGGCATTTTAACATTAGCCCTATGGGCGTTGCATGGCAAGAATGGGACCAAAAGTCGGCAGTGCCCCCCCCCCCCCTAATTGAGGGTGTTCCGCCGCTACTGCAGTGAGTATGTCATACAGCGTGCCATACTGGCTTTGTTCGCGTCTGAATGTGTCATACAGGTCAACATCGTGCTCCAGAGTGTCAGTGTCATAAAGCATAATGCCGCGCTGTGGCGTGTCAAATAAGGTGCCACCGTATCCGAGGCAGTCCAATAATGTCAATGTGCCCAAGCGAGTCATACCGCATGTTATCCTCCTCAAATAAGTGTCAGGCAGTGTTCCGTACCCGGGCATATCATACAGTAACAAAATGGTCTGCCGAATCTCTCCGTGTCACACAGTAGGAAGCCAGATGGCAACTGTCGACGACCCACAGCGGTCTTCCACAGACGAACTGCAGCATGGAGAAAGGCGGCCGGTCGAGTGTTGATGTCTGCAACATGACGCTGCTTGACTGGTGGGCCCAAGTGTGTGTTGAACCCGGGACAGAGGAGACAGAGCAGAGAGAGGAGGGTGCCGGGAGGGGCGGAGCCAGTCACACGTGACGGTGCTGACAGCTGGTCACCCGATGACGCCCTGGCGTGACGTTCATGGCGCCCGATGACGCGCAGTGTGACGATGACCGGGACAGCGGCAGAGCTGGCTCGATCTGGTTCAGCCCGGTCCTAGGTGGAACCATGAAGGGAAGTGAGTTGAAGTTTCTTCATGGTCATAGAAGGCGTGAACATTTACGAAAATCGTTAATGACCGGTGATCAGCCAGAGTCGTGGAATGACCCGATGTGTCGTAACAGCAAACTTCCACAGAAAGTCTGCCGAATTCGCACGCAAAAACAACAGTGAGTCCTTGTCTGTCTGTTTTAGTAATGTCAGTCTCAGATGTTCAAGCTGGATATGATCCAACACCTGGTCAACGGTGGTGGGGACCCATCTTGCAAAGTTTGCAAGTCTCGGTAGATATGCCTGAGATGCATGGCGTCACCACATTTTGGCAATCTGTCCGCCTGTCGATCGGCGGTAACTAGGAGCAGATGGTCATTGGTCACTACCTGCCATCGGCGACAGATGGAGGATGACATAGATGACACGCTCCAACCCTGATACGTTCGGCAGGTCCCCGCTCTGTGACGGCAATAATTTCAAAATATGGAGAGTTCGAGAGTTCGCTACTAAACTTACCGGACTAAACTGAACGAAAAAGCGCACCTGAAGCTAATCGTCAAGTGGCTTGGTAAACAAGCCTCTGAAGGAGCAGAGGTAAGTTCTTGTCTTCCACAGCGACCTGAAATGTATTCAGTCCGACAACCAGGACCGCTCCATGCTGATGCGTCACGAGTTGTCAACCTCCACACAAACCCGTTCCCATTATCCGCCAATATCAGCTACATCCCGCCTACCAAGAGAGTCACGCAACCGGCCACGTTCACGCATCGCTTCCGCCCCCCCCCCCCCCTATTCCCGATTCTCCCGCCCGACATCTAACGAAGTGCGCCGTGACTGCCCGGCCGGTGGGCTCCCACCCACCCCGGGGTGCCTTTCTTCGGTCCGCGCCCACTGACAGCTTTCCTGCACGCCCCGGGTCAGGGGTGAGTGCCGGTGGGGGGCGTTGCGGCACCTGTCCCCCGGTTACCTCACGGGTGTCTGACCACTGAGCCACGCTGATGATCGAGGCACGACACCCCCAGTGATCGAATGGCCGCGTGCCGCTTGCAAAATGGATGCTTGAAATGAACAAAAACACGACATACTGTTTGCGCAAGATCGTATCACAAAATGGACAGAGCTTTAGCTGCACGCAGAGATGTATTCAGGTCGTGATTAACTGAGTGCAAAGGTTTACCCCCCCCCCCCCAAAAAAAAAAAATCCAGAGCAGAAGAAGACGTGGCGAAAAATTCAAATGAATGCCAAAACGTGATGATATTCCGGCCAAAGAAGCAAAGAAACCGAGCCAGAGTTCGCTAGGGACCCCCTCCCCCCAAAAAAGGAAGTTTAAAAACATGTGAGACGACTGCTTTAGCAGCAAAGTGATACAGTGGCATAAAAATCACAATTTCTTCGTTTTGTTTAACGAAAACATAAAATTCTTAACATAGCTTATCAACTTTAATCTTAAAAAGGATCCAACAAATCTGCCCATAAGTTGTAATGCAAATATCTTAGGCGTAGCAAAAAGACATTTTTTTTAGTGACCAGGCGCAGCGAAGATTGTTTTTAATGACCGAGAGATAGCAAGCATTGATATCAGACATAACGTTTAAGCCACTGAGAATAGATAAATACGATCATGACCTTTCGCCACTGCTCGTGTGCATACAGAAAAAAAAACGTTTAGCCCCCCAAAACAGAAAATAAAGCATCCACGCTACCATTCGCTCACAGTAGCGGATATGCAGTCAAATAACGCAAATGCGTGAAAGTGTCAATGTAAATAAGAAGTTTTTGTAGGTGATGAGGATCGATCGCACAACAGTTTGAAAACGTTTATTTTGCCCACCGGAATGACCAAACCGGTACAATAAATCCAGCAGCAGAGCCAGGGAAAATGTGAAGCAAGAGGCGTTAATTTGTCTGTTGGCACTGATAGTGGAATTGGGTGAAAATACCATCCGACGTACGACGCACAGTTTCTAACAATGTTTTTTTTTTAGTCCAAATCAGTCCCATTTACCTATCAGAGTTCAACAATGTGGATGTTGTAATGATTAGTCCACAAAACGGGCAAAGTACAGATACAAGCTAAAACCATCGTCAGCCACATGAATGTTTACGAGATATGAATTTTAAAAGAGCTTACAACACAGTAGAATGTCTTCAACCTATCACACTTAAAACAAAAACAACACGAGGGGCTAGGGACGTTAGGTAAGGAATCGGATACACGTTAGGTAGGGAATCGGATAAACATCATCCCTGTTTCTGTTTGGAGAAAAAGATAAACTAAGAAGCATTGTCGATAATAAGATGTTTACAGAAGAACCTCATGCGCAGGACACGATAGGGTATGCGCAGAGCACCATTTCTGGGGCAGGAAACATCACCAGTCCGACACAAAATGACAATGGAAGCTAAGAGGAGCACCATGCCGATCACGACTGATCCCACCCACCGGATACGGAAGGCATCAGACTATCAGTGCCGAGTCGCGATTCCACCCTAGGGCAATCTCCACCACACCTCAGGAAATGGAGCAGCCACGACCTGGCCCAGAGGCGGCCCACTGATGATACCGTAACTCCGGAAGGTGACGAGTGGGTGGTGGGCGGTGGGCGGTGGGCGGTAGACGGCGGGCGGTGGGCGGTAGGCGATGGGCGGTACACGGTAGGCAGTGAAGAGTCGTGACCGGTGACCGGCCGACGGCACTATATAGCCGCCGCGCCGCCGGCACTTCCCCACAGTCGGCCGCCGGCGCCGCCACCGACAGCAGCTCAGCCCAGTCGAGCCCAGCTCACCCGCCGGGTGCAGCCGTCACCAGCGCACCGTCCACCAGCCGGCAGAGCGCGGCCGAGCGCGGAGATGAGGGTGAGTAGACAAACGCAGAGGTGTGACGGCCCCGCTCACCCGCGCCGCCCCTTCCGGGACTGTGATGTAGCGGGAAATCGATTTAGCCACATGATACCGAGATAGGCCAGCTGCTGGTGAGTGCTCGTTAGCGAAGCGTGGCTGTGACGATACCTGAAAGAAAGTGAAATTACCGATGGTATCTCGTTAACGCTGAGTTAGTCGAAACTCGCAACAACTTGCAATCATACCGTGACGGCCGGCGGGTTTGATTGTAGTGATTATCATCTCATGGCGATGGTTTCCCTCGCAGGTTTCTCTGATGATCATCCTGTGCGTCGCTGCCGCCACGGCACATCGACACAGAAGGAGTCTAATCGGCGAGCTCGGGAGCACAGAGGGCGACGCTAAGCCGACGATCGCGGGCGATGAGGCAGACAGCAGTCAGGAAGACCTAAAAAATGGTCACACATACGGCACGCCAGAGGATCCTGAGAGCACTGAGGATGAAACTGGCGGTGACACCGGTCTACCGACGAAGGAAAACAGTGAGAAGCTGAAGTCTGTCGACAACCAGAACAATGCCGACAAATTGGAATCTGCTGACGTGAAGGTCGAGGGCAAGGACCAAACGCCAAACGAGATCGAAAATAACGTAGAATTATCAGAGACTAACGTCAAGGCCGAGGAAAAAATCGATGAAGTCCCTCAAAACAATCGTCCAGAGCCACCCACTCCAGCAGAGGACAGAATCTTTGAGGAGACTTCTGATGATACCAATTTAGGCGAGGACCAGCAGGCTGCGGAGGGAAAGCCCTTTGTGACGCTGGCCGATAGACTGAAGCGGGGCTATGAAGAGGATCTGGCCGTGGCCCAGCTGACCGCAGGGTACGGCTTCAAGAAGGGTTCGGGGACGGGCAGCGAGGCTGGAGCCGGCCAGCGCCGCCAGGGAGGACGGCGGGGCGCCGCGCAGAGGGGATCCGGTCGGAGGCCGGCCCCCGTCAGAGGCTACCGAGAGGGACCCGTCCAGGCGGGAGGTCACAGCGGAGGACAGGGCGCCGACAGAGGCTACAGTGGAGCTCAGAATCCAGTCCAAAGTTATAACGGACCCCAGGAGCCCCCTGCAAGCTACAATGGACCAAAGACGACTCCGGAGGGTTATAATGAACCTCAGGAACCTATTGGAGGTTACAATGGACCCCCACAGCCTTCTGGGGACTATAATGGACCCCAGGAACCTGCTGGAAACTATAATGAGCCCCAGGAGCCTGCTGGAGGTTACAATGGACCCCAGGAACCTGCTGGAAACTACAACGGACCCCAGGAACAACTCGGAGGTTATAACGGACCCCAGGAGCCTGTTGGAAACTACAACGAGCCCCAGGAGCCTGCTGGAGGTTACAACGGACCCCAGGATCCTGCTGGAGGTTACAATGGACCCAAGGAGCCTGTCGGAGACTACAACGGACCGCAGGAGCCTGCCGTCGGATACAAAGGACCCCAGGAACAGCTTGGAGGTTATAACGAACCCCACGAGCTTGTTAGAGGTAACAACGGACCCCAGGAACAACTCGGAGGTTATAACGGACCCCAGGAGCCTGCAGGAGGTTACAATGGACCACAGGAGCCTGTCGGAAACTACAACGGACCTCAGGAGCCTGCTGGAGGTTACAAAGGACCCCACGAACAGCTTGGAGGTTACAATGGACCACAGGAGCCTGCTGTAGGATACAACGGACCTCAGGAGCCTGCTGGTAGTTACAACGGACTCCAGGAACAGCTTGGAGGTTATAACGGACCCCAGGAGACTGCTGGACGTTACAATGGACCACAGGAGCCTGTTGGAGGTTACAACGGACCCCAGGAACAACCCAGAGGTTATAACGGACCCCAGGAGACTGCTGGACGTTACAATGGACCACAGGAGCCTGTTGGAGGATACAAAGAATCCCAGGAACAGCTTGGAGGTTACAACGGACCACAGGAGCCTGCTGGAGGTTACAACGGACCCCAGGAACAACTCGGAGGTTACAATGGACCACAGGAGCCTGTCGGAAACTACAACGGACCTCAGGAGCCTGCAGGAGGTTACAACGGACCCCAGGAGCCTGCTGGAGGTTACACTGGATCACAGGAGCCTGTAGGAAACTACAACGGGCCCCAGGAGCCTGCTGGAGGTTACAATGGACCACAGGAGCCTGCTGGAGGTTACAACGGACCCCAGGAACAACCCAGAGGTTATAACGGACCCCAGGAGCCTGCTGGAGGTTACAATGAACCTCGGGAGCCTGCTGTAGGATACAACGGACTCCAGGAACAACTTGGAGGTTATAACGGACCCCAGGAGACTGTTGGACGTTACAATGGACCACAGGAGCCTGCTGGAGGATACAAAGAACCCCAGGAACAGCTTGAAGGTTACAACGGACCACAGGAGCCTGCTGGAGGCTACAACGGACCCCAGGAACAGCTCGGAGGTTACAATGGACCACAAGAGCCTGTCAGAAACTACAACGGACCTCAGGAGCCTGCAGGTTACAACGGACCACAGGAACAGCTTGGAGGTTACAACGGACCTCAGGAGCCTGCTGGAGGTTACAACGGACCCCAGGAACAACCCAGAGGTTATAACGGACCCCAGGAGCCTGCTGGAGGTTATAATGGGCCCAAGGAGCTTGCTGGAGGTTACAACGGTCCCCAGGAGCCTGCTGGAAGTTATAACGGACCCCAGGAGCCTGCTGGAGGTTACAACGGTCCCCAGGAGCAGCCTGAAGTTTACGGTCGCGAGCGGAGTCCGTCGGGCGCGCACGGCGGCAAGGCGGCGCCGCAGTACGGGCCGCCGCGGCCGTACCAGTTCCAGTACGGCGTGCAGGCCGGTCCGTACGGCGGCGCCATGTTCTCGCGCACCGAGAGCAGCGACGGCAGTACGACACGCGGCAGCTACTCGGTGCTGCTGCCGGACGGCCGCACCCAGCAGGTGCACTACGACGCCGACCACCGCGGCTACGGCGGATACAAGGCGCGCATCACCTACACGGACGCGCAGAAGGCGTCACAGAAGGGGTACGGCGCCCCACAGCAGCAGCATCAGCAGCAGCAGGGATACCAGTAGACAAACAACGTCGTGGTCGCAAAGGAGACGAAGTCAGGTGATAATGATGTAAGCGTAATAAGTAATAAGTGGAGGTTGTGAGCGCCACAAGCCATTGTCGTTGATGAGCTAAGAAGATCGTTACTGTCGCATCAAACTAGATGTATTTCGAAGTCTTTCACTCAGTGTTGTCATATGAGCTCAGAAACTAATGCTAGTTGTTATGAAATGTTCATGAACGTGTTGGCGCATGTGTATTTCTACGGAAACCGTGTATATTTACTGGCTTGTTAATAAACAGCAATATGCATTTCTAAGGCGTGGGCAATATTTGACCGGCAGTTAACCATATGCCAGAGCGAGTGACAATCATTTAACAGACTATGATGAAATAACAGTCCTTCAAAGCCGATGAGATTTTCAATGGTCGCCACAGAAAACATTTTCTATGTAGATGGTTGTAATTAGTCGCTGGTAGGCGGGTATTCCACCGGTTTGTTCAATCACTTGATGTGTCTGAATTTTTAGTAAGGTATAGGACGAAAGTGAAATCACGGAATTTCCATATCTGAGCCCTCAATCGAGTTGGCACTAATCTGCACCAACTCAACTTCATACCGAATTCACGACGATGCTACCCTTGTCACATTCTCTCTGCCCGTCGCTATAACTGTTATCTTTCCTGTCAGCGGCCTATTACAGCTCTCCAGCGCCCTCCCTGTCCTCATCGCTCCCTTCCCGATCCCACTCCTCCCTCCCCCGACCTCACCACTCCATCCCGATCCCACCCGTCCCCCTCCCCTGACCTCACCCCTCCCTCCCTGACCCCACTCCACCCCGTCCGACTGACCGCGGCGGCGGCGGTGCGCGCTCCGGTGTCGGACGCGTCGGCCGGCGGCTGCGGCGTCAGCGCCGTGAAGTAGCGACGCGCCACGGCCACGCGCTGACGTATGCGCAGCGCCGACAGACAGCTGAGGCTGGCCTGCGCGGCCGCGGCCATCTGCTCGCGCTGCAGGGTGCGCAGGCAGGCGGCCAGCTGCTCGGCGGAGGGCGAGTCCGACCACTGCCATGGCTGCAGCTGGGGGACGGTACAGGGTGGGGGTTAGCACACAGATACATGGGGAGAGGTAGCGTGAGGTCCGAGGAGCCATACAGAATCAAACCACCTCAACTAAGTTCATGACAGGGTCTAATGTCTCACATAATCCTGCCACCTGAGCATAAGCGGCATAGCCAGCTTTAATCGTTTGCATACAAAAAGGCTCGAATTTATATGAAAAAAAGAAGCATATTCGATCTAGCCATCAGATCAGCGTCACACTACCCCTGCCGCACCTGATCCCCACCGTAAACCCACCTGAGCACGTGATGATAAGGCCGGCTCGTCACTCTCCGTTCCCTCCGCTCCGAGCTCGGCGTCCAGCTGGCGGCAGGGGCCGCAGTTGCAGCCGTATCCCGGGCCGCACAGCCCGTCGCAGCAGGGGCACGTCAGGGAGCGAGTGCCGCAGTAGAAGTGGCCGCTCTCGCCTGGAGATGTAGGTAGGCATAGGGGGTAAGTTGGGAGTGATGAGCAAATGGATTATTAATTGGAGCAGGCAAAACTGTTTGAACAATGACATGAAAATGCTGTGGTGACCACAAAGTGCATTGTCAACAATGTAACATACCTACAGCATACATATTGCTTTGTTTTTTTTTTACCAAAATACTCTCTGGCCTCTGCCTATCAATCCACTCTTCCTAATGCCCCTTAGGAAAGCAACCTCCTCTGGCTATATCAGCTTTCCTCTTCAACCCCTCCACACACCTCTCCTGGCGACAGCTCCAGCCGAGTTGATCACGCCATCGGTGAAGGCGCCAGTCAGCTCCCCATCTGTCAGCATCTGATTCCAGAGCCGACAGAGGCCGTCACGACTGAACACCTCCTGTATGTCTAGCTGCTGCCAGCGGGCATCCAGGTGGCGCTGGCAGCGCAGGGTCACCCCGCCGCTGCTGCAACCACCACTGGTGCCGGCCCCAGAGGCGCTCATAGCTGGGTGAAGAGCACTAGGAGGGTGGCAGTTTTCCCATCGTCACCTGAAGGTCAAGTGCCAAAGTGAGAGATAAGTAAATAATGAAATGACTGCTGCAGCTGTAGATTCAATTGTAAAATATAAAGCATTGAAATGTGCTGAGAAGCCAAAAACAATCAATTTGCTTAGCACTTTCAGGTGAACTGTTGATGTCAATGTTCAGATTATGTTTTGTATCTTGTGAGTTTTTTTCTGACAGAAAAATCACAAGCCACATGATTATTTATTATTCAGCCTTAACTTTGCAGAAAAGCATCATCAGCATCATGTTAAAGGGCTGCTGATTTGAAACATAGGATTTAACTGGTCTGATATTATTTTTCACATCAGCTGTAGCCTGTAATTTTTGCATTAATGCCAACATCTATGAGCTGCAGAGTTTTGAGGTCATCTGTAGAGTTCATCTGTGAGCTGGTTTACATGTCGGCAAAACTAGCCTCTGATTGACTTTATTATGACTAATCAGCATGAGAGCTGAAAATGATTTTGACGTGTCTCACAAGTGTGTGCCCATTGGTTCCGAGTGACATAAGCGTGACTGTTCCACCAACCACCCAGCGGCCCAGCCATACCAATAATGGTCTAGTGAAAACCTGATAAGCACCCTATCTTCGATTATCTCTTTCAAACATAGTTTATATTCCTTTCCAGCTCAATTTTAATTGTTTGGAGCTTTGAGTTGAATTGAGACGATCATGAAATTGACCTACCATGAGAATTGAAAATGAACGTCTTGATCCTGGTACCATGAATGGCACGAAGCACCTAATTACTGAGAAAAGCAATTAGCTACACTAGGCAATAAATAACTACTAAGTATTTATCATGAAAATTGAAGTATTCGTCGCTCAGCAAAGCAAACCGACCGACCCAAACAAAACACAAATCGCACGTTTTCATTCATTGCTGCCAGATGAAGCGATATGGAATCCATTTTTCTGCTGAAATCCCCAACGGTAAAGTAAAATACTTCACATGACTTGAGATACGTGGCCCTCAAGTCTCACCTAAAACGATTCCTAGGTCTTTATTTCTATGATTCCTAGCACCATCTTATTTTTCTTACCTCAAGATAAAGTTAGCTTGAAATATCTACGACACGAATTATGGTTCTCCACGTTTTTGGTTGTCAGTTTTTTCCCACTAAGCTCCGCAGTCCGCATTATGCAGTAGGTACCGTCCATTGTTCTCATCACAAACAAGGTTTCTTAGGTTCCGTTTGTCTTCATTAAATGTCAATAAGGAATGCATTTGTAGCCTCACGACAGCACAGCTTACAAAATCAAACTAGCGGTGACAACAGGAACGTCTAGCTGTCGACACAGGCGACAGATGGCTCCACCAGCGGCGGCTGCCGAGCGCAATCTCACCACCCCGGCTCCTGAAAGACGGCCACCGGCGCCGGACGAGCGACCTTCGTTGCAAACAGACCAGAATACTTTCCAGTGACGGGACACAACTCGACAAGACATGCAGTTGGCACAGCGAGCAGGTACAATAAATATACAGAAATCATTGTGATCTTAACGGAAACCGTCGGCAAGTAACATGTCGATGCGATGTGCCTTTCTAACTACAAAACATATACGTAATACCGTAATTGGTGATGACAATGCCGTGGCATGTGCCTAAAGCTGCGTCCGGTGCCTATCGCCGTAGGCACCGTCTCGACTAGGTGCACCTGTTCTAAATGAGCTCTGGGTAAAACATAAACATCATCTGCAACTTAAATAACGCGGTGCGTAGACAACCTAAAACACTGCGATCACATTACGCACATGGCTTGGCAAGGTCTGGGCGCGCTTTGAGCCCGCAGGGGCCGACCGCCACGCGCTCCGCCAGCGCCACCGCAGACACACCCACCGACTGTAAATACTCGGTGGTAAGCGCGCGGGCCGACCAGACAAGCACACCAGCCCGTGCCGACCGCATAGTGAGCCATCACAAGAGGTAAAATTCAACAATACATCACATCGAAGACTAGACGGCCGGCGGCGGCAGCGGCAGCGGCGGACAGGCTCTCTAGAAAGGAGGCCAGTTGAAGCCGCCGGCCGGCCGGCGGCCGCGCGTGGGTCCCGTGCGTCCGACCTCTGCGCAGCTACAAGCCCTGGTGTGTCACCACCTGGGCGTCGCTGCTGGAGCGTGAGCCCATCTCAGCAAAGTGGACGCCCTCGGTCATCCGCTCGCCGACCACGTTTTCACGCCGCTCGCCGAGCCGGCTGCGCGTCAGCGAGTTAAGCTCGTTCAGTTTTCCGAGCAGGAACTGTTTGTCGTGGCCCTCCAGCACCAGCTGCTCTTTGAGCACCTCGATCATGTGTTTGTTGGCCGCGGCGATGGCAGAGTAGTAGTACATCGCCAGTAGAAGGATGATCACCAGCGGCACCGCGAAGCCCGCCGAGCCGAAGTAGTAGAAGAAGTTCCGCAGCCAGGCGGGCAGCTCGTCCACCGTCTTCTGAATCTCCCGCCACATGGTGTCGAGGCCGCGGTACGGTCCACACGAGCGAGACGGCCGGATCTCGGCGAGTGAGAACACCACGATCAGTAGCGAGGCGAAGAAGGAGAACAGCGAGACGAGCATGTAGAACGCCGACGAGCGGATCGAGTGCAGCGACAGCGTCGGCGGCGTGCAGACCCGGATGCACGTGAACCGCTTCAGGTAGAAGAAGAGGAAGCACAGCAGCGCCGCCACGCCCGGTAGGAGTGGCGAGAAGAAGACTCCCAGCCAGCAGAGCGCCTGGTTGTACACCACGTCCAGCACATGGCGCGGGATCTCAAACTCCTGCAGGAACAGCGTGCGCAGCCACGCCGCCGGAAAGTGGTCGATGAATATGCGCAGTGGGAAGTAGACGAAAATGTTGAGTCCGGCCAGCGCGGCGAAGTCGGTAAGCATGAGACGCCAGCACATCTGTCCGACCACAGTCTCCCAGCAGGCGTTTCTCTGGCAGCCGTCCGCGTAGCAGGCGTCGGGGTCCAGCCGGCCCTCGCACTGCGCCTTGTACTTGACAAAGAACGAGTACATGAGCACTGCGATGGAGGCGACGCGCAGGAACACAGTCCGCAGCAGGGTGAGCGTCACCTGCACCTGCGGCGTGTACCGCTCCAGCGTCACGATGTGGTACATGAACATGGTGACGACGATGTTGAGCCCGGAGACGGTGAAGGGCGGCAGATACTGGTAGATGTAGAGCTCGATGCCACTGTCTGCATTCTCCACGTTGACCAGCGAGTACTGCACCACGAAGTAGATGATGACGCCCGAGATGATGAGGATGACGGTGACGATGATGTTGGTGACGGTGCGGACCACGTACAGCTGGACAGTATCCATCTGACTGCGGTTCCGCCGCTCCGCCTCGTACTGGTCCGTCTCCAAGTAGCCCTTCAACTCGTTAAACACGGCCTTCTGCTTGTACTCGGCCGAGCTGACGTTGTCGATACAAAAGTCCCACGCGCTGAAGATGACGTTGCAGTACTGGTAGAACTTGCCGCGCGACAGGATGGCGTCCTGGAAGCCGTGCGCCGTGTGGATGACCACGTAGACCAGGCAGAGCAGCAGGCAGACGAGCGTGACAAGCACGTAGGCCAGAGGCAGGTTGTAGTAGATGCTCGTGTGCGGCGCCACCAGAATCTCGTTCTCGTAGTAGCCGTAGAAGAGCGGCGTCAGCTCCATGTAGCCCTGGCCCTGCAGGAAGTCCATGAAGGCCTGCGCCACGCCGCGCCACCGCATGGCCGTCACGTTGGCCACGTACTCCTCGTGGCAGCAGGCGGTGATGGTGGCCGGCCGGTCGTCGTCGTCACAGTGCTCCGTGTGGCTGGGCGGCAGCAGCGCGTTGGGCAGCACCACCAGCAGCAGCATCGCCGCGAACATGGCCAGGTTCATGTACATCACCTTCTTGATGTAGTGGAAGTAGGAGAGCACGCCCGTGCCGAAGTTGCCCTCGATCAGGCGGAGGGAGTCGTGCCACAACTCGAACGAGAAGATGTCGACCATGGCGTCTTTGAAGCGTGACCAGAACTTCTGACGGGTGAGGTGAAACCGCTGCATGCCCTGCATCCGAAACGTAGGAGAATTCTGAAAGCAGACGAATTGATAGATTAGTCAAGTGCCAGATATAACAGACCAAACACTCAAGTACTGATCCCTGCCAAGTGTCATTCAGTATCACCTATATGGGGATACATGTAAATGTAAAAGAACTGAAGTGAAGCGATAAGATATTCCTACCACAACGGGTTATTGTTCCATTGATATCCAACACTCGACAGCCTCGTCAATATCAATGTTAATTGATGTAATTATTTGCTTGGGCCAAGATGGTAAAGTGTCAAACACTTACTAAGATTATCACACTTATAAACATAAGCCTCAAAAGCGATCACACAAAATGATGGTCGTGCGGTGATCGTACCAGCAGTTTGTTTTTGCGTTCCCTCTTCTTATCCATGGGAATGGGCATGGCCTTGATGGCCTGAATCTGGTCCCAGATCTGCTGTTCGTCCGGTATTTCTGCAACAAGGAGACAATGACGTCATTATCGAGTGACGTCACGGGTCCGGCTATCTATCAGCCGTTCCCGAGAAAAAGAACAAAGTCTGACGCATGATACATTTCTGTGGACAGGACGACTGACAGATGTCGGGTAGAATAACAAACACACTGGCAAAAGCGACCAACAGGGATGACGTCACGATACAACGGTTTGGCAGGTGGATACACAAATGACGTCGCTGCCCGGTAGACTTCACAGGTAGGCACGGTTGTCATTTGTAACACCATATTAATTATCCTGTTGCTGAGTAGCTACCAACCATTTGTTTTGAAAGGAGACAAGAGTCCAAGACACGGTGACTGCCAGTCATCGAGCGGATTTCCGAGCAGAAATAGATCATATGGCGCCGCTCTGCCGACGGCATATCACAGCGAAGTGACAGCTGAGGAGCGGTGACGACACCCGGAACCGGTCCGCCCAGCAACCGCCCGACCCGCGGCGATTGTCCTACACCGGTGCCGGCTTCAAAAACCGCAGGTCGGGTATATGTACGGGTCGGGTAGAAAACGACACAATATTACGTCGAAGAATTGAAACTTTTGTATGTATCGAAGGTGAGCATGGTAATTTGATTCGGAAAATTAGGGATGGAAATCAGCCGTGAACATAAGTCACTCACGGGCATTGCCCTTGAGCGACTGTGGCGATCAACCAAGCATTGCAATGAAAGTTGCAATTGTGTTGCGTCCATGCAAACTCTTATAGTCCGCCTGTCCCGTCGCGGTGCGGGTTTCGAGGCAGTTCCGTTATTCGCTCGACGCTAGCATCGCGATTTATCGGCAGGGCGATGGACTGTATACACCGCTCCGTGGCTTATAACCGCATGGATGGGCCGCACTGGAGCGGAGGGGCGGAGCAGGTGCGGAGACCGGAGCCGGTGTCGGTCACATCCGGGTACCGAGCGGCGGGCCAGGGGACGGGACCGGCCAGTCAGGGGTTCCCGTCTACAAGGTCCGTACACTTCTGGTACACACTCGTCGGTTCCTACGACGTGAGTCGATTATGTAACAGTGTTATTCAGATGGCAAATCCTAGAGTGGAAGCGGTCCCTGTGCGCTGCGGCGAGTCGATAACGTGAAGACTCGGCCAATCATTACCCGTGTGCAACCACCAGAACTATAACAGGCTTACATTGTGTGAATTCGTACAACTATCGAATCATGTGAACTAAATCAGTGACCGCTCCATCGGGTCGGGTCTGGATTCCAATGGCAAATGCCTGCCTGGTATGCCTAAAATCGTCAGCACCACGACCAAAGTCAACAGAAAGAATCGTGGGCTGCTCCGTCACAAAACACTGTTATCCAGGATTTGATAACACATGAAAACCATAGGCGGCGGAACGGGGGGGGGGGGCACCGGGGCACCGTGCCCCCTTTGATTTTGACATTTTAACATTAGCCCTATGGGCGTTGCATGGAAAGAATGGGACCAAAAGTAGGCAGTGCCCCCCCCCCCCCCCCCCCCTTACGCGAAGAGCATTTTTAGCTGTGAACATGAGCATCAAAGGCACATCTCCAATTTGCGTCATAGATAAACCAGAAGCGTAGAACACAGATAAAATAATACACAGAATAGCGCACCGAGGCAGGGAAAAAACAAGATATGGAGTGGGACAGCTGACTCGCTATCATATCCCCCACAGCGCTATCGCACACAATCTTGCCACTTTTTACTGCTGTCTGATCGGATACGGTAGGACATCACACGACCTCACAGACTTTATCTGGGGTAGATAGCCAATAGCTAATTCCATATGGCCATAAAATTGCAAAGCATATCACAAAGAGCACTCATCAAAGGGCTGTTCACAGTGCAACGTTTAAGTCCGGTGTGACAATAACGACAAGGTGTGGGCAGATACAAAGCGATTGGATAGGATACCAGACAGACGATGGGTAACAAGGCTGTGGAGCGAAGGAAACCTGAAAGGGTGGGTGTAATGGGAACGGAAGTCCAGTGGTAAACTTGGCTAAATATCAACGATCACCTCGATGAAATAAGTTGAGACACAGGCAATTTGTTACACTGATTAGGTATAACAAGCTGAGGAACGGGCGATGAACGGGTCAGACAGAGGGCGAATGGACTGAGCCACGGCTGCTGGATCACCAATACCATGTCACTATCCCAAAGTTGTGGGAATCCTAATACAGCCGCACCTACGCCCCCTGCCCGTCCCTCGTCACGTACCTTGATCGGGCAGCACTGCCGGGTGGTCCACGTCGGTCTGCGACTGTCCCAGCTGGCTGGGCCGCACGGTCAGAGTGGAGCGACGCTTCCCCAGCGTGCGCGTCATCTGACCGCGACTCATCGTCACGCCTGGCGACGACATGGTGGTTCCCGGTCAGATCAGGTCACCAGAGGTCAGCTGAGGTCAGCTTAAATCACCATAGGTCACCAAAGGTCGCCCTAGATCGTCAAAGATCAGTTCAGGTCAGTCAAATTTCGGCCGACCCGACGGAGCACCGACCACACACAGACAGCGGTCACAGACTGACTCCCTCCGTCCGCTGCCGTCCACTCTCCACCATCGAGAGGCCACTCAGCGGTCAGCCGGAGGTGCAAACGGACACAGACGCACCCACACGATAACAAGGCGGGAGCTCCCCGGCTCTCACAGAAGATCTCACATAACAGGGCATCTCACATACACTCCTGAGCACAGATGACGAGCAGATTTTATCAGTCGACTCTGTTTGTTTCACGGTAGTCGGTATCAGTGTAAGCGATCGACCCCGATTACCCATAATTAACGACGGCATGATTTAAGGTGGTAAGTGGTAACTGATAACAGCCCTATCAACATAAGTGGAAAGTACGCTCTGCATAGGGTTACTCAATAGGTTCTCGGTAACCTCGCCAGTCATACAAAAAAGGTGTGACTTGGGGCGCATGTAGTGCAGAGCTCATCGGCGCCCACATTGTCTATTCTCCCGCCGTGTAACCAGATCGGTTCAGCTCACATCAACCGTAATCTCGGCCGTCCACCATCCCGCCACGTCCATAAAGCGGTCCTACTTACACAGTAGTCTCAGCAGCCCAGCATATCTGCATACGCCACCCCAAAACAGACCCACGACACTCACCATCGACGGTGTGCAGCAGCTGCCGACTGGGCAGGATGTTGAGCAGCTGCGCCTGCGACGAGGACACCCCGCCCGAGAGGCCATCGTCGGCCTCCAGACCGGCCTGCGACGACGGAAAGTGCTCCTGGTAGAACTCGCCGCGCGCCTCCTCCCAGGTGGAGGTTTGGGGGCGCGAGCGGCGCGCCATGCCAGTCGCCGCCGCTCACCAGTCCGCCCGGCGCGCTACTGTCGGCACAGGACGGGCGCGGGCCGCGTCACCGGCGGTGTCACAGTCATAAACACGGCAGCGGCGGCGGCGGTCAGGAGGGGGCGGGGGGGGGCAGTGGCCTTACAGGAGCGGAGTGGAGTACAGCCGACCGTAGGGAGGGGGAGGGAGGGGTGATAGTGGGAATTAGCAGCGAACACGGTCAGAGCCGGTGTGAGGGAGCTCGGTTACGTCGGACAGAAAGCTAACACAGAGTGAGTCACATGAGACTAGACAACTAGCGGTGAACTGGGGGGGGGGGGGGGCGGGGCTCGGATGATTGATGGGATCGAATGGCAGCGGTGAATGCGCACCATATGCGATAGCATTGAGAACGAAACCACAGCCAGCGAAACAATACGCCAAATAGCGCGCCGCCAGTCTGCGTATTGGCCGTGACGACTGTTCAGGGCCATCTTCCGCCCTTTGTGCATGGAGGCAGGACGGTTTCGTCACTTCCACGGCAGCCACAGTGCGTCTACTATTGACGGCGGGAGTGACAGAAAATATGAGTTTGGATACAACACACTTAGCACCGCCGGCCATCACTGTCCGTTTGTGGAAAACGTCTAGAGTCCTCCAAAATGAAAGTGAGCCCTTGCATATTCTGTCGTTAGGGTTTGAAAGCTCGCACCGTTACTGACGAAACCGGTCAGTAACAGACCCCTCACGCGGCACGCCACGTCGGTCGCGAAAACCGCCACCCGTCCTCCGCAACCGACCGGTTCCACCGGCGTATTGTTTGTCAGCTAACGGCCGGCACCTAACCGCTAGCGGTGTCAGGTACATGCAAGCGTTTTTGCAGTCAAAATTACAGCTAAGTCTGTTCGCCGCGTCGATTCGGGTAGAGTATTGGTACATTGCAACTTGCAAGCACAAAAGCTGGTAACATGCATTTGCTTGCACCATACCCTTTCATTAGACATGCCTAATAATTTCTTGGACACAAAGCACAAGGAAGTTCACAACTCAGTAAGAATGGATGCTGAGTCATAGCTGGCACATTTTGTCCAAAGCAAGAGCCAAAGGAAAAAGGTTGTCCACTGTCCAGCCCAGAGCAATAAAAAAGGTTAGATACTCCTGATTAAAAACAAAAACAAAGCTAAAAGACCAATTGATTTCAAACCAACATACATATTCCATCTTCACTTATCAGCCATGGCACAGTCACTATCCCCAAAAATGAGCATAATGCATATCATTCAGTCTGTATTGATGAGATAATTAGACAGGCAGGTATTTTATTGTCTGCTGAAGCATGCCTACTTTTGAGTTTTGACACATTATTGCCCAAAAAGTTTGTGATAATTTCATATCACATATGACCATATCAGACATGAGGAACAAATGGGTCATGGATACAAATTACTCCTGCACTTGCAGTATCCAAGAGCCACCTACTTCCACATGGCTGGTTACCATTCACATAACTGTGACTGAGAGTGCCTAAAAACTATTTACTGAATGCATGACTCATGAGACAATTGTCACTAATAACATTGACCCATCCAGTGAGGCCATTCATTTATAATAAGAATCAAGCCAGTAAAAACTGACATGACTAATTGGGTATCAGGTGTTGATTAAGTGATGTCTTATATGCATATTTTCACTCTCAACCTCATCACTTGCTGAAATGCTAAATATAATTCCTAAGTAGGTCTAGCTAGTAGCTACTAGCTAGGGTCAGCTAATAATTTTTTGTTGGCAATCTGATGAAATACAGATCACTTCCCATGACCTGGTGGCCTGAAGTAAGGACTGAAGAGGCTGGAGGTTTACATGAAATCTGGTGAAAGTAGCATGTGTAGAGAAGAGGAATGAAGCTACCATTATCCTAAGCAAATATTTTAGCCCCTCTGACAGTTTGACCTGACCCATGCTTATAGAGCTCCTGAGGCAAATGGTAGTTAAGTCCATACCAATTCATTTCCATCATCAACAAACACAGTTGGCAACACAGTTTTATTCTTAATCTATGCTGAAACTGGTAAAAATATAGGTGTGGTGCCCTGTAGGTACCATCCTCAAGTCACAACTGATGTCACTAACATTATTGTTATTGATAGGTTTAAGGAGGCACCTGTCAATATCTATCCACCACCTTTCACCTGAAATTCAGGATTAGCTGGCTCAATAGGAAGTTCTGGGAAAAAGTAGGCATAGGTAGAGCTTCAGACTATTATAATCAACCAGACTAGTATAAAGAGATATCATATTTTACCAGAAGCATTGGGTTACTATTTCCATATTTGCATCACAAATAAGTGGCACACCAATTTGAAAAAAAAATGGGGATACGAACTCAACTAACTAAACTTAACTAAAAAAAAACTGAACTAAAAGAGCACACTTTTTAGACAGCAGAGTACAGGAAACAATAAGTTATACATCAATTATTTTGATGCAAAACAATTATAAAACATTTCATTGATGAAAGAAACTGCACAATGCCTCACTCACCAAAATATCAACAGGAGGAGTTCCGCTCCGTCCGCTCCGTCACAGACCGAAATCCAATGCAAGCATGAAACAGCCAAGCAAATTTCATTTTGATATCCGAAATAATCCAGGAAAATAACAAGAAGTGAAGTGTTCAGGACACAGCCTTCCGGTACCGGTACACAAGGGAACACATGAAAGGCGGCGAGATGTTTTACCAATGAATTGCCAGGAAACGTAACTTGTTAGCAGCAAAGCGCTGAAGAAAGCTGAATTTAATACGCCAAAAATGCCCTACCTGCGCCATAAACAGGGCGCAATTCATTTTCAAGAGTTACAGTTGCCAAATTCTTACTGCAATTATCATACACTACAGATAAGTCACAATTGATTTTCTTCATTGTATTTAGAGACAAAGTCATGAAAATATTGAAATATGTCCATACAATCGATAAATCATTTTAGTAAAAAGTTTTCAGCTTCTACCCCTAGAAGTAGCACTGTCAAAAACAACGTTGTTGACAACTCAAACTGGAACTACGCCTGGAGAGCTAGAGCACAAGCGATCAGGCCCATGTCGTCCCCGGCTCTCTCTATCGTCTGGAGGTTTCGAAAGATGCTCTCCAGAGATGGCGCTAGTAAATTTGGCTGACATGACGTCATGCTAAAAAGTGATGGTTTTTGTGAGAGCAAATGTAATAATAGTTGAAAATTTTGTACTTTTGCTTAATTAAGAAAAAATAAATATACAATTGTTCAAAACAGCGTTTTCTTCATTCATCCTTCATTGTTTTAAGAGGAATATAGACAGTTTAAATATTTTTTCTTGACCGCAATTCGCACACGCACTAAATTAAAAGCTGGAGTTTTGTGCGTTCGTAAATCGTGATTTGAGAAAATAAGTTGACAATAATCTTTTGCACTTTTGCTTTACAATCATTTTTCAATGCAGATAAATGCATAAATTATTCGAAAATAGGCATATCTTTGAAATATTATGATTTTCCACAAGCAAATTTTCCCAAAAACTTGAACTACTTACAACTGACGAACGCATCCAATAATCTGGATGTCTTAGGATGAGTTCGTCATTTTTTCCGAAGGAAATACGATACAGTTCAAGCTATTTTACCGATTTATTAGGGTACTTTTGCCAATGAATTAATAAATAAATGACAACAATTAATCTCATTATCAACCATACTCGGAAGAACTTTCTTCGCATAAGCGCGAACACATCCGCGCTTTCATGAAAAGTCACGCCTGTAGATGTCAGGACTGCTGCTTTATGTTTCGCAAGGTGGCGCAGCGCGCAGGGTACCGACTACCGAGGCTGAGGTCTCCAGACTCTCCACCACGATTTAACTTGGAAATGGCCGATGGGGAAGGTCTCACCCAAAAACGGACGCCCTTTTACACAGCTGCATAAAGAGAATGAATTATTAGCATAGCTGACCACACGTCCCCTCCCCCTCTCCGCCCCAGCTCAATAGGAAATATCGCCTATTTTCCTTAGTCAGTTATATTCTGACTAATTTCTCACTCTTCCCAGTAAACCTTAACATGCATGATGCAGATGTCCACTGCGTAAGTCGTGTGCTTTCGTAAGTGTGCCAACTATATAGTGTTGCCTGCCTACACTCTACAGTACAGCCTACTGCTTCCCCATTGTCGTTATAATTGGTGATTCTCAGGTCAAAAGTTACACAGTGGTCTCAGAGAACAATCGTTTCAACAAATTAACGATTCAAACCGTTGCATTCTACTTATATTCCGGTCAGTTCTGCTACTAAACGATTCCGGCAAAACACTCTTTAGGTTATGTATTAGCGAACCACCACACAAAATTCGCCCAATCAATGGTCAGTTATTACTGCTGGGCTGAACCGTCATACGCTATATAGCCTATTATATAGCCTAGTCAATATTTTCAGAACGATACTGACTGACGAAACACAACGTATTCGCGGATTCGCACATACGTTGGCACCCAGGTGGCCTGTCAGCAGCCGCACAAATCCGCACAGCGCAGCCGGGATTTGACATTGAGATGGTACACCGTAAAGCATGCCTTTCCACACAGGCACAAGCACAGGGACACAAATTCTCAAAATCCAAACTTATTCCAATACTGGTCAATTACGAATAGGCATAAAGTTTTGAGGTTTTCTCATGTTCATTCTTCTTTCAACACACGCGGCAGACTGCAGCAGCTGCAGAACATCTCACAGAGCTGCGCTGGATGCAGTCATGAGCTGGGACACGGTTTGTGACCAATGACCGATCGGGGGTGCCAGCCTCCTCCCGGCACGCGATGCACTGGCCGCCGCGCAGTCGATGTCGGGGCACCGCCGGCATTCGCCGACAGGGTTCCATCCGATTCGGTGTATTGGTGGCAGCCCGAACAGTGACCCACGCGAAGCTGGCGGACGTCGATGGCCGATGAGCGATGCCCTTCCGCGACCGGCGGTGGCAGTCGGTCCCACATCAAGAACAGATACCAGTCATGCGGTCAGTCGGCGACGGCGCTGTCGCGAGCCGATCTGATGGTCGCGCGGTGGGCGTTGCCGACGTCCACCGGGACCGTCGACTGGGGGAGCGCGGCCGCCTCTTGGCCGCCGCCTCTGGTCGGCGAGCTCGTTGCGCTGTGGGACGGCATCCACTGCAAGTCGTTCACTGTGAAGCGGTCGTTTGACCGGACCTGGCAGGCGGGGAAAGGGGGCCTCAGATGAAGTAAAACCATCCCTCAGGCCAGCTTGAACTGGCTCTCCACCTCACCATGTTAGATAAGCGGACACCCTCGTGATCATCGCAGCGATGATTGCCAATTGGTGTGTCATTATGGGAGAGGATGCCAGCCTCCTTTGCAAGATAGTCTGCCTTTAACATAGTGCAGCCCGACCCATTGCCTGTGGCGCAGACTGGGCTTGATAATGCAGTGCAGGACACACCAAACGTAAGCGGCCATCTGTACCCCCTGTGCAGTAGGGCTGACTCAAGAGCCCAGAGTTGCCCTCCCCCCCACCATTCTGTGCACGTGATAACTGGATGGGACATGCCATGGTCAGCATCTGTTCAAAAGCTGCCCTAAGCATGTAAAGCTCCACTGGCATGCTCAAGCATGGTCACAGTCAGTTCTCACTTCTCAGTTGAACCTCCAATGGAAACCCATCACAAAGTAGAGATCAGGGCGCCTCTCACACTGCAGCACACTCAACGACTGAGGCACCATCTCATCACTTGCAGGTGGTTCTTGCCAGGAGCAATGCCAGCCACGCACATCAGGTGATAACAGCAGTGTACAACTGCAATCTACAAGCATCCATGTTCTTTCTGGTTTTCTCCTGTTGAGATCCACTGCCATGCATGAACTTGATGGGCTTTTGTTGCGCTCCTCCCATGTGCAGACAGGTTTCTGCTGAAACAAAGCAAAGCAAATGTGATTAATAATGGCCCTGTTTCACCATCCAGACACTGTGTGCACTGGTAGCTACGGCATACCATAGCATCACTCAAATGACGTTGCATGTGACCTCTTAGTTTATGATCAATCGCGTTTGGAACAGAGTGAGAGGTTCTGAAAAACCGTACCAAGAACAGAGGTTTGAGTTCAAATACTGCTAGCATGCTGCTGGTGCTGGTACCGCAGCGTGCTAGCGTTCTGGGATGCTGTCATAGCTTAGCGTCACAGTGAAGTTTGTTGACACTGCCATGGAAACCCAATGCTCTGACACACGCAGCGCACTGCAGTGCTGAGCACTGCAGTGCGTGCTCTGCCGTGAAACACCACCCATGAACGTTGGTTGCATGACCAGGATGGAGCAGTGTGGCAGACAGTGATTTCAATTTTAATTGCACTTCCTAGAGATTAAAATGTTGTTGGTGAAATTGCTATTCATTATTCCTATTACCATTGTCTAAATTTCACATTTTGATTTCAAGACAGCATCAGCATTGACATGTTATATAAAATAAGGTTTAGACTTCAGGTGGTCCCGGGTTCAGCTATTAAGTAAAACAAGGGCAAAAAATTGTCAAAAAAATATTTTTAAAAAATACCTGCCTTCATCAACACCTCATCTAATCTAACCTCATCCTCATCTAACAAGGCCCTAATAGCAAAAACCGTTTGAATAACAATGTAATATTTTGCAACCGCTGCACCATTACTGTCACGTACGCTATCCCTAGATTGGTTGCTGGTAAGTAGTGGTTGTCGTCATCAACTCGTCATGCAGCAGCTGATTGGGATGGGCGGGGCCTATTTTTATCCAGGCGATAGAGAGAGCCTCGTCCCCTATCTCCCTGTGTGTCCGACCCCCACCGGACACGATTTGGTAGCCGAGGTCTGTGACGTCAGCCGGGCGTGAAGTTTTCCCTTCACCATAGGCTTCACACACAAACCGGCCGAAGTTCATGCCAGGATAGCCCGGCTTGAAAGTGCAAAAATGATTAAATTTTGCCCTCAATAGATTCATTGCTTCATTTTATAACTAAAAACGTCCGTAATTAGGACTCAATGAAGGTAAAAAGTACTCAAAATCGAAGTTCAAGAAGATGCTGTCCGAGCACAATCTGGTAACATCACGTGACCTCTTTTAAGCAGAATGTATATAATTCAAGGATGTTATTACACGATTGCTGCCTAAAACATCATAAATAATACGCTTGTAACATTTATTGCTTCTGTTTAAGTCATAACATTGCAAAACGCAAAGTTTGTCATGGAAGTCACGTGACCAAAGGTATAGCAGGGGTTGGGACAAGCACTCAAAGGATTTCAAGTTTTTTAATTAAATTATATAAGTTTCATGATGAAATTGATAGAATGTATTTTTTCCGAATGAAATACAAATTTTCGTATGTAAAATATTTTTCTTATGGGCGAAATTCTCCATATAAGAAATGTCAGTGACGTCACCAGGGCTTTACGTGGGCTTTACTCAAAACATCGGACCTACCTGTTTCTTATAGGTATCTTGTGTGTGTCCAAGTGCACAGATGACGTCACACGGAGGGGCGGAGTCGGGGGCGGAGCCTGGCGCAACGGCCGCCATATTTGAATTTGTTTTATTAGAATGTATTGTATATTTTGGGTTTCAGTCAATTGTTATCGATAGTTTTATGAACGGTTAGCTGTAATATAAGTGATTTATCAAGAAAAAACACATATTCTGCTTGCAATTTCGATTTAAGTACGACCCGCGCCTAGATTCGAACACACGATCTTTGGATTACGGCGCAAGCATCCTAACCACTACACTACCGCGGCGGCGTGGCGGCCGGCGGAAGGGAGGCTGCGGAGGCATGGGGGCTTTTTTACGCATTTTTGGAAAAACTAATGGGTTTAGTGAAAAACGCTTCCTAGATAATTCGAAGAAAAATGTCTCGGCTTTCCGATGATGCACTTAGTTTTGTGCTACCTTTAGCAGAGTTTGTTCTACAGCGCTTCAAAAATCGCCCATTTGCATAGGACTTAAACGGGACTTCAAGACTTGCCCCCAGATGACGTCACGAGCTGACGTCACGATCAGGTAGAATCGCCGGACGACCCTACCTGGTATATAGGGCCTTGCAAGCGATCCCAGGCATTACGCTACACG